TTTTTTTTTTTTTTTTTTTTTTTTTTTTGAGGCAGGGTTTCACTATGTAATTGAGATTGCCCTGGAACTCACTGTGTAGCCCAGGCTGGTCTCAAACTCACAGAGATCTCCCTGACTCAGCCTCCAGAGTGGTACCATTATAGGCGTATACTACCACACCCAGCAGCAAAGCCTTTAAATATCAACAGCAATTAAGAAAAAGAAATAAAATGCATTTAAATTAAAAAGGAAGAAGTAAAATAATTAACTAAAACTTATTTAACTAATTGATGGAAATATATTTAATTTATTAAATAAATTAATTGAAAATTAAAAAATCTGTAGATGATGTAATCCTACATATAAAAACCCCAAGATTACACAAAAATTAGAAGTAATAATTCAGTTAAATTCAGGATACAATGTCAACACACAGAAACTGGCAATATATTAATCCAAAAATAACCCAATTGAAAAAGAAATCAACAAGGCAATCCCACTTATGAGAGCATTTAAAAGAATACTTAGGACTAAATTTAACCAAGGAAGATTGGCATACTGAAGACTACTAAACATTAGTGAAAGACATTGAAGAAAGCACAAATAAATGGAAAGATATATTATATCCTCACTTGGAAGAACTAATATTGGTAAAAACATCCATACCATCCAAAGGAAAATAGGAATTCAGCACAACCCTTATTACAATCTCAATGCTAATCTTTACAGAAACAGCAAAAATTCTAAAATTTGTGTGGAAGTGTAAAAGACCCTGAACAGACAAAGCAATTCTGAGAAAGAAAAACAAAATCAGAAGCACCATATGTCCTGATTTAAATTTATATCACAGAAATAGAAATATAATAATTGAACGGAAAAAAAAGAATAATTGAAACAGAATGGTGCTGGTATAAAAGCAGACACATTGAATTAGCCATTGCTTTGACATAACACCTCACAGCCACAATTTAAAAGAGGCTTGATTTGGTTTACATTTTAAGTGGGTTCAGTCCATAGTCAGCTAACTCCAAGGCAGAAACACCATGGCATAAGGGCACCTCAGAGCAAAACTGCTGAGCTCATGGCAGCCATTAAGTAAAGCTGAGGAATGGTACTGGAGAGGAATGGGTGAGGGACTATACTTCTGTGACAGGCACAGACATCTCCAGTAGCTTCCTTTATTGGTCTGCAAGGCATTGCTCAATCCAATGAAGTTGGATTAACAGGCTGACCCTTGTCAACTTCATACCCAAACACACCTTAAACCATATTTAGCCTCCAAATAAAGACAATAGCGAGTCATAATTCTGCCTAACATAATACAACTGTCCTCTGTATAACTGAAAACACAACAGTCCCTTCCCCAAGGTCTCGACAGCATCAGCATTTTTCAAATGTCCAAGTTAACATCTCTTCTAAGACTCAAGGCAAAGTAATGGTTATGAGCCTCTGTGAAAATGAAAAACAATTTACATAATCTTAAGATACATGTTCCCATTTCAAAAAGAAGAAAGAGGGGGCTAGAAAATAATAGTATGAAAACAAGACCAAACCCAGCAGGGCAAACATTAAGTCCTGTAGCCCTGTATCAGCATCCACAGCACATGGTGGTGGAATACAAGATCCAAAGGGCTTGGGCAGCCTCACCTTTATGTCCTGGCTGGTTGCAGTCCACAGGGACTCTGTCTTTGGTTGGCTCTACTCATTGCCTGCAGTTTCTCCTTAGCAGATGTTCCACATTACTGGCATCTCCAACTTCCCAGGGACATCCCTACACCTTTAGCTTCATTTCCAGAACATCACAGACTCTGCTCTCAGGAACTCCTTGCCTGGAATCCTAGGTCTTCCTTTGAAATCTATGTGGAAAGCTTCCTGACTCCACATCCCTTGCATTCTGGATGCTTGCAAATCCAGCATCGGTGGACAATGCCAAGGTCAGCTGCCAGGCACCCGTGGACCATGGCTGTAGCAGTTTCTGAGGGACTGGATGTTTGAACAAAGGGAAATGAATCCCAGGGAACCAGTTACCTAGGAGGCCCTTCTCAAGTAGGCACCCTTGTGCTTGCAGCAGGTGGGGTCTTGCTGATTCCTGAGATACTATTCCTTCATCTTATTGTGCCTGTACGAAGTACTTGCTTTCTTTTTAATGGTGCTCATCTTTTTAGCAGCCACACCTACATTGGCCCCAACTTTATATATGGTTTCTTCTGAGCCCAAATTTAAGTTTTTAAAATTTCTCTGCTCTATCTTTTGCCCCCAATTATTATTATAAATCTGGCCAAATAAAGAAGCATTACCTGTTCCACAGCCTGAATGTTGGGCTGTCTTGAAATTTCTTCTACCAGATTAGTCTGCTACTCTTAAACTCAGTTTCCTACAAAGTCTCAGGACACAGGCAAAATGTAGACAAAATTTCTGTCTGTGTGTGACATACATGGTCTCTAGTCCCACTGCAACAGAGTCCTTGTTTTCAGCTGAAACCTTCTGGCCCTGGTCTTTCTTGTCTATATTCCTATCAACAGTCTGGTCTTTTGAGCTCGAATCAGAATTACCTATCAAGCTCTGTTTTCAGCATGCTAGGACTTCTTTAGCCCACAAACTTTTCCAAATTCCTCCCTCCAACCAGTTCCAAAGGTTTCCAAACAACATGATCAAGTATAGACACAGCAATGGCCCCACTTCTCTGGTGCCAGCTTTCTCATTGCTGGGATACAATATCTAACAGCCACAACCTAAGGGAGAAAGTTTAGTTTGGATTATGTTGTGAGAGGATTTGATCTATGATCATCTCGCTCCAAGGCAGGAACATCTTAGCGGGGCAAAGCTACTGAGTTCATAGCAGCTGGGAAGCAGAGCAGGGGAACAGTGCCGGAAAAGAATGGGTAATGGACCATGCATGGCACCCAAGCCATGGTTCTGTGACCCATCTAGACATATCCAGAAGCGTGTTTTACTAATCGGCTGGGCATTTATTAATACCACAAAGAAACATATCGGGATTGAAGGCTGTGTGTATAGACCAGTAGAACAGAATAGAGAGCCCAGAAATAAACCCAAATATGTACTATCAGTTTTCAATAACAGCACCAAGAGGACACGGTGGGAGAAAAGAAGGACAGTGTCTTCACTAAACTGTGCTGGGAAACCTGGATTTCTACATGCAAAACAATGAAACTGGATCCCAGCCAACAAGATATCCAAAACCAAATCAGAATGTTTAAAATATTCAAATACAAGACCCAATGCCATAAAACTTCTGAAGAGAACATAAGGGAAAAACCCCAGACATTGACCTGGGCAATGATTTTTGTTTTGAATTTCACATTAAAAACTCAACCTACAAAATGAAAATAAATATATGGGAGTACATCCAAATAAAAAGGTTCCTGACAGCAAATAAAATGATGAATGAAATGAAAGTGCAAAAGGTAAAAATATCAGCCAGCGTGTAGAGAAAGGGAAATCTTGTACTATTGCTAGGAATAACCCTGTGAAGAACAGTATGGCTATTACTAAAGAAATTAAAAATAAAACTATTGTATGATCCAGTAACCACTCTCCTGGGCACATATACAAATGCACTGAAATCACCACCTTGGGATGTGGGGTTGAAGATTCCCATGTCCACTGAAGCATCATTCATAGTAACCAAGACATGCAAACAACCTAAATGTCCAAACAGATAAATGGACATAAATGTCCAAACAGATAAATGGACAAAGAAAAAATATATGAAATTTATTTATGTGTATGTATAGATATAGATTTCATTATAATAATATAATATAATGTATTCTATACCATATATAATATATAATTATATCACACATCATATTATATATTATTATATATTATATAACAATTACACATTATATATTATATAATATTACTATGTTGCATATTATATTTTAATTATATAATTATATATTATAATATAACATAATATATAATGTACATAATACATATTATAATATAATATAGGGTATATTATATAATATATATGTATTTATCCCTTGACTTTTTAATAATAGTGTTCTCAGCAGGTATGAGGTGATAATTTCATGGTGGTTTTGATTCACACTTTCTTGATAATTAATGATGTTAAGCACCTTTTCATCCCATTGGCTATTTTTATGTCTTATTTGGGAAAATGTTTACTAAATTCTTTTCCCATTTTAAAATCAGGTTATTAACCTTTCCACTGTTGAGCTGGATGAGCTCTTCATAAATTTTGGATACTAGTCACTTATCATGTGTATAGTTTGCAAATGTTTCTCCCAATCTTTTGAAATCTATCTCCAACACCATTTCATTCTGTTAATAATTTCATTTTCTGTGCATGACATCGTGTGTGTGTGTGTGTGTGTGTGTGTGTGTGCGCGTGTGTTATATTCCTTAAATAGACTTTTCTTTTCTTTCTTTTTTTTTTTTTTTTTTTACACAAAGCAGATTTTTTTCTTGGTACCAGGGATAGAACTTAGGACCTTATGCCTTGTAAGGCAGGTGTGGTGCCACTGGGCTAAATCCCTGGCCCAGCAGTTTTCACACTAAGCTCAAACAAATGACAACTGGCATTACAGTCTGTGATTAATTTGAGAGATAGTTTCAAGTTTTGCGTACCACTGTAATATTTGAATAGCTTCTTCTTTTGGGGGGCTATGATAGATGAGAATGAAGGAATGAATGAATGAAAGATGCGTCAGCGAGTAAATTGCTGAATGAATGATGTGAAGGCTCAGGGCACAGTAACAGTATAGGAAGCATTCCCTGTGCAGACCGGCAAAGACAAGTAACAGAGGGGGAGGGGAACTGAGCAGGCATTCGGCGCTCGCTCGTCCTCACCTGCTGAAGTCCACACCAACGTTCTTGAGCTTTACAGTGGCTGCGTAGGTGTGTCCTTCTTTGAGCACTCCAAACTTCACTGATGGTGGGAGAAGGTGGAACCCAAAAGGGGGCGACTTTACATTATTAATGGCAGCAGAGGCAACCGAGGATGTGTTCACTTTTCCTCCAACGGGATCTTGAATCTATGAAGTCAGGAAAAAAAGTTAATAAAGCAAACTGATTCTCCTAGGGGTTCCCAAGATAAGAAAAAGTCCCTGTCACAAGAGGAAAATAACAGATTGGTGGAGGAAATGAGAATTTACAGTCTCATGTAATCCTTATGACATCCTTGTAAGAGGTGTTTTAGGCTCTGTCTGAAGGATGAAGAAGCTCAAGTTCAGAGAACTGAAGGACACTTTGCTGAAATGTAGGTGACAAAGCTTCAAACACTGTCTTGCATCATAGTGAAGTCTGCACTCCTTCCTCCATGCCAGTGACTATCAAGGTCAGCTTCCCTAAGAATCTCCAGCCAGACTCATTAAGACACAACTTCTGACCCTGCTCCCAGTTTCTCCTTCCATGCACCTGGGGCAGGGCCAAGGGTTTCCATTTATACAAAGTCTCGGGTGTTGTTGATGCTGTGGTCAAGGAAACAGAGAACCCCTGCTCCGAGCCCTTGTCAGCCTCCTGTGAGCAGCCCTGACGTGGGCTGGGAGTTTATTAGAACTACAGAATCGCTAGCCCCACGTAAGACTTCAGGAGTCAGGATGTGGGTCTTAATCCACAAGCCCAATGCATTTTGAGAAGCACTCTAATCATGTATCTGTTATGTACGTGGCAATGACTTCTCTGATACGGATGACTACTCTGTGGCTGGAAACAAAGAGAAGATAACTATCAAGAATTTACTAGTGAGCCTTAAAAAGCCTTCCTTTTGGAACTGAGTGGTGGAAACTTAATCTTAGAGGCTTTTGGGGAAGGGACAAAAGAGAAACTCACAATGGCAGAGGGAAAGTGACTCTGAGGCACAGTTAGGCTGAAGAAACAGTGGGGCCCGGTCCTGTATACATGTAAGTCATGTGGATTTTACCCTGAGGATTAGCCAAAGGGTGTCTGGTGATCCAGCAGTGAGCTGAGAAACTGTCCCAAAAGGCAGTACTCCCAGCACCGCTGATTTCAGGTAGCAATTGATTAGCAACTGGCTCATAAAATTTACTTCAAGAGTCTGCATGAGCAGCTCCAGCAAAGCATGCTGTAGCTTCTGTGACTACCAGCCTTACATGAGATGGTAGAGTCAGTAAATAGCAGCACACAGTAGCTGACACTAGCAACTTCCACGCGAAAGGGTTAATTGGTTCGGCAAAATTTGTTCCCATGTCTGTTTTACCTTTGCAAGTGGTTGAGACTTTGGCTTGGAGCTCAGCAAATAATGTGGTAACTTCACCTTTTCTTTCCTTGCTTGCCCTGCAGCATCTTGCAGCAAGGACTGCGGTGAAATTTTCACAGGTGCACAAGATTCTGGTTCTGTAAGAGAGAAAGGCTAAATTATGCCTCATGGACATTTCTATGACATGGAAAGTAATACCAGAGCACAAACCAGCTTGGAAACGTTTCTTCTTAGGATTTTATAGAGCTTTTTTTTTTTTAAAAGGCTATTAATTCTCATCTTACCTTTTTATATTTTACAAAGTGATTTTACATGTATTACCTATTACTAGTTCTTACCACAACCCTGAGATGCATGTAGCTGGCATTAATTTTTAAAAATAAAATTCTTAGAAATCAAATAACTTGCCCACGATGAACTAAACTTACAGCTAGGCCTTCAGGATCCTTTCCAAAATAGCAATAAGATGAAGTATAACAAAATATCAACTGTAAAAGAGTTCTTAAAACTACTGAGGACAAAGTCTTAAGAAATTTTTTTTATTTTATAAAGGCAATTCTTAAAAGCAGTGCAATAATATAAATAAAGAAAGCTACAAAATTAAATCCTCAGATCGCAAAATCTAGTTACGTTCCTTCCTGTCAGTTACATGAGTGAGGAAAAGTAGGAAATCCGCACAGCTTCAGCGGTGTACATTTATTCCAAATATTCAGTGGGCTGTAAGAATGCATTGTGGGCCATCACATTTAAAACGCTTTCTTGCATTTGAACCATGAAGGAGAGCCAGAGGGAGGGACCTGACAGTGGACTGTCCCCAGTCTAAAGGTGAGCAGGACTGATTTCTACTTGTAGCTTCTCATAATCATCACAAAACCTTGTGAACAAGAGAGCTGAGAAGGCGAGGATGTTGGTGTGCTCAGCGCTTTTGCTGTCCCTCCACACACGCTTGAGTGTCACCGCGTCCCTGGTCCCAGCCATCAGCATGGCGTGTGACTCAAGCAAAGCCAACGAGGGCTCTCCCTGGATGTCTGTACTGAAGCAGGTAATGGTAATCTCGCCTTCCCTAATGGGTTGTGAATCTAGAAGAATTGGAATCTTGGGACATTGCAGTTGTGATCATATGGAAATACCCTGTCCTTTATAGGAGAGAACAAAACCAAGGATGGGCAAGATGGAGGCAGGGAAGAAGTAAAGAGGGAGACAATCAGATGTGCATTCCTGGAAGGCCAGAGAGCCTGAGGCCAAATATCCCTGGGGCTGGCACCAGAGCCACTTGCCTGATTTTTGCTTTGTGTGCCAATAAAGCCACTAACCACCCATGCTTTTATTCATTTATATTTTTTACTGAGTTTGAGTTTTCTCTGTTAAAAATTGGAGGTTGTTCTAAATAATGTAGTACCAATCTCTCCCTCTCCTCTCTTTCTCTCTCTCTCTGTCTCTCTTTTCATAAAGAAAACTGAAGTTCAGAGGACTAAATAACTTGTCCATGAAATTGCAATAAGTGGCAAGGCTGAAATGTGAACATCAGTGTATTTGATTCCACAAGGGACACGGTCCTTGTAAGTGAGCTGTTAGTGGGGCGCAGTGTGTGAAGGGGGCAAATCCTGCTCTGGTTTCTCCAACATGCTCACTTACTGTAGTTGACGCAAGATCTCAATGTCATGCCATGGAACGTGGATTTGGGATAAGATGACAGTCAGCTCTCAGGAGCCACGGAGCTGCCTGGAGCTGCCTGGAGCACATCCTACCTGCAGTCTGGAGCGAACTGCCTCAAGTGGCCCACAGGCCCACAAACTGGGTGTTCTAAGCCACTTCAGGATTTGAAGCATTTTCATGCAGTATTATGATAGCAGATATTGACAAACACACATTTTATTTTGCAAGTCCAAACCTTCTTCAGTTGGCTCTATTGTATTTTCCAAACATTATCTTGTATTGTTGTCAAATAAAAATTCTCTAATCTGCTTAAGCTGATTTCTTGTATTTCTGCCTTCAGGCTTTTGAATTTTTCTTTAATAGACTGCATTCCATAATCTGAAAAACTGAAACCCTGAGTGCTCTAAAATCTGAAAACTTTTGAATGCTGACATGATGCATTTTTGAGTATTACTTTCTCTTCCTTACCCTTAAAATATAATGTAATAAAATCTAGAGAATTAGGAATCATAAAATTCACTTTCTAGCTGTAGCACAGTCCTAAATTTGCTGTATGATTTTAGGTGTCGCTTGATTTTTCTAGGTTTAAGTTTCCTCAAATAAAATAAAGCTTGTCTTAGGTAATTCTTCTGTTATAGCTTAAAATCTATAAAATTCTATTTATTTTTGAAGACCACTTCTCCCATGAAACTTTTTCTACTGCTGTGTTAGTCTTTTCCGGCTCTAAACTTATCTAAACTTTATTCGTAGCATGAATCAATACATTGCAGTTCATGCTACATTATTGTCCCCATCCTCAAGAACCTCAGTTGGTATCCTCCTTGTTTCAAACTATTTCTCTTTCCTCTTTCAGAAGCACCTATTCCTTGAAGCTTGTACCCCTGGACTTCATTAGTGATTGCTCCTCTGGGCAGTTGTCATCTTTTGATTTCCCCATCATTCGCTTTATTCTTTGCAGATTTTCACACTTGCGATGGCTTCCACCACCCTTTACCTAACATCACCTGGATGAGCCATCCAGCACTCTGTCCTCTCTGCTTCTCGATGACTCTTGTTTCTTTTCTTTCTCAGAAATTCCCAGGGTCATATTTTTGACCTGGCTGTAATGACTCCCGTCTAGATGTCCCCCACAAGCCCTCATGTGACCGTATGTGGGGAATTTCAAAGGTGGCTAGATTGGGGTGTGTGAGTGTAGACTGAGAGTGTGACACTGGGATTAAGGACGTACATCACGGAAGCCCCACACTGGGTGTATGTGTTACCAATTAATAGGTTTACGGCTTTTATAAATACAAAAGTAGAGAGGGAAGGCGAGCTCCTGTTGCTGCCGCCTCCTGCCTGCTCTGCAATGCCTCACTGCCCTGTTTTGGAGTCAGCCTATTATGGACTAAAACCTCTACAAGTTATGAAGTGAAACCAATCTTTCCTTCTTTAATGTCGAGTGTTGAGTATTTTGTCTGATGAACAACGCTTGCCAGTACCAATAATTTTAAAAAATCTCACTAACAAGCACTTCTTTCTAGATCACTGCAACCTATTGGTCATGGTTTATATGTAGATGTGCCCCAAGAGCCTCACATGTGCCTAGACAGGGGATTCGGAATGTGATTGGACAATGGGATGCTAGAGCTGACTTGCTCTTCGGAAGACACCTGGAGGTGTCTGTCTCCCTTCCTGACTCCTCCCCTCTCTCCCTGCTTCTAGACTGCCAGGTTGTGATCAGATTTCCTCCAGCTTGGCCCACGCCCTCCACCGTGCCATTTGTTTCTGCTTTGGAGTCAGCCAACAACAAACTATAACTCTGAACCAAAATAATCCTCTCTTGGTTTAAGTTTTGGGTGTCAGGTTGTCCCAGCAAAGAGCAAAGTGACTAAGACACTATTCTTCTAGTTTATTACTCTACCACACCCAGCGGGCAATTATTTGACCTGACTGAGACTCCTGACCAACAGCCACTATCACTTTTCACAATCAGTCTCTCTTTTTTTGTTTTGCTTCCTGATTGTATCTGGAAAAACTTTCATACTTTATCTTTATACACTCTCCCTTTTAATTAGATAGGAACTCTCTCATCTTCCCAAGACCAAACATATAGACCCACCTGAACATCTCTGCAGTGGCTCTGGCTTCTCCCCTGTCATGATGCATGAGGTGAAATTGTAAATATCCATAGTCAATTTTACCACTCAGGAGTTTACGCAGATGCCATGTTCTCTCACCTCCATTAGGTCTCTGCTCTGCTGTAATTGGGCATCTCCCTCTCCTACACCATTAAACTCTTGCTTATGATGAAATTATCATTTACAGATCAACATGCACCAATATGGTTAATCTTTTTAAAAAATATTACCTCTCCCTTGATCACATACTCCTCCCTTACCGTCCCATTTCTCAAATCTTTTCAACAAAACTCCTGGGTAAAGCAATGCATTCTTGCTGCTGCCAGCTCTCTTGGGCTATTCTGGCATCACTCATTTCAACTGGGATCTGCTTCCCTCTATGTCATGAAATTGCTATTGTTGAGGACACCAGGGATCTCCATTTCTCACAACCCCATGGTAATTATTTATTTTATTCCATCTTTCCAGAACAGTCGATCACTCAGAGTACTCAAACATTTCTGTGCTCCTCTTTTGCCCCTACCTGTCTTTGTCTTAATTGGCTGTATTCGTTTCTCTTCTGGCTGACTTCAGAGCTTGCCTCAAGATGATGGTTCTCAAAATGCGACTCTATACCAGCAACATCAGTGCCGCTTAGAACCTGTCTTGGCTTTAGGACTGGTTCCACCAGTGTACCGAGGAATCAGCCCCAATTCCTTTTTTTTCTCACACTTAAATATAATGGGTCACAAGTCCTATTGGCTCCACCCCCATAATATATTTCCACTTAATTTGCTTTTCATCTTCCCCACCTTAAACACCTTAGTCCAGGTCTTCAACAATTCTCATTTCTATTACTTCTATTGCTTCCCCCTGCTTCCACTTTCCCTCTTTCTCCCTTTCCTTACGTATTAAACGATTGTCCTCAAAGCTATAAGGGGATCTAAAAAAAAAAAAAAGCTTGCTCAAAGCCTTCCAGGAATGTCTGCATGAAATTGCACCTAGAATAAAACTGAAAATGTCCCCAGGCAGCATTATATGACCTCACACCTGCCTGTCTCTCTGACTGCACCTTTCACTTTTTCCTTTGCTTATTGTATTGTAGCAGTAGCTATGTGTCCCCTCAAGGCAGCATCTTGCTCTTCCCACTCATCATGATGTTCCTCTCCTTTAACTTGTGCATGATTGACTCCTTGTTCTCCTCCATGCCCAAATGTCCCTTCTGAGAGAGGCCTTCTAACCCCAAGTGGAATCTTGTTCCTCTCAGTCACTCTCTCTGTATTATGCTGTTTTTACGTGAAAATGTTACCTACAATGTGAATTTATCTAACTTGTTTGCTGCTTATTGTCTATTTTTGCCACAGTCTGCACAGCTCCATAAGACTTTGACCTCCCACTTGCTATATTTTAATACCTATGACATTGCCTGGTATAGTAGGCATTGAGAATTGTTTAGTGAATGAATGAAGTTTATAGGAAAAGTTTAAGGTCAGGAAGGCAAAAGATTCATGTAAGTTAACTCTCTTAATTCATCTATAAATATTCTATCTATAAAAATTCTCTATAATAGATGGTTAAGAACCAGCAGCAGTTTCTCATAGTCAAAGATAAACACGTTCACAGAAATCAAGTGTTGGCAGGATTATCTATCCTGCTTAAATATCTCTCTTCCCCTCCTCAGATGGGCCATTCTAACAACTCCAAAACCAGTGTTATGTGACTCCATTTCAACTAGGTATTATTTTGTGCTATTCTGTATTTCAATTTCTACTAGTTAATTAAAATTATGTGCTGTGCAAAACACAGACTACATCTTGTGCGTCTCTTCAGTAATCGCAGAACAAGAATGTATTGAAGTAACAGCTAAATTAAGTTCAGTCGACAAATTACCACCTGCTCAAGAAAGGCTATGAGGTCCCTGACCATCAATGTGTCACACAATGAGTTCTCAGAACAATGATGGACAAAATAAAACAATGAAGTAAAATAAGAAATCTAAAATTGTATTTGTAATTTCTTCCCTTCAATCTGGGATTTGTAGTAATTCTCAAACTAGAAGCCTTACAAATCTTTGTAGCTTCAGGATCCATGACCCTCTGGTATTTTCTGTATCTGTAACTTCATCCCATCCCTTAGTGCTGTTATTCAGACTTCACAAAAGTATAGCATTCACTTTTGAGAAGCAATTAGATAAAGCAAATGACTGTCGTACCTTCAGTAGGTTTTGTCAAGTCTTCAGTTTGGTTCTGACTGGTGGGCTCCTTGGTATCCTTAGAAATCTCTAATTTTGGAAGTCTAAGCACATTTGAGGACTCCTGTTCTGAAACTGCAGATGGATTGGAATCTAAAAGAATCCCCAAACACATATTATAAAATGATATTTTGGGCCTTGATGTCATGACTAATGCTCGTGTGAGCAAACACTGAACAAGATGTTTCACAACGCACAAGGTGCTTTCCCCCCACCTTCCTGGGAAAGATTAAATATATGAAAGCCATCAAAAAGCAGAGATTGTTCATAATATGCTTTAGTGTTGGCCAATAGCAAACAGAAGAGTATCTGTGAGGTCCACATTTCTAGGAGCTGGCTGGCTCTTTGTGGGTATTCAGAGCAAACAAGAGAGTGCTGCCTTGTTGTGTTTTTCAAAGTCCATGCAATTTGCCTCTACTTTTACCTGGTGATGGCGACTTTGATCAGATTTTTAGAAAAGGTTGCTAATCTATTCATTCAATTGTAACTCCTTGTTAAAATAATCATAATAGAAAACCGATTTAAAAAATAAATGTAAGTTTGAGGAGGAAAATACCTTTCAACTTGTGTGTTGAAACCATTCACCCTGGAACAGTTGTAGCTGCCTAGGGTACTGTGTTGAGAGGCTTAAAGCGCCTAATGCTAGGTTGTCTTACTATTGGTAGCAGTTGGATTATGTAGTGAAGGTGGAAAATGCCACATTCCATTGAAAGTGTACATTTTATTTACATAATTAGTGTATGTGGCTTGATATTTTGAGACCGTATGAATGTCTCATTCCCCAACAACTTTTCATTATTTCTTTTATTTTTAAATTTGGTCTTCTATGTGCTTTTGGGTAAACTATAAACACAGAAGTGAAAGTTAAATTGTATGTACAACTTGGTTTTCTCATGTAACTCAACAAAATCTATAATATGCAGATCACAGTCAGTTCTGTCATCAGCTATCATAAAAGGTGCTATAAACTAAGGTGCTATAAACTAATTATATTCAAAGTGCCTACTGTTAGGTATTATTCAGTTAAGTATAGTTAGCAGGAATAAGAATGCATTAACATATTACCTGAATAAAGATCAGATGTATCTTGATAGGCTGTTTCATTTGCATCTTTATCTTTCTTTGTAAAAGGAGGCAGTTTTTTTGAAAGCTTGTCCAGATAATTATACTTAAAAGAAAAGCCAAAAGATTTATTTTAGACTCACACATGGCTGAAAGGCAACTGCCACAAATACATTCAATTGATGAGCATATTTTTATGATGAAAGCATATTTTCAAGGCTTTGAAAATGAATGAAAATTTTTCCAAGAGAACGATTAACTCAATTCTAGCTTTTGGTGATTAGTCATAATTTCCTATAATTTCTTCTGCTCTGTTACTATCAGCATCTGGAATCTTTGAGGAGTTCTGAAGTTATGAACACATGAGGGATTCATTTTGCCACAGGATTTTAGTGACCCCCCAGGCAGTGAGGGGCAGTTGGGCCTGTGGTTTGTATCTTAGTGCCATCATAGTAGCTGGTGGGTGAGGAAATTTTAATGACATAACGCTTCAAAATGGAATTTATCCGAAAGCAGTCATTGATTGGCAGCACTCAACTCCACCAAAAAGAGCTTAAAATAGATGGGAGAGGATACTTAATAGTTGTAAAATCACTAATAGGCTGAGGGTTCTTTTGCTCAATTCAAATGAAAATCATGAATCAGCAAAGTGCAGCTCCATTAGTGCAGATGCCTAGTCCTGGGATCTGAGTCCAAGTGGACCTCAGGCCTTAGCATCACAGCTTTTGGCAGCTCTCAGCTGCCCCTTTCAGTTCTTCAGCAGCTGAGGTTCATAGTCATTTTGGCAGTTTTCTGAGCTCCTCTGGTAGCTGCCACTGCTCTCTTAGGGTTCTCTTCGGGTCCCTGCCAGTGTCTGCTGGCCTCTGCTTCTGGTCCCCACTGATATCTGCTGTTTGATACTGGTCTCTGTGATCTCCACCACTCTCTGGAATCTTCAGGGCTAGAAGCCCTTAGCATTAATAGCTCCTTTTAATGCAGCCTGCAATGCCCATACTACCTGAGATAAGAATCCATGCATAGCTTTTATGGGACTCTATGAGCAAGGCTTTACTGGGACCTGTGCTGCAACATGCGGGGTCAGTTCACCAGAGGAAGCCCTCTTCCATTAGCCACAGGAGTGTGAAGGAGCTCTGTTTATCTTGAGCAGGAGCATGCTCATGCCTGTGCAGTTTTGCAAATTTTGTGGATCTGCTTGAGAACTTTCACAGTAATAGGAGTGTATGCAGGGAAGAGTCATCTAGGATAGGTTCCTAGATAGAACCTAGGAGAGAAGCCTACTGTGGCCAAGACAAATATCCCTGGAGTAGGATGGGGTATCTAGGGTAGCTGTAAACTTCAGGAGAAGCAACTGCTTGACTGACAGCTCCCATAATTCCCTGAAAATGGTGGGGCTGAATTGCGAATGCCACCTTTTTGAGGGGTTTCTAGGAGGGCAGTCAGTGTTAATTATGGCCCCTTGAGAATTGGGCATTTCGGTAATGGGCACTGGTCACTCACATCTTTTTCCTCTCTGGTGCAGGTTTTTGGCTGCACTTTAGAAAATTCGAACCAAGTGGCCCAGAATCAGGGGAGGATTACACCTGGAAGCTGGACCTAGAAAGCAGCTGGTAAAGTAACCCTTGGGTAGTGGGAAGGTCTGGGGCTAGCTGCCTCAGGCCACATTTAAGGAGGTGAGGGGGAGTCAAAAGGAGGGGCAAGAAAGCTATCAGATATTGTGCTGGCTGTGAGAGAGCAGAGGGTGGGTTCGGCCTCATGATTTTTTAATCTTAGGAGAGTGATAATAATATACTTGTAGTAGAGAATTTCTACACTGGAAGGAGAACTGAAATTAATCTTCCTTGTGAGAATATGGATTTGTTAATCAGGTTGATGTCGTAGAAAATTAAACAAAATTAGGAAAGAGAGATCACATATTAATGTAAGCTATATATAACTTTTATAAATACTATAATTGCTAATTATACTCAATTACCTGGGACTGATATAACTGGCTCAATTCAGAGTTGAAATAGGGTTGTAGCACTTTGTTCCTAATTTCTGTTAGCTGATTTTTTGTCTTCTCAATTTCCTTCCTGGTTGATATTTCCATAATGATGCAAAAGAAGACATAGGACATTAAAATATTTGCTTATGTTTTAGCTCTAAAACTACAGAAAATCAATGCAATCACCAACAATAAAATTGACAAGAATTGTTCCATTGGACGGACAGATTCTTGGTCAATTTATTTTGATTCCTTTTCTTTTTTTCTGAAATCACTCACATTTCCTACTGTGGAAAGAAGACTCCCATGTAAGATTGGAAATAATGATACCAGGATAGTTTAATTTTGCAGTTGATCTCAAATGACTACAAACTATGTAGCCCTACAATGATTGAAGCTTTGGAAATTTTTCAATTCTGAAATGTAAATAACAGCTAGGGAGTCTTCTGGTTTATAAGTTCAGTAGCAGTGGTAACAAAAAATAAAACCTGAGGGATGACCTACAAATGATGTGGCCAGTAGTTACAAAGTTATTAGGCCATCATGATAATCCTGGTGGATGCCTTTTGAATAGCAGAGTCCCTCTACTGAAGAGACAGCACCCAGGAAGTTCAGTGAGATGCATACTGACATTATTTCAGGTCAAAAAATCAAGACATGGAGATACCAAGTTATCTATTCCAAATCACATAACTAATAGAGATAAAGTCTGCAGTGAAACCCAGGATGCTTCTTCCAAGATCATGACCTTGACAACAGCACATATCTGTCAACCTCCAATCATCCAATTGGAGAGCTGAAAAAAACTTCAGTGAAGTGGCTGGTGAGCATAGTACAATCTTGTAAATAATTAAACTTACCTGACTCTAGATATGCTGACCCTAAGACTAGGGCTCTTATGTAAAATGGCACTCCTAGAAATATCAGACCGATATAATCAGCACATCATCTTTCTCCTGCCTCATTGGATTCATGCACCCATATGTGTCAGTCTGGCTATTGCTTACTACTCTCTTAAAATTGTTCTCAAAAAGAATTAATACATCTAAACCCGAATTTGCTTTTTTCATTCACGTTTTTGACATTTGTTGAGCACTTTCTATTTCTTGAAACTTTCCCCCTTTTACATTTTCCCAACCTTTTCTTTCTACGATACACATCTAATTCCCTGTTTCACTTTGAGTGGTTGGCCATTAACTATAAGTTAAGATTTGAAATTATTAATGATTCAAATTTTTAAAAAATTGGCTAACACATGCACATTCAAAAAGTATTAACAAGTAAATAATAAGGAGTACTCCATGTTACACTGTTCCCTGACTTCTGTCTCCATTCTCACTGCTCCCCACCCTCATCAGTCTCTTGAAAATGGTTTTTGGGTCATAAAACCTAGGACAGATTTTCTGACTTTCTCCTGCAGCAAGTCATCAGACCATCTTGTACGAGGTGTCCCTCCTAACCCAGATGAAAGGAGAATTCTTATATCTGAAGACGGTGACACAGAGAAGAATCTGAACAACAGGTCTTGCTAAGTTTCTCCAAGTTTACTAACATTTGATGGTATTTTTTGTCCTATCCTATTTCTGCACAGTTCTCCATTCTCCGTCAAACTTAGTACAAAAATACTAAAGTTTAACATTTTCTTTGGATCTTCATTTTCTTATGAAGCTTCCTATGTCATGCAAGCAAATAAATTTATATGCTTTTTATCTGGTTAATCTGTTGTTGTTGTTTTTCTAGAGACCTCAGCTATTAGACCAAAGACAGATAGATCAAAAGATATTTTTCTCTCACCACAGAGAGTAAGGTATATGCCTTCCAGTTTGACAATGTAGATGGAGGTGAGCCATTAGGGTTAGAGTCTTAAGTTACCACTTCCTCAACACATTTTATAAGGTAACAGTGGCATCTTGATGAAGATATTCATCCTGGGAATCATTTTGAAGAAGGGCCATACAAATGTATACAGTACTATTACAGTTATACTATATACTCAACAAATCTATATATTTGCCTTCCTTTCTTTCTGGCAAGAGAGCTGGAGATGGAATCCTCAGGTAGGATTGGAAGACAATAAAAACATGTAACACTTAGAGCACATTCCTCATGTGACTGACAAGAATCCTGGAAAGTTGATGAGCACATACTGCATCAAGTCCAAGAAGATTTATGAGTGTATTAGAATAGGACAAACACAGATTTCCTGAGAACCTAGTTGCTCAGGAGAGGGAGAGGATGCAGCTAATTGTCAAATGGGCTTCTTCAAGAGATAGTGATAATGTCCCATGGGAGCTGATGCACACACACACACACACACACAAACACACACACACACACACACACACACAGAGTGGCAGAAATGTAGAAAAGGCTCAAATAACAGTGCTGAGCCCAGATGGTAGGGTTTTGTAGCCTCTCCATCCCTAAGATTATATGACTTTGGGCCTTTTCACATGCTTTTGGATATGTCAGGGTAGAATTACCTCTTCTCCTCTATCTTTTCTTTCCACCTCTTTGATGCTGCTGTGTGCCTATGTGAAAGGAAATAAAAGTTTGATGAAAATGAGCAAGTAACTCTGTTAGCTTACAAAAATCAAAAGAAAAATTCAATTATACGCTACAGTGCTAACACTGTGGGAGATGAAGGGCTGGGGATTCATTGATGTGGTCACCCCTATTATGATTCCCACACTTCTCCATTTCCTTAATCATCATCTGACCAACACTACTTAGAATTCATTATTGGAATGGCTTACCTCCATTTCTTCTCAAAGGAAGTTTTACTGAATGTTTCTGGTGGACATTTTGGAGCAGAAGCCAAAGACTGCTTGAATACCTCGGTTAGGTGGGCTGTAACTTTGAAAATACTTTCATTTAGTGTTTAACTCTACTTCTCTACAATGCAACACAATCAAAACCCAATTATTCATTGGGTTGTTTTTAAGAGCTTACATTAAATCTGTAAGTGTTGACAAAGTTTCAAAGGCCAAGCAGTAATACAACAGTAAACATACTACTTTATACTATCAGGAAACGCTCAGAGTCAGAATGTAAAATGTGATGCCACCCTATTTATCCCACGCCATCAAGGCTGCTGCATTCTACTTCTTAACTGAATTCTTTCATATATGAAATAGAAAATCTTAAAGTAAATTATCATGATACTAAAAAATATTTTTCTAAATGTGTACTTGGCTCCTTGAATCTGAGGATCTGAATAAAATACAATTGTTTAGAAGTTTGGGTGGTGATTTTTTTAGGGTTCATTCCCAGAACTTGGTCTTGGTGAGACATGAACAGCAGAGTGGAAAAAATGAACATTTCCAGGCTCCATAATTATGTAAGCTTAGGAAACACTGACTTGTACAAGGCTAAATATATTTTGTTACCATAGAATTTTTCTGTATTTTTCATTAATGTACAACGTGACTTTCTAAGACAATGTGGAGGTAATGTGGAGCACTATCCATCCTTATTTTATGACAAAATTCATTTTTGGTGGATCTGCCTCATAGACTAGCATTTCAGGAAATAGTTTTATGTAAGGCTGACTTAGGATCGCTAGTATCATTGTGTCAGGGACAATTATAAGTACACAAGAGGCTCTTTGCTTCCTGCATCAGTAAACATATTTACATTTACTTTGTCCTTCACTACTGGGTGGCCTGTATGTTTACTATTGTGCTTCTCAGCTTGGACTAAAGGTACATGTTCCAAAATTACAGGGTAAGTTTGTCAGATAAAGTGCAGGGCACATAGTTAAATTTTAATTTCAGAGGAACAAAACTTTTTAAAAGTATCAGCATGTCCCATATTGGCCCCAAAGCTAGTAATTGTTGTTCATCTAAAATTCCATTTTAACTATTTGCAGTCAGTAAATAGTTTGCATTGAGTGAATCTGGCAACTTTACTACAGGGGTCACCCAGTAAAAAGGCGATATTAGCATGTCAGGACCAGGAGCACTGGGGTTGTGATGGGCTCTTCTATTATGATCATTCTGAGGGGTAGCTGCTAGTCACCTTAAGCCAAATGTTACCCTGTCATACTGTGACATTTTAAGAAGAGAAACATCTAGATAAGCAAGCAAGCAACCAATCAAACAAACAAAAAATAAATTCACAAACGGATACTATGGAGGACACACAAAATGTCTGTGGGCTGAGTGAAGCCCATGACTGTCAGCTTATGACCATTTCCATGTGGGAAAACAAACAAAACAATCAAATCAAACCAAACCAAAACCCCACAAAATTCTCTACCTTGTGTTTGCTGTAAACTATGAAACTGTCTAACCAAGAGTGTTACATACATAAAGTATAGAAGAGTGCAAGGTTTTTGTAATGATTACACAGTTGCTCAAACATTCTTTGCATATGCATGCAGGAGTTGCTGGTTGGTTGACTGTCTCCTTTCTATATCTTAGCTATGTTCTAGGTCAGCATAAAAGTCAAATGTTAATTTTTTAATTCACCTGATGAAAGTTAAGGGTGAATTAGAAAGACAGTCTTGTGTTTCAGGGATCCCCTAATTCAGGCAGAATAAAACACAAATAAGCCATCTCAAAACAACATAGCCAGTATGAGAACAGAGCTATATACATGAGACTTTGGTATGAGATAAGAGAATGACTAATAAGTGTATTTAATATTATTCCTTTGAAACTTGTTAGTATATTGCAGAAAAATATTAAATGCCAGTTACCTTCACTAACATAACTTTTTTCAGTTTCCTCCATTTTTGGGAAAGACTGAAAAAAAAAAAGAGAATTGATCAATGATGATTACATTGCATACAAAATTCACTTTGTTTAGAAGTATTCTTTATGTACTCAAATTGACCTTTTATGGAAATTACTACAAAATGAATGAGCTTTTTAATACTAATATAAAATTTATTTGATTTTATTTTAGTTATTCCTCTTACCTAAAACTTTTCTAAAACTGGAAATCATTTTAAATTACAGAAACTTCTTTTTCTTAATCTTTTCAACTCCTTTAGTAATTCACTTAATATTTCAACAGACATTATTTCTTTGAATGACAATAAATCTTTATTTGAGACACTTCAGAATTATTGATAATCAAAGAAAGAGCCTAAAATGTATTTGGAAAATTCAGCATATAAAGGATTGATTTACACAGAAACAAGGTATTATAAGCAAATGCTTCACAGAAGTGGCAGAAGCACCATATGTCTGTTCCTTATATTATTTTACCTAGGAGCATCTACTATTGAAACAATGGTAATGTCACAGGTCTTGTCTATAAAACCATTTTCTCACCATAACTAGCTTGAGAAGATCTGCAGCATTGCCTCTCTCCTCTTCAGTTCTGGAATCCTTGACTGTCATTTCTTGTAGTTCTTCTTCTTTCTTTAGAATGTGATTGATATAATCCTAGATAAGTAGGATAAGACACATGGATTAAAAAAAAAATCAGGTTTAGGCTGGGCAAGGTGGTACATGCCTGTAATCCCAGCACTCCAGGGGCTGAGGCAAGAGGACTGCTGTGAGTTCGAGTTTGAGGGCAGCCTAGGCTCCACAGTGAGTTCAAGGCCAGCCTGAACTACACAGTGAAAACTTGTCTCAAAAAACAAGAAAATAAAATCAGGTTTAAGGTATATATACACAGACATCTAAATAGTCAACATCAACTTAAATGTTACAAAAAGATGAAGAGTAAAGAAGTTCACACAACTCAACATTCAATTGCTAGCCAAACAATCTGGAAAACAAAAGTTAAAAAGCAAAGACCTGAAAAGTCCACAAGTGCAGCCTTGAGGCCACAGGATAAAACTGCATGGGGACTTCAAAGAAGACCTGCTTCTAGTCTATGCTTCTGTATTCTCCTCAGTAAAACTGTCACATTTGATTAGATAATGTGTAGACCTTTCAAGTATAGTCTTATGAATGTATCTATGAATGCACATTGCTTAGTCTATGTCTTTGCTTCCAACAGAATTATACTTTGCTTTTATGAATATTTAATCCATTTCCATTATGTATTGACCTCTGGCTCTATGTCAAGTATTGATTATTTAACAATAAACAAAATGCATGTAATTTTTTTTCTGAAGGACTTGAACTGGAAAGTGAGATATTATTGATAGACTCATTCAATTAACTAACTGTACATTTACCAGTTATAAGATCACTTCCAAGCCAAGACTCTTTTCATTCATGAACAAATACCAAATGAATAAGTGATTCTATTTTTTTCCAGAGATCACTCTACTAGTCTAATGCACATAGTAAGAAAGGAGGTATCTGCATGGTAATCACAATTGTCAGAATGTGTAACCATGACTGCATAGAGGATGAGAAAGATTACTCTGAGAGGAGATTTAATTTGCTTCAAGAAGCCCAGAGAGGTTGCTTAGGAGAGAGCTTCAGAGAAACAGAAGCAGACCTATGTAGACCTGCAACCTATGTGGTTTATTTGTAACTCAAGGACAAGAAACAAAACACAAAAGAAAAGCATTTGCCACAAATTGTATAAGGGTTTTTGGTCAAGGGACAGAGCCAGAGTGGGATGATTTGGTATGTGACACATGTTGACCTAGTTTAGACAATCTTGTCAGCACAGAGGGGACTTAGTGGCCAAAGCAAGCATCTCTGAAAATAACTTGCTTTTGATTATGCTGGCTATTGTCCTGCAGATTTTGCTTTAAGTTCTAGCCATGCATTCCAGGCTAAGCAAAGAGGTACATGGTAGTACAACAATAGGCTGGTTTATGGCAAGTGTATGCGACTATTCCTTAACACGGTTATGTAGTCTAAGACACTTGGAGATAGCCAGTCTTTGACTTTCTGGGGACTGTTTCAAAGGTCCCTTCCTTAGTGCACTCAATCACTCCTTTGGCCACCATCTCCCCATACATAGTGTATTACTTTGTCTATGCTGGGGGCCTCTTAAATGATTTTTACATCTTAAGTACTTTTTACCTCTCAACCTTCTAGTGTGGAAGATTGACACTCATGTGTTACGTTGGATAATACTGGTGGAATTAGATAATTTTAGGTTCCAAAGGAACCTAAGAAAAAAACCAAGAAGAATGACTGCCTTGTTCATGACATTTTGGGGTCAGATTACCTGGATTTCATTACCTTAAGTGAAACCTGCAGCCTCAGTTTCTCTTCATTCTTTATGGCCTCATGCTGGATGAACTGGCGCATCTGCAGCACCTTGGGGTCTTTAAGCACAGGAGCTGGGGCATTCATTAGCTGTTTATATCCAATGGAAAGGCCCTTCCAAATTTGAGTGCCAAATGGAGGCCCTGGAGTTTTTCTCTGACAAAACAAAGCAAGACATTCACCAAAGAGATCAGAATGTCTTTACCATGGATTTTAAAAATTGACTATTTATGTAGATACTACACTAGGAGCCACTTGTTAGGAATGCAATTCTATACTAAAAAAAAAAAAAATTCTTCTTAACATCAAAAAGTTCTTCAAATATAAAGAAAATTGATACTAGAACTGGCCAAGTCTTCTTCTTTGTGTTTATTTCCAAGAAACTGGATATTTCAAAATCTTGTTACATGGTGTCCTTCTGAGTGGCATTTAAGGCAGTGCTAAACAAAGGGCTACACCGTAATAAGGCAACAGGCTAGCTTATGACAAATGTGTGTGATATTCCTTAACATCATTATGAAGTGTAAGACACTAGGAGTTAACCAGTCTAACTTTCTGGTTCTATGCTTATTTTGTGCTAGAAAGGTTCTTTGAGAGAGAAACCAACTATAGATAAATAACTTGTGTTTTGAAAGTTTATTGATTGAACATCCTTGTCACTGGTTTTCAAGAGTGGTATGCTTTGTGGAACTCTGCCAGCTGTGTTTCTTTGAAAAGCCCCGGCCAGAGATAACCACTCGGAATTTTGAAGCTCATCACATAAAAATTTCAGAGAATAAACTTCCTTCATTAATCCCAGATGTAGTGCAATTATCACATACTACTTTCAATTTGGGCACAGCCTTAGTGAGCTTTCTGGTGTGACATTTTTATTTTCAGAAAAGGAAACTAAGGTTCATCATGACTTCTTCCAAATCCCACATGATAAGTTAAAAATCAGGACATAAATTTAAAATAGCTTCATCTCACCACTTAGATTACATTTACCAAATTAAAACAAAGGGGTGGAACATCTTTGTTTTCTTAATTGCTCATCATCTCTGCTTTTACTATTATAAGATTTATTGTAGGGCAGCAAAAACATAATTTAAAAACATTCTTCTCATTTAATACTAGGTCTCCCTTCCTGATCATATTGTCAATGTCTTCACTGATTTTAGAATTTAGTATCATAGAGACATTACATAGTTATTAAATAAAATGCCAAATCTTGCAAGATGCAGGACTTCATGATTACTGCCCAAGATGTTTTCTTTCATTCTTTACAAACTTAGGTGGGATTTGTCTCATTTGACATAATCGCAGTACTTAATAACATTGCAGTTGCAAAACACACATGTAATCCTTTACATTATTCTTATATACTCAGCTTGTGCATTTTTAATATGTGAAGAGAAAAATGGCAAAGTGAGACTTAAAATTCTAGTAAGAAATGAATAAACTAGTAAGAAATGACAAGAGGAAATGGCATAACATCAGCAATTCTATGATAGGAGAGGTTAATATGCATTATTCAGAAAGGATATTTGAATGTCATAGGAAGATGTCACAACTGCAATATAGATAAAAGAAATAAAATTTAAATTAGCTATCCAGCTACATTCCTCTAAAATTCTGTTGTTATACTATAAATGTTAAAGAGCTTCAAGTATTAAAACTCCTTAAGCGTATTAACAATTTACATAAGGTTGAGATATAAGTACATGGGAGAAGACCAGGTACCTCAGTTCTGCATATGCAACTTTGTAGCAGAAAATGTGTACCTCAGTTGAGGGGAATGTCTCCCATGATCTTGACTGGAGATTAGGAGGAACAATCGTCTCTAATTCCTTCTTCATTAACCATGGTGATGCTTCATGGAAAGGACGAAGGATTGTGATGCTCAGGGCCCCTGATGAAAAAAGAGTTTTCTCCACTAAAATTACTCTGGTAAATTCAACATGCATTAATTAAATTCATCAAATACCTTTGAACTGTCTTCTACATAAAAGATTAGCGAGACCCTAGAAGATTATGCTTAGGGCCATATAATCTAAAAGGAAAGCGAGGCTGTTAGTCACTGGAACACCTAGAAAATGGGTGTTGGTCATCTAGAAGTGATCAAGATTCACTGATACCTCACTGTCCCTCAATAACCACATCCAAGTCCTGCCAGTTCTGTCAACAAACTTTTGTGACACTCCCCTCTTGTGCTCTCACCAGAGGTTCTACATTACACCATTGCCTCAGAAAGATTCTGCTCTGGACGATATATCAGCCAGCTCTTCTACTCATGTGTGCTCTTTGAATGAGTTTCCCTCCAGTCAGGCTGACTGGTCATGTCCATCCATGAATCAAATTTTTCTTGGACTTCCCATTGCTCCAAAAATAAATTGGAGTATTATTTTTTCTTCCTGCCTCAACTTGCACCATTCTCCTCCCCTCTGTGCTTCTAGCTATGTGGCCTCTTTCTCCACTTTTGTGTTTTTTCTCCTTTGTGTTCTAATTTTCCAAGAAAACTCTTCCTCCTACCCGAATCAACCATCCTCATCTAGTACCTCATGGCTCAAATGTCTTCAAGGAGGCTTTTGAGCTACCTCAGGTGTCTCTACCGGATGCTCTCATAGAACAGTGTTTCTTTCCTTCATAAACCCTAGTCCAGTTTATAATTACCCAGCTATTTGTGTGACAAAATTAATGCTTTTGTCTTTTACTGAACCACAAGCTTCGTGGAAACTGGTCCTGTTTTGACTCACTACTGTGTTCCTAATACCCAGCCAGTGCTTGGCACATGTAGATTTGCCAAGTGATGCTACGTAAATTACCAACACAGCAATTTGAGATTATTTCTTGTTCTCATACATTTATTTACATGCATGCATTTCTTACACAGAGCCCTCTACTCTCCATAGTCACAAAGAGCAAAGTATATTACATAGTGGTCATGTGCATGGATACACTAAAAGATAAAAGTACATGGAGATGTGGGCAGTCTCATAAATGCACACAAAGTATATCCCACTGAACAAAAGATAAAAAAGAAATACAGACCTAGGCACAGCAATCAAAGTAGTACATTTCTCTAATAATCTCTGGTCACACACCAATTTCTTTGAAACTGATGAAAATAATATAAATTTCCAATGAATATACCTTACATGGCTTATATATCTCAGATTGGTAGTCTAGCTCACACATAAACGTTATTTTCTTATCGCATTCAATTTAATCAAGGCAACGCCTTTAAATGAAAAAGAAAAACCATGGAAGATATCTTTCATTCTTAACAGGATGAAGTAAACTCATCAAGCGGGCAGGAGGAAAAAGAGATGATTACAATTATTAGGTATCATAAATATACACTAAATGAAACCACTTAAATTTGTGAGGGCACGAAGAGAAACAGCCTGGATCCTTGAGGGTAGGGAGGAGGCCTAGGTTTAAGTACAGATCTGCTTATAGTAGCGGATGAATTTATACTCAGTGTACGCAGGTTGATGCTCAGAAAGAGCACGACATGAATGTAAAATCGAGTAGCTATGGAAGCAGATTGGCGAGGCCAACTGGGAAGTGGAAGAGTAAGCAAAGGGAAAACAACGGAGAAGGGGACGGACTGGATCGTAAGAGCGAGAGAGCGGGCGAGGGGACAGGGAGAGCTCCACCTGGCTGCTCCTGCACTGGCTCCTGGACAACCGCAGTAGTTGATTCTCCATAGGCCAAGGACAAGTGTTCTTCAATGTCACTGTCACGGAGGAGTTCCATTCCGGATCCATCAGCATAGATCACAAAAAATCTGACAAAACAAAAATCTAATCAGTCGAACTATTCAATTAAAATGTGTCTTGAACTTGGAATTGAAAAGATATAATATGATTAGTATCATTTTACCTGGGAACATGTTCACCATAGACTTGCATATGATTCTTTTCAAGGTGAACAGATGACAAACTGTCATAGTCCTCGGGTTTTACATGTAAGTCACCTTCTGATTTTTTTTCTGGTAGCACGGTTGATGCACTGCCATCAGCCATGACCTAAAAGACAAGGCACGTAATCAATTAAGGGAACAAATAAAATGCCATATGCTTCCATTTCTGCTGATCCAGAGTGGGAAAGCAGGTAGTCTTTTTGTGTACAAAGAGAATCAGATAGATTTTATTTGCAAATAAAAGATACTTTTCCCTTAATTATGGATTGTACACAGTATTACTAATAAATCACACCCAGAATGTGAAAACAAACTGGAACAGATTGGAAAGAAGGTAATTAGGATGGGGAAGGGATTCAAAATCTTAGCCTATCAGGTAAGTTCAAAGAATAGGGTATTTAAACATGAGAAAAAGGTCATTCATGTGATAATTGTCCTCAAACAATGAAAGGGCGTCACACAGAAGAAATTTGCACTCTGAGATTCTAAAAGCGAAATTAGGACTCTAGGTAGAATACATAGGGAAGTAGATTTAGCATCAGCATGAGAGACAGTCTAGCTGTCAATGCTATCTAGCTCTAGGAGCTTATCTCCAGAAAGTGTGGAGCAGGCTGCCAGCTGCTGACAGGGATGCCTGGGAGGAGGGTCAGTGTCTAAAAAGTTGGTGGGTCCTAACATCCCTGACTTTTCAGTCAGGAGGTGGTTGGCTTTATGTTTCTACTTCTTTGTAAATTGAAATTTGTCAGCGGCACTCATGATGTGAAGAGTCAGTTACTTAGCAAAGCTGGAACAAGGCTTGCCTGCATTCAAAAAAAAAAAAAAATTAGGGACTCTGTGGCATAAATCCCAAGTGGAAAAACAACCCCACAGTCACTAGACAATGAAGCAAATTCCACTTTTGGGTTAGGAATGAGAAAAAAAAAATGCTTAGAACAGGAGTTGGAAAACCTTTTTTGGTTAGCATCCAGAAGTAAATACTTCAGGATTTACAGCAGATTCTCTAATTCTGTGTTGCAACTACTCAGCTCTCCCTTACTAGGCAAAAGAGCCAGAGACAACTAAGTAAATAAAAGAACATCATGGTATCTCTGTGTACTTTACTTAACAAGACTGAGAGTTGAATTTTCCATGATTATTGTTTTGTGTTCCATGAAATCTTCTTCTTTTGCTTTTTTTTTTTTAAACCAAATTAAAATGTACAAAGGAAACAATTTAGGTTTTTGAGCTTTAGGGAACAAGTAGCCAATGCCTGGACTAGAGGTAAAGGAACAGTCACAGTGTTGAAAGTCAGAAGAGAGGGAGCACTGGCAGGGAATAGCTGAACATCTCTTTAGACTTCCTACCTCCCCATCCTCAGTCCTATGAGGTATTTGTCACTATGGACGCTGCCTTGTTCCTCACCTATGCCTTCTACCTTGTATTTGATTTAACTTTAACCAGAGTGCAGATCATCTTTATATCATTCTTTGTGGTAGCACTATTTTTCAGTGTTTCTTTTCTTCTGTCCTAATTATCTATTATGCTTTCACATTTCTATTATCCTACTTTTGGGCTTGCAATCCTCTATGAAAATTGAGGAATTGAGGAAAAGATACTGCCTTCGTGATCACTGGCCCAAAGCATTGGCAGAAAGTGACTAAGTAATCCGCTGGCAATGAAAACCCAAATCGATGTGAAAACCATCTGGTGTGAAGCACGACAGAGAGCTCAAAGCCACGGGCTCTCTTTCCAGGCTGAAGATGCGCTTTACCTGAAAGATGTTTCCCTCGGGATCCAGGACCTCACAGATAACCTCTGATGTGTGCTTCATGATGTACGTGCTGGCTCTCAGCTGCTCACGCCTTTGGAAAGGATGATAGATGTTACTGCTTGACTCGTGGCAATACGTGGCTGAACAATCCCTGTCAATATAGAGGCAACCGGTATTGGGAGGTAGCACCTGGAAGAGAAAAAACAAAGACACAACAAAATTTAAATTTCTGTGCAATTTGAGAGGCTTGGGACATCAATTTAGGAAAAATAATATCCATATCATGAGCTATATTCCTTGATCAAGAGGCAAACTGAGAAGTAAAGTACAGTTTCATTCGTGTCCTCACATTTGTCTGTTCACATTAATCTAGTATCTCCAGTAAATATTTTCCCTGTGCCTTCTTACTGTAGACATTTAATATATTTTAGTGGAGGCAAACATACTTGGCTCTATTTAAAATATTTGGTATCCAGTCTGGTTTTGCACAAGAAACATCTCTAAAAGGGCCAGAAGCTATGGGATTATTCTTAGAAGATTTTGCTTGCTTGTTTATTTGTTTGTGGTACTGGGTATCGAACTCAGCACCTTGCACTTGCCAGGCAGACACAGTGCCACTGAGTTATATCCCCCACCCTCTTAGAAGATTTTATTGTTCCTCATTTCTCTGGTAATGAGTGCAGTCCTTAAATAATAGCTTTTCTAGTGACTACTGCTCAAACAGACCCTTTAAAAATGTAATTCATATATTATAGATTCAGCCTTTAAAAGTATATGATTCAGTAAATTTTCAGGATATGAAAAATTTATGCAACTATTCTTACTCATTCCAGAATATTTTTTTTGTCATCATCCAAAGAAGCACCAGTTTTTTTTAGTCCATGTGAAATTTCCTGTCCCTAATCCCTGGCAGCTACTAATCCACTACCTCTATGGATTTACCTATTCTAGTCATTTCATATAAATGAAAGGCACTATGTGGCTTTTTCCAGTCTTGCTTCTTTCACTTAATGTAATATTTTCAAATTTCACCAATTTCAGCAGGTATCAGTAATTTATTGCATTTTTGGGCTAATATTCCATTCTGTGGCTATTTTATTTTTCCACTTATGAGCTGATACACATTTTATTGATTGATTGATTTTTGAGATAGCATGTAGTTCAGGCTAGACTTGAACTCATTATGTACCACAGGGTGTCCTTGAACTCATAATAACCCTCCTGATTTAGCCTTCTAAGTGCTGGGATTACAGGCAGTCACCATCATCCTCAGCCACATTTTATGTTTTTTAACTAATCAGTCATGCTGAGCAGAAAAGCCCAGTCTGAAATTCAGTGGAGAGAGCAGAATTAAGGAGCCCAAGGAAAACAGAGCCCCCGGAATGTGGGGTGCTAAAATTAGCAGGTTTGGAGTGGAGGAGAGCATTGGATCTCTCCTGGAATCTGCCCAGAGCCAGCTGGTGAAATGATCTGGGGATCTATGTGCATTCTCGGAAGTTCTTTCCCGGAAGTGTGGACGTAGGGCTGAAGCACACCACTGGCATGAGTGTGGATCAATGTTTTAATGTCTACCCTGGACTTCTGCAGGTGGAAGAACATGATTAACTGGCTCCAACATCTAGAAAGCCTCTTAAACTTTCCACTAATACTGCTTTGTTTTTTAAAATTGTTTTTCTACTTTTTGTTTTTTTTTCTACCTGCCCTGTCACATAACCATTTATATATCTCCTCCCTCCCCTCCATCAAAACCTATTTTCTCAATTTTTCCTTTTTGATTTTGCTTTTATTTTATATTAGCCCATTATATTTTCACTTTCTTTTCCTCTATTTTTTTTCTTTTCCTAGCTCTCAGGCCATAAAACATGTTTAAATAAATAGAAAAGAATGAAAATAATCTCTTGCATCCTACCAGCTCATAATGGAATAAAATTAGAAATCAACAGCAAAATTAGCTTCACAAAATTATATTCACATGGAAATTAAATAATACACTTTTGAATACTCAATGGCTCATAGAAGGAATCAGAGGAGAAATTTTAAAAATTTCTAACATCAAATTACAGTAGCAGTACAACATATCAGAATCTCTGGGGCAGAAGGGAAGCAGTGAGTGCCTCATTAGAAAAGTGAAAGTGTTACCAAAATAATGACCTAATGATACATCTCCAGGCTATAGAAAAACAAGAGAAATCCAAATCCAAATCTTCTAGAAGGCCAGAACTTATAAATATCAGACCAAAAATCAACAAAATTGGGACTAAAAAAATAAGTAAAAAGGATCAAGCAATCAAATAGTTGGGTTTTTTGAAAGGATAGGATTGATAAACTCTTAGGCATACTTACCAAAATAGGAAAGACTCTCATGGATGCGATTAGAAATAGAAAAGGCAATCTTACAACAGACACCCTTGAAATTCAGAGAGTTACAAGAAACTATTACGAAACTTATGTTTCAACCATCACAGAACCTGGAAGAAATAAATTTCTAGATACATATTCCACAACAAAACTGGGCCAAGAAGATTTATATATATATATAAACCTAAACAGGCAAATAACAGGCAATGAACCCGAAGCAGTAATGAAGTCTTCTAACTAAGGAAAGCCAAAGGCCCATTAGATTCACAGCTGAATTTCACCAGAACTTCAGCTAAGAGCCAATGCTACTGCTTCTCATACTCTTCATGAAACTGAAAAGAATGAAATGCTGCCAAACTCATGCCATAAAGTCAGCATAACCCAAAATGAGGGTTATACCCTCATAATACCAAAATGAGATGAGGACACAATCCAAAAAGAAAACCACAGGCCAATACATCGGATGAACATAGATGCAAAATTCTGCATAAAATACTTGCAAATAGAATGCTACAAATTTTTAAAAGGACCATACATCATGACCTAATTGGCTTCATCCCAGAGATGGAAGACTTGCACAACATGGATAATCCAATAAATGTAATACACCACATAAATAAAACGAAGAATAAAAATCACATGGTCATCTCAATACAGTAAGTCCCTGACTGAAGAAGTTCCCTTCAGGGAGAAAGCCTGTAAGTTGGATTGACTAGTGAGTCCCACAAAGTGAGTCTTATACAGTACACTTGTGAAAAGTTCACAACTAGAATGCCTTTAAGTTGGGGACTTACTGTAGATATGGAATAACTTGTAACAAAATCCAGCATGTTTTCGTAAGAAAAACCCTGATGAAAATAGGTATAGAAGGATTTTACCTCCAATTCATAAAAGCCATTCACGACAAACCCACAGCCAACAACATAATAAAGGAGGAAGAAATGAAAGTCTGTGTTCACTTTAAAACCAGGAACAAGACAAGGGTGTCCTTCCTCACCACTTTCTTTAATATAATAATTGCAGCATTAGCTGGAGCAATCAAGCAAGAGAAAGAAGACAGAGAAGGAAGGTGTCAAATTACCTCTATACACAGATGATATGATGTTTTATGTAGAAGACTTCCACAAATAAACCCACCAGAAGACTCTTCAAGCAAATAAACAAATTTAGCAAAGTGGCAGTATATGAAATCAATGCACACAAATCAGTGTTTCTGTACACCAATAATGAACCCAGTGAGGAAGCAGTCAGGAAAACGATCTCATTCATGGTAGATCCAAAAAAATCAATCTAGTCAAGGATGTGAAAGATCTCCATAATTAAAATTATAGTAGTCTTAAAAAAAAGATTGAAGAGGATGTTAGAAAATAGAAATATATCACTGTTCCTGGACAGGCAGAATTAATACTGTTAAAATGACCGTATTATCAAAAGCAATCTATACTCAATGAATTTCCTATTAAAATACCAAAACATTATCCATAGAGTTAGAAAAGATGTCCTAAAATTTATGTGGAAGAAACCTAGATTAGACAAAGCAATCCAAAGGAAAAATCCCAAACAACAACAGCAACAACAACAAAACCGATGTGGGAGGTATTAACAAACCCAAATTTTAAATTACATTATGAAGCTACTATAACAAAAACAACATGACATGGGCACAAAAGAAGACACTTTGACCAATGAAATAGAAGACAGAAATAACCCTATGTACTTTTAGCCATCTGATCTTTCACAAATGGTTAAACAACATATATTGGAGAAAAGGGCCTGTTTAATAAATAATTCAGGGAAAACCGCATCCACGTGGAGAATAGTGAAGCAAGATCCCTATCTCTCCTCTTGTACTAAAATAACATAAAAATGCACCAAAGACCTAGATAGTAAAAAGAAACACTGAAACTACTGGAAGATGATAAAGCAGAGACAATATTTGAAGACATAGACATAGACAAACGTTTCTGAACTCTAACAGCCTAAGAAATAACAAGAATCAACAAGTGGGTTTTTCTTCTGTTTTGGTTTTTATCAGTACATGTTTGCAGTATATGATGATTACATTCATCACGGAACACATGGGATTGTGTGAAATTAAAATGCTTCTGTACAGAAAAGGAAATAATCAACAGAGTAGAGACAACATCCTAAATGGGAAAAGCTTTTTGCAAGTTACTCTTCTGATAGAGGCCTAATATATTTCTAGGTTATAAAAGAGCTAAAAAATACTAGACCTTGTAAAACAAAGGGCCCAATTCAAACAGTGGGCAAATGAAATGAACAGACTGTTATCAAAAGAATTACAAATGGCCAATACATATGTGAAAAATGTTTAGTGTCTTTAGCATTAGAGAAATATAAGTTAAAACATCATTCTCTGCTGTTCAAAACTGGATACCATCAAGAACACACACGAGGACAACAACAGTAAAAGCGGATGAGGTTTGGGGGTAAAAGGAACCCTCCATTGTTGGTGGGAATGCAAACTAATGAAACTATTAGAGAAAAAGTAGGAAGACTCCTCAAAAAAACTAAAAAATAGAAATTCCATTTTATCCAGGTATACCTCTTGTGGGTATATTCCCACAAGGAATTGAAGACATCGTACTATAGAGACACACACATACAGTTTATGAAGGTGAAATTCACAACTTAAAAACCGGAAACCAGCCGAGATGCCCAATGACAGATGAATGTACAATGTGGTGTACTTACAGTGGGGTATTATTCAGCCACAGAGAAAGATAATTTGGATCATTTGTAGGGAAATGGTTGGAATTGAGATCATAATAGGAAATATGTCAGACAATAAGATTAATTATTACACGGTTTCCCTTATATGAGAAACCTAAAATAGAAGTAAAGAGCAAAGAATGATGGAGAGATGGTAAATACACTTCTTGTAGGTGGGGAAGAGGAGAGGAGAAGAAGGAGGAAAGTGAAGGCAGGGAGGAGGAGAAGGTGTACAAAATGGATCAAAATATGATAAATATGTGTACCAATTTTCAAAACAGATACTATTATGTATCACAAACGTGCCAATTAAATAAAATGGGGTGTAGAGGGGGGAAGTGTTGCTAGTCAGGTATACACGAATCATATGATCTCAGGACTTCTACCGTATACAGTGCTGAGCATGTTAGAAATCCTCAACGCATGCAGTTTGGTTTGTAATCTTTGTAGATTTTTTTCTTTTCCTTTGGTACTGGGGATCGAAATCCGGTCCTTGCACTTGCGAGGCAGGCGGTGGAACCCCTGAGCTAAATCCCCGGTTTGTAATCTCGACACAAAGTTTTATAAAGCAAGCAGGGCAATATTTTTTGTGGAATAGAAGGTGAAAAGATGATGAATAAGTAAAAGTCTGAGAACTCCTCATTTTCTGATTAGACCTACCTGGTACGTGCCTTGTGGCTTCGCGATGACAGATGTCCCATCCCCAAAGGTGGCACAGCAGCTGCTGTCCTCGCAGTTGGTGATCACAGTGGCATAGTGTGAGCTTTCTATCCGCATGCACTTCACCTGTCTGGTGACCGTGCGAGGAACCTCAGCTACAAGAAATAATGGGTACGCAGATTTCTCGGGATACACATTTTGGAAAATAAGCCCCAGCCTACTGACTTTGCTGCTGTCTCCCTGTTGTCTGGATTCTCCATGGGGAGAACACGACTGGGAAAAGACTGGGGGCTTTGAACTCCACCACGTTGGAGGGTAGCTTATTCTCTGTCAATTCAGAATAATTTTTTGAGAATAAGGTGTCATCTTGATCTACTGTTCTTTTTATTTGCGAAGTTGAAAACATTCAGTTTTTCAGTTTGAAAATTGAAATGCATAGAACATAATGTAACTAGCTACATAATTATCAATCAAAATATATGCTTGTCACTATTTGCCATATTTAACGTTTATAATGTGTGTATAAAAGTTATAGTTTGTCTTTATGCTTAGATTTATTTCCTTTATGTAATCCATTCATATACTTTTATATGAAGATAGCCATTGAGAACAATTTGTAATACTAGTGTGCTTTAATAAATTCAAGTGGTTCTAATAAATTATATATAACACTATGTAATTATAGGTTTATATAATTTTATCTATCATTCTGCATCTGATTTTTCTTTTAATATTGTTTTGAGGCCTCTAGCAATCATAACATATGTGTGATTCATATTTTTTTTGGTATGGGGGATCGAACTCAGGACCTTGTGCTTGCGAGGCAGGCAGCAGAACCACTGAACTAAATTCCTGGCTGTGATTCTTTATAGCCATCATTGGCTCTTCTGTGTCAATATAACATTTGATTTTCCTATTCTGTCATTGATAGGAATATGTGTTTTCTCATTATGTCGCTATCATATTCAGGGTTAAGCTTAGTACTGGTTTCCTTGTGCAGATGGATAAGAGAATCTATACTACCCCAATCCAGGGCTAACATATTGTTTGATACACATAATTTTACAAGGAAGGGCTGGAAAGATGTAGACCAAAGGGTAGGATGCAGGTTAAATAAGCGTGAACATTTACTCATGTGCGACATGAGGCTTCCAATAAGTAATATTGCACTGTACACTGGAAATATTCTAAGTAGATTTGAGGTGTTCTTATCACACATAACCAAAAGTAACTATGTGAGGCAACACACATGGTAATTTGCTTGCTGTAGTAATTATTTCACTATATATGTACCTATGAAAACATGTACATTTTAAATCTATATAAGAAAGAAAAAACAAACTCTGGCATTAAAGAAAAGGTAACCAGGGAAAAAGGTGGCTTTAAAAATACCCTCTAAATTGAGCAGGCTCTGGTTGTGCAGCAGCTGTGGCCTTCTTTTTCTTCTTTACAATACCTTGCTGACAACGAGAGTCACGCTCAAGTTTGAAAGAAGACTTATCCTTGGTTACCAGTTTACACACGTCAGATGTTGTAAAGACCAAAGGGAACAAGTTTAAAAGCTAACATCTAGCATGGCTGAGTCATGATTATTAGTTTTCAGTTGCCACCAGTCTGTATCATAGATCTTTAGAGGTAAAAATTAAAAAAAGACTCTAGTATCCCTCAGTCAGCTAAAGCAGTTATCATTTTTATCTCTGTTGAGGATAAAAGCATAGTAAAAGGCCCTGATGCTCTCCTATGTCATTGCCGCTATTACTCACAAGAGCCAAGATTTGGAAAATGTGGCAAGGCTGTAAAATAAAATATTATTCAGCCTTTAAAAAGAAGGAAATCCTGGGCCAGGGAGGTAGCTCAGTGGTTCCGCTGCCTGCCTCGCAAGTACAAGGTCCCGAGTTTGATCCCCGGTACCAAAAATAAAGAAGGAAGTCCTGTCATTTGTGACAACATAGGTAAAATGAGTGGACATTATATTATGTGAATAATACAGGAGCAGAAAGACAAATACTGCACTTATATGTAAGATTTTAAAAGTTGAACCCATAGAAGAAGTAGAGAGCAGAGTGGAGGTTAGGAGGGGATGCAGGGCCTCAACATAGGGAGATGATGCTCAGGAAATACAAATTTTCAGCTAGATAGGAGGAATAAATCCAAGACATCGGTGGTAGAATAGGATGCCTACAATAAACAATAATACTGTAATTTGAAAATTGCTGAGAGAGTAGATTTTCAATGTTTCACTACAAGAAGTGACACGTGAAATAACACACATGTTAACTTGCTTAACTGAGCAACTACAACATATATATTTACTACAACATATATATTTCAAAACATTATGTTGTATGTGATAAATATGTGTGATTCTTGTCACTTTGTAGTGGACTAGTGGTCAACATGTAACGCCCAGGTGAATTGAATCAGCATGGTCTGGGCATGGAGGATCCGCCTAAAGATTGTTACCAATAGCCATAAAAAGAAAACTAGGAGGGAAGATCTTGGTCTGCTGATTTTCTAGGAGAGGCTTGCTGCAGATGGTTTTCCTGATGCAAACTAGGCTGTTCTCAACAGAGGAGGAGCTCAGGACCTTGCTGTCACTGGGAATGGCTGCTTTCATCAGGGGAGCTCTGATCTTTAGCGTGAACATCACTTCCTGGCTCCAGTGTGGATCCCTTAGTTTGGTGGCACAAATCCTTCATCTCACCAGCATAGATTTTTCTGGCTTCCATCACTGGCCTTTGGGCCTTCCAGTGCAGATCCTCAATAGGACAAGCATGAGACATTGCCGTAGGCTCTAGGCTGCTGGCTGGACTCGGAGAGGACACTGCCTTGGTCTCTAAGCCTTTAGCTGGACTTGTGTGGGAAAGTGCTGGGACCTAGGCCCTCAGTTGAATGTTTTGGGCTTCTAGTGTGTGGCTAATCTCTTGCAGTCCTTTGCATTTGACTCTGGGTAATTATCATAAAATAACCTTATTAGTCATGTCCTGTATTTAATGTATTCCCTCCCCCAATCCTGCTGACGACAGCACACTTAAAAATAAAGTTAATTTGGGCTGGGGAATTAGCTCAGTGGTGCTGCTGTCTGCCTTGCAAGTGCAAGGACCTGAGTTTGATACCTGGTACAAAAAAAAAAAAAAGTTAATTGAAGTATCCAAGACAAACACAAAATAATAATGATAATAATAATGCAAGGTTTTAACAATCTGTGTTTTGCATGTCATGAGTGTTCTTTGGTTTTTTTTGGTTTTGTTTTTTGTTTTGGAACTGGGGATCGAACTTGGGATCTTGTGCTTGCAAGGCAGGAGGCAGAACCATCGAACTAAATCTGGCCCCATGAGTGTTCTTTGGTTGGCTGACTTCATTGTAGTATTATGTTATGTTTATGATTACCAGTCAGTGAGGATTCTACTTATCTTCAGCTACAGAGTTATAAAATATTGTTTTGTTCCTGAAAAGTAAAACTTACTTGTTTCTTGATCATCTGTAGAAATAATATGATCTTCATAAACCTGATAAAAGGTTGTGATTCTGGTACCATCAGCATGATCCACTATCCGAGTGCCATCTTTCTTTTCAACGATGACTACTTTGTCTTCTCGGGTTGTCATAACCTGAACAGATCAAAGTAGAACTTAAGTTCTGGGCTAGGTATTTAATCCCCAGTGGACTTATTTTTATGCCTCATCGAACACAAAGATAACACCATCAAAATCCTGGAGTCTTCTAAGTGAAGGTTTCATTCTCCTTTCAATCACTGTTGAGGCAGGCAGTGTCTCTATTTCATAGAGGAGGAAATTTAGGCTTAGAGAAGTCAAGAAACTTTCTCATGGCCATCCAGGTAACTGCAGGGCCTATTTGTGAATAAAAAGTCATCATGCCCGGATTGACTTAGGTCTGTTTGGGAAAATGCTCACAGGTTCTGTTTCCTTGGAAACTACAGAGTCAAGATAACTGTGGCGTGCTGTCTTTTGTGCTGTGAAAACCCTGTTCTGTGGGACTCCTATGGGTGAGGCAAACTGCCGGTTGAATTGGGCTGCAGGTGCTGGGCCAAGGTCACCAGAAAGGACTAGGAGATAGTCAAGGGACACCCACTGCAGCTTTTCTGTGTTTGGTTGCTCTGAACACATAAATGTTTCTATTTGCCAGGGCTTTGGGAGATGAAGAATTCATGAGGTAGTGGCCTCAGGAATGGGACTGATGCTTAAATAAAAAGAACGCTAAGGGCAGGGATTTAGCTCAGTGGTTCTGCTGTCTGCCTTGCAAGCACAAGGACCTGAGTTTAATCCCCAGTACCAAAAGTGGGGGGCTCTAAATCTGTCTAACAGTTTTGGGAGTAGGCCATTTTCACTATGTTGGTTCTTCTTACCTAAGAGCAAGGGATATCTTTCCATGTTCTGACATCTTCAATCTTCTTTTTAAGAGCACTATAATTTTCAGTATAAAGATCTTTTCTTTCTTTTGTTAGATCGATTCCCAAGTATTTTATTTTTTCATTGCTATTGTGAAAGGTGTTGTTTCCCTAATTTCTCTCTCAGTGAGTTTATTTGTGAACAGCAATGCTATTGAGATTTGAGTGTTGACCTTGTATCCAAATATGCTACTGAATTTGATTATTAAATCTAGAAATCTCTTGGTGGAGGTTTTGGGATCTTCTATGTAGAGTATCATGTCTATCCCAATCAAAATACCATTAGTACACCTCATGGAATTAGAGAAAACATTCCTAAAATTCATTTGGAGCCAGAAGAGACCTAGAGTAGCAAAAACAATTCAGAGTAACAAAAGCAAGGAAGATGGCATCACAATCTCTGTCTTGAAATTATACTACAGAGCTACTGTGATTACAAACAGCATGATACTGACAAAAAAACAAAACAAAACAAAACAAAAAAAAACCCCAAAACCTGAGGATTAGTGGAACAGATTAGAAGATGCAGAAATAGACACTCAGCCATCTTACCTTTGATGAAGGGGCAAAACTCATTCACTGGAAGAAAGAGCCTCTTTAATAAATGGTGTTTGAAAAAACCTACTTTCCATATGCCAAAGACTAAAATTAGATCCATATGTTTCACCATGCACTAAACTAAAACAAAATGGATAATAGACCTAAATATTAAAATAGAAACACTAAAAATGCAGGAAGAGAGAACAGGCAGAGATTTCATGAACCAAATTCAGTTGCATGGGAAATACTACAAAGAATCAACAACTGAGATCTTATCTTATTAAAAAGCTTTTGCACAGCAGAAGAAATCACAAACAACCCACAGAGTGGGAAAAAATTTAACCAGTTGTTCCTCAGACAAAGGACTAATATCTAGAACATATAAAGAATTGAAACAACAAAACAAAACAAAACAATTTTAGATGACATGGAATATTTTGCCGTACCGTTCCATCGACAGGATCTGTGGCTTTAAAGGATAACAGTGGGGTCAAATCTGCTACTTTTTCCAATCCTTTGGTGCCAATCCGATTTCCTTCAGGTGTAGTTGTGAACCAGGTGCCTATGTGAGCCTCCACAGGAGTTACTGTTTGCACTACTTCTGGGGTGACTTCATGGATTTCACTCTTACGAGCCATTAACTGATTTTTGTGACCTCTTGCTGAGGAAGATAAAAAAATCAGACACAATAGTGTAACTATAACTATAGCTATATGTATTCCATCAAGTTTTGATACAGACACTGTCACAGATAGTGCTAAGGGGTATTCATCAGTTGCATTATTTCTCAACAGAAAATATCAGGCTGTATCTCAACTTTGGCAACTGAATCTTGGTGGGATAGTCATCATCCCTCCCCCATGTACACGCACAAACACAACTGACTTTCTGTGGCACACAAGATATTCTGTAAATTTCTGTACTTGTAAGAGTCTTGTTTAAACCACCCTGGAGCTCAGATACTGGGTTCTTCCTTGAGTTTTTAAAGCCTGATTTTTCTTTTCTGCCGGTCTGTGAAACTTTTAAGACTTGTTTCACTTATTGGACTCTAGACTTAACTAGTTTATAAACTCTCGATTTGCCTTATTTTGTCATTTTGTAAATGTTATACATGATACATTTTTTTTCTTTAACTCTGGACCTGCAAAACCTCACCAGCCACTCCTATTGCTGGCCTCTCATTAGGGGAGATGAATTAGTACAGTTAGTTACTACAATGACAAATATATGACTTCAATCTCCACCCTCCCTTCAATCTCCACTGGGCTCAGGAATACAGAATAGAAGATAGTCCCCATGGACCTCTGATACCAATATTCTATTTCCTCTAACAAGGTAGATTTATTCTATATCCACGAATTAACAATGAATAATTGGTAGATAAGATATTCCTGGGTCATCAAGCCCAGTAGTGCAGTAAATTTAGATTTAGACACAAATAGCAAGCAAGGAGAGTAAAGGATGGTTAACTCCAGATTCAGACTATCTAATGTGTAATAGGGCATGAATGATAAGGACTAAGAAGAAGGCCTGATGAGGACTCAACTAATGGAGGGGACAAAAGAGGAAGGCACAGCAAGTTAAGCTTTCCCATTGCTTCAAGATTTAATTCCGCCCTATTTACACTTCCAGAGCATTGTCAGTGAATGAAAATGCGGTCACTTTCGGGACAGATAGAGAGAAAATCCCCTGGGAATGGTAGGAAATACTTTAGATATCGTCTTCAAAATTCTCCCCTTTCCTGGTCTCCTTCTGCTTTATTGTTTTCTTCTTAGTTTTCTTATCAAAAGGGGTGAACTACTGAAAAGTAATTCTGGCATGAGGGATGTAAGAAAGAGATGGGATGGGAAACAGAATAGTGTGGGTAGATAGTCACTGATAATCAGTGCAGCCAGAGTCTGAATTTCAAGCAAATTTTTACTGAGCGAAGATAGAGAAGCAGGCACTCATTCAGTAAAGTGCACCTTTGCATCATGGGAAAGATCTTGGCCTTTTTCCTATAGTGATGCTTAGTGATTAAAGAATTTTAATAGGGGTACTGATATGAGCAGAAGGTTAGTTAGATTTTTTGGGCACGAATATGGAGAACTAGTACTAATGAAAGCACAGTTAGGAGGTTTCAAAAGAACAGGTTAAAGATTGTAGTAAGGATAAGTAAGTCCAATTTTTGTACCAAAGTGGATTAGAGAACAAGTTTGGATATGGAATAAGGTGAGAGAATACAAAGCAGGCATCACCTGCAGATTGTGAAATCTTAATGAATGACTGTCTTTAGTTATTAAGTATGCGTATCAATAAAGTGAAAAGAAACTGGTCAAAGATGAGATGAAAAGTGGGAAGAATGAAACAGGTGTGGATGGGGTTCGATTTTCAGCACTATCACATCCTAGATACCAGCAATTCCACTGAAAACCATTGGAAACATCTATGTAACCGAGCCTCTATGAACTCTTAACCACACATCAGGACAAAGTGGGTGAAAGTGGGGGCTGAGGAGGTAAGGATAGCACTGAAGAGGGGGTCTGCCATGTGGTCTTTGTCAAATTGAGTGACTTTGAGTACATGTTTTCTCAGCGTGTTAGGGCTCAACGAGGAAAGAAATCCAGGGCCTGCTCAAGCTGAAGTTGGGGTTATTTAACACGAATCATCTCCAAAAGCTTGAGAACTCAGAGGACTATATTCTCAGATTAGCTGTTCATTATTAACAGAAATAAACTCATACTTTCTCCTACTCCACTCCAGGACTGTGTTCCAACTTGGTGTCGAGCACAGAAGCCAGTAGTTTTTGAGGCTGTATAACTAAGAAACAGATTCTTAAACAGGTATCAAGCAAAAAATTACACTCATTAGGTGACACAGCCAAAATTCCTTAGAGTAACAATTTAAAGTGATCTATGATTATTGGCTCACGTATCATCATCAGCTAATATCCTTTCTGAAACCAAAATGCTCTATAAATAGTGCACCCTTGCCAGGGATTTGGCTCAGTGATTCTGCCACCTGCCTTGCAAGTGTAAGGGCCTGAGTTCATCGATCCTCAGTACAAAAAAAAAAAAAAAAAAAGTTTCACCCTTGCACCAGCCCCAAGAATTTAAAATTAAAGCAAGAAAAAATGATCAACTCATAATCAAAAAGTATCAAAGATTAAATGAAACAAGGCACTTAAGTGAGAATCAGAAGAAATAATAGAAAATAGATCACAACACTTAATATATCAGAATTAAGAAACACAGAATATAAAATGTGTCCCAATGTAATTCCAGAAGTAAATAGGGTCAGAACGTATGAATAAAGAGAAGACAGATTGGAAAGAAAAATAGAAGTCTTATTTAAACCAATGTAGTGACTAAAATTAAAAAAAAAAACAAACAAAAAAACACCCTGTTTTCCAAGGGACAAAACCCAATTTAAAAGAGAACTGAAAGATAGACCTGAAACAATTATTTAGAAAGAAGCCAAGAGAACCAAAGCAAAAAGTTGTTAAAACACGTGTTTAGTAGGAGGGCAAGAAAAATATATGGGTTGGAAACAATACACAGGGAGGTAATTACTGAGAAATTTCTAGAATCAATAAAAAACACTAATCCAAAGATGAAAGATATCTAATGCATTTCCATTTGGATAAATAGAAACCCACACATGGTCAGATCATATTTAAAAATGTAATAAAACACAGAGGCTATTCTAAAATTAGCTAGATTATCTTTAAAGCAAGAACAATTAGACTGACGGTCAATTTTTTAGCAGCAGTATCAGAAGGAAAACTATTGTAATGTCTGGGAGAAAATCAGTATCAATTTAGGATTCTGCATTCAGTGGAACTGCCTTTCACAAATGAGACAATTCTTTTAGAAAATATCCGTCATACAATAAATGGACTAAAAATTCTAAAGAAAAAAATCAAATTTGATTTAAAAAATATCTATCCATAGATATTTGTCTCACAAGAGATACATTCAAACACAAACCACAGAAGTAAAATATGAGGATAGGAAGGATTATATTATAAATTATTAAATAATATCCCATGGGATTATAATAATATAAGAAAAACAAACTGAAAAATAATGAAAATTTAAATTTATTCTGAAGATATAATAATTTTAAAGGTGTATCTATCTAAAATTACATCCTCAAAATATGTGAAGGAAAGCATGACTGAAACTTTAAGAAAAGACATTTACTTCACAAAGAAATAATGGTCAAATTATAAGAAGCACAGCACTGAACATATTACTCCATCCTCTCAGGAAATGTAAACATACTTCTGCTGAATAGATCAATATAGTAGATTTGAAGTACATACAGAAAAATGTTGGCCTGTGGAGAGAGGAAGCCCGTGGATGTTTTTGTACAGTCTGTATGTAATAATTTTTTTTTACATTCCTAAGTAGTTCAAAGAAAATTAAAATAATAATATTTTATAGCACATGAAAATTATATGATATTTGAGTTTAAGAGTCCATAAATAGTTTTATTGGGACACAGCAGGGGTTAGGGTTATTTAATTATGTATTGTCCAGGGTTAAAGGTTACTTTTTTTTTTTTGGTCTTTTGAGACAGGGTCTCACTAAGTAGTTGAAACTGCCCTGGAACTCACTATGTAGCCCAGGCTGGTCTCAAACTCACAGAGATCCCCTGCCTCAGCCTCCCGAGTGCTGGGATTACAGGCGTGGTGTCCAGGGTTACTTTAATGCTCTAAAAGAACTGTGAGATTATGACAGAGACCAAATGGCCCATGAAGGCTAAATTTTTTACCATCTTGCCAAATTTTTACCAGACATGCTAAATTTGAGATATAGATATGGACAACACAACTAACACATTTCATCTAATAAATATAAAAAGAAGCATTGTACCAAAGAAATAACTCTAGGATGCATGCCATTTTTAAGCACAAAATTTTAAAAAATTCCTTTCAAACAATTTGTTAAAATCAATTATTAAAACAAGCTAAAAATACTTCAGGGTCTTGGAAATGTTCAAAGAAACATAAAAAATTAAAGAGAAAAAGAAAATAATGGAATGAAAGTTAGGTAGTATTTAGAACAAAAAAGAAAATATTAAACATTTCTTGTGAAAAGTCACACAACTAAAGAAAACCCAACAGACACCTTTAAATATTTAATCTCATCAATAATTAAACAAATGCAAAATAGCATTATAAGAAGATGCATTAGTTAGTTATCAAATTCAGTGAGATTAAGAGATGATAATATCTAGCACCGGCAAGGGTATGAAGTAGAAATTTTATACTGTAGTGCATATATCAGAAATATTTCTCAGGCACACTCTAGTGATTTAGATTATGGCAGACACTGTGTGTTGCTTCCTCAACTGCTATTTTCTTTTTTCCCTGCCAGTAGTGCTCTTCTCCAAGAAAAAGTCCCCCCAAAATGCCAAGTACTTGTTTTCCCAGCCTAGTTTCCCAGCTAGGTTCACACAATGAGAAACAAAGTAAGGTGTGCTGGGAGTGAGGGTGGAAAATATATTCCTCCTCCATAAAGACAGACACTTGAAGAAAGCTCTTGTATGCACTCTCTTTCCTTTCTGTTTGGGAAGTTGCTTTGTAAGGATCTCATCCCTGGAGCTAATGTACCTCTTGCAACTTTAGGAAAAGGTCAAAAGCATCTTAGGTGTGTACTCAGGCTCTTGACATTGCTGATCTTCTCAACTAGCCCTCAAACAGCTGCCCCAGTGGTACAGCCAATGTAAAAAAACAATCATTTCACGAAAGGCTGTGCAATTCTGATTGCAATGAAGATTCCTGCCTAGATATTTGAGTACAGTCACTGTACAGATGAAAGGTACTATGATAATATGGAGCACTCAGTAAGCTTGGAGACTGTGAAATGCAGTATGAGCTGAGAGGCTTCCCTTGTTACCTTTCTTTGCCATGGCAATCTCAGATGGTGCCATTTCTGATTTGGGCTGAGAAGCCGTGTCTGCCAAATCTCCATTATGAGGGCTGGTTGACATTTCAGGAGGATACACTGGACCTGAATCAGGACTGCTGCTTGTAGCCCCATCTGCAAAGAGAATCTGAGGAGAAAACAAAGATTTTCAACATTCTCAGACTTGAGGGCAGGGTTAGCTAGCAAGGAGCAGTGTGTAAAGTGGAGACCGGTTTAAAACAATCCAAAAGAGAAAAGCTGAGGGCAGGCCTCAAGGCTCATGTCCCAGGACACACTAATGAAGAATAGATCTGGAGCTAGAGAGGATAGCTTAACGACCAGCACATTATGGTTTTATATTGTCCATTCACTTTCCTTTCTGTTTCTTTTTGTTTTCTGGATCACTGAGGAATGGTGGGGAGGGGCTCTGGCTTTTGAGTTTTCTGGCTTCAGGTTTCCCATTTCCAAGAAGGAGTGTGTTACTCCCAGAACTACCATGATTTTCTGACCCCAGCAGTGATATATCTGTTAGGACCTCTGCCTTGATGTTTAAAGTTGTGTATGTGTGTGCACGAATGTGTGTGTGTGTGTGTGTGTGTGTGTGTGTGCGTGCTTTAAATTTGTTCTTGTTTCTCCCTTGCTTTGATCCTAACTTGTATTTTCTAGGAATTCCTTAAATATTTTGACCTACTGATGACATATTTTGTTGTTCTCCAGGGCTATTAGGAATTTATTATTTAAAAGTATTTTTATATCACTTCCGGGTACCCTGAGAGGAAAGGAAGATAAACACCATGTACCCATGTCATTTTAGGTCATGCCTAGAAATGACAGTTTTATTTGTATCCTGTTTGCATAGATAGTGTTTTCTCTTATAACTGTACTAATCTTTATTCATTATTTTAAGGTGTCATTCTGTTTTATTCATTTCTCTTCTCTGCTATGGTACTATCTGCCATTTACTGTTCAGCAAGGGAGAGAGGATTAAATAATCTATTCTTTTACTTGTGTGGATCCATCCAACATATACTTGACAACAGTGCCGTGACTGGTGATAACTCTGGATGCCTCCTGCTCCATCGGGGGCATCACTGTTTTATAGAATTCATAGTGCTTCATCCTTTGGGGGTAGCTCTGACGAATCATGATGTCCCAGATGGGTTCCTCATCCACAAGATGCAGACCTTAAGAAACAAAAAAGAATCAAATCGTTCTGTGAATAGGGCAGTCTTTGGGTCTTGTAATATATTTTCTTGCTTGTTTTCATTCTTTCATCTGCACCTGAGTAACAAGAGAGTTCTCACTCCTTGACAGATGGCTCAGGAACCGGGTCCTTTGCTGACCTTGTTACACACGCAAATGTAGTAAGGTCATCTGCAAGCACATGATGGGTGCTTTCTACATCAATAAGATGTTCTTTAGATGGAAGCCCAGAGCAGCTCAGGGCAACCATTCACAGAAGTTTTTTTTCATCACTATTGGTGTTTTCCTCTCATTTCTGAGGAAATTCTTGCCCCAGGATATTCACTGCTACCTGGCATCACCTGGTGGCCTAGAGCCCATTTTAAACCACCCACCACCTTTAGAAGTTAACATAATCCCCTCATTTCTAACCAGACCCAGATTCCTTTCAAGGTTCTGCTGTTAGATAGTAATCAAGGGTAAAAGCACCCAATAAACTTCTTCAAAAAGAAGGAACTATTGTGGAGAAATTCTGACATTTTGTACCTACCCAGTTTTGCTAAATGAATAATTTCCTCTTAGTTATAATGTGGTTTATTGGAGTCCCAAAGCCTTAAACAATGGAGTAAAGATATAATGATGGGATTTAAGGGACTGTATCAGGCTGATGGGAAAATACTTCAGCGGTCTTTTGGGAAAATACTTCTTAGTGTGACCCTTTCACAGCCCCTCAGACCACAGAAGTGATAATAATGACAAAAATATTTATTGAAATTGTTCTAAATGGCAATTACTTTATGTATCTTTTTTTTCTTAGTCCACTTTAGCAACACTTTAAACATTTTCATTTTCCATAGCTTTCAAATAAAGAAATGGGGGCTTGGAGAGATTATGATAATCACACAGCAGGTAAATGGCAGAGCTGAGATTTAAATAACTTTCTTATACTGAAAACCATCACCAACAACACACACATACAAAACCAAATTCCACAAAATACAGCACAACCCCCCTCCCACACTAACACTGAACAACACACTCAAAGTTAAATATTATTTCTTATTGAATTAAAAAATCTCCCAGGGAATAATTCAAGCCCAAGCTCGTCTTCTGCCAAAATAATCTACTCTCTCTATGTCCAAGGTAGACATGGAAGATATTACTACTTTGGTATTTATGTTGTAAGTATGTGCATGAATCAATTAGGATATTCAGAATATGTGGAAGATTTTAAAGACGACATAGTCTAGGCAGAGTTATTAATCACCTTTTATATCTTGACATAAGGATGAGAATATCAGAGAAAGGAATAAAACTCATACGAAAGACAGATCTAGCAAGTATTAAGCAGAGATTTGATATCAGAACCAAGCAAACATATGCCTGAACTTGAGAACAATATTCCTCTCAGGGAACCATTGCACTTTAGACCCTGGAAGAGACTCAAAGACATTGAGCACAGTGGTTCCGATCACATAAAATCTGGATCACTAGGGACTTTGGGAAAAAGGACAGGGTTTTTGAAATACTTCAGGAGGCCTAATTAGAGACCAAATTAAGACCAAGAACATTAACTGCCACATATAGCTTATTTTATTTTGGCTGGCAAGTAAATACAACTTAGAATTATTTTAAGTTAGTATGGTTTTTTTCTTTGATAAGACCCACTTTTCAAATGTAAAGTACAGAGGGAATAGAATTTTTGGTGGTGAATAAAATCAAGATCCATTGAAACAATTTATCAGATGAATAGATGTGGTCCAGAAGGCCATATAGTTAGGTGGTTTGAGGGCTGACTTTGGAACTCAAGTCTAAGTTTAGTGTCTTTTTTGTTTCATCTATTTATGCTGATAGAGTAGGTCTCCGTTTAAATGTTACTCAGAGCTAATTACTAACACAGATGCCCCCTCATTTTAATAACGAGTCCTACTTGTGTTTATTCATCTGACTAGAGTAGAACCATATGTAGAACTGACAGAAATAACAGATTCTCTAGAATCATATTCTGACTTGTGGATCATTTATACTTAGCACAATCTAATTTGTAGCCCTGTCTTTGGTTTGGTCACCCATGAAGGTAACATTCCTGTGGCCCTCTGTAGAGGCCACATAGGAGCTGGATGACCTTGGGCAGGTTTTTCAAAGTCTCAATGTCTTCATTTTGTAAAATGGAGTTAGTACCTAGCTGGTAATGTTTGCATTCTCCATGTCGGTTAGGTGCTTGGTGCCTGGCCATTGTAAATGCTTGAAACAGGCCATTATTACTATCCTCATTACTTGAAAATAGACTTGTTCATTAGCAAAAAGAGATGTGCTTAACATCTAAGAAAACACATAATTTTTAATGGCAAGTTAACCGTTTTCTTATATGGCCTCTGTGCCCCTGCCTCCCTGTTCCCCACCAGCTAACACTCACCTGTGGACTCTTGTCCAATAAAAGTCAACAGAAGCCCATTGGGGCAAGACACATTTAGGTTTCGGAAGGTGGGAACAGACGGAGTTTCTTGTAAAAGAGATTCTGGCTCTACTTCTTCCTGTAAATAATTTTGTATATGAATAGCTATCATTTTCTAAACAAACAATTAATTATTTTGACTAAAAAAGGACTTGCTGAGTGCTTATGATATGACTTGTGGACAGCTAAATAGATTTTACAGAAGATCTTGGAGAGATGCATAAGTCTTGGCCTTTGTAAAGTTGGCATTCTACTTGTAGAAGGGCACATGGAACACAGAGGATGCAATTAAATGGTAGTACCAAATGGATGGCACGTCTTCCCTCAAAAAATAGAGCTATTACACTGGGAGAAATAATTAGGAACGGATTCATGGAGCAATTGCAGCTTTGAGGTAGGCCTTGGCTCATGCTTGTAGATAAAAGGACTGGGATGTGTAGATAAAAGGTCAGTGCTATGATCTGAATGCTGGTGCCTGTCCTGTTCCCAAATTTATATGTTGAAAGCTAATACCCAAAGTGATAATATGAAGAGATAGGCTTTGGGAAATGATTATGTCACAATGGCTCTTCTTCATGACTAGGATTAATGTCCTTTTCTAAGACAAATTGGGACACATGTAAGGTGTCCTTTATAGCAACAAGCCCTCACTGACACCGAGTCTGCTAGTACCTTGCCTCCAGAACTTGAGCAATAAATCTCTATTACATATAAATCACTCAGTGTAAGGTGTTTTGTAATACCAGTCTAAATAGACTAAGACAGGTAGAGTGTGCGGGAAACCAAACAGCCCCACTGCCTTTTGTGTGTGTGTAATTCCTAGTTTGTGTGCAAGAGATATCATGCTTTTCTATCATTTACCATTACTTTTCTATAATGATGTAGTAAGTAAAAGCAACCAAAGAAAAACAGAATGAACTATTTTTTATAAATTAGTGAGGGTTTGGGTGTGTATACTTCAAAATTATAATTAAGTATATGTCATCTGTGCCTGAATCCTTTGCTTGGGTATATGTACTCAAAAATGAAAGTTATTTGGAAACTTCCAAACCATTTTAAACGAAAAGCCTTTCAGTTTTTTCAGCTGATTCTCTCTTGTTAGTTACTGAGATCTTTCTAGTATCTCATTGCTGAATCTTTCTATTGTTGATCATTGAGGCTGTTCTGTCTTTTTTATCACTAATGGAAGAAAAATATAAATAATTAGCTAAAATGTACTTAAAAGCAAAGAGAATTATGAGGAAAATTAAGAGGCTTATGAAATTCTTTAGAGTGAAAAAAATACTCAACCATCAGGTCAACCAACAGACACAAAAACAATTCTCATATCACAGCCCCCTGTTGTCATCAACTTTTTTAAATGTTAGGTGGACAGATGGGTTTGCTATCAAGTTGCTTTTGGCTAAATTAATTTTATGTGGATTATCTGAAGGTTATTCTGTTCAATGCTTGAACTTTTCATGTACCAAGAATCAAGTCCCTGGCAGGAAAATATTCATGTAGAATAGCTATGCATGTATGGTGCAGAAGCAAAAGAACATTTAAATCCCATCACTTTTTATAGGTCAAACTCTGAAACACAGGGTCTTGGAACTTTTTAACATGCTACTTTTTTCTTCTAATAAGCACAATATACTTTTGGTAATAAATACTGAGAGTTAAAACTTCTCAGTAGTTTTCTTATTATCCCTCTTTTAAAACTCTCTTTTGGGCCTGGGATTTAGCTCAGTGGTTCCACCACTTTGCAAGCACAAAGTCCTGAGTTTGATCTACGGTACCCCCAAAATAAAACTCTTTTTTGATCTGTGTTCTGTTGTGACAATGTTTGAAGTGTGTGTGTGTGTGTGTGTGTGTGTGTGTGTGTGTGTCTTACGGTGAAGGGCTGGAGTAGAATGTAGGCTGTCCATTAGTACTGCTGAGTTCTTAGCATGTCAGTAACTAAGTCCAAGTATAACAGAAGAAAGTCTTTCCATTAGGTATAAGTCTTTGTGTTATAATTATTATTTATCTCAATACAGCTACACGAAGTAAGGAAAACAACAAATACTAAGGGGCCAGGGATTTAGCTCAGTGGTTCTGCTACTTGCCTTGTAAGGGCAAGGACCTGAATTCAAAACACTAGCACCTTAAGCAACTAAAAATAAAAACCCAGGGATAACAGTGGGGACAAGATGGACCTAGTCCTTTCAAATTTAGAATGGATGACCTGAAACAATTTGTGTAGGTGAGTGTCCCTTGGGGTGGGAGTTTCACTTTTGTGAAAATTCTCCTATGTACTCCAAGTTGACACCATGGGGAATGCTGGTGTAGTTGCAAAATAAAATGCATTCACTATGATAACACTATTTGTATAAACTATGGCTTTTAAAAAGTCAACCCTAAGGCAGAAACAGGGCTTGGGAGTCTGTGGCAAGGTTCATTTACCTTTTTCTCTTCTTCTTTTAGGTGCTCTTCTTCTTTGAGGGATTCCTTGGGTTTTTCTTTGCCTTTTGATTTCCCCTTTATTTTGCCCTGAGGGACATTCATGATAGTAGGGACCACTGTTGGAGTAAGTGCTGAAGGGATATTCAACACTGTCTCCAACTCAGGATCCTTTTCCTCTATAAACAAGAGAAGAGAAGAAGAAGTAAATTCAACATTCATAAATAGCATTTACATCTCAAAATTTACACACACTGTCAACAGTTTTTACCTTTGTAAATGTGTTTTACCAGTTGAATATATTTAAGGGGTGATATAGTTGATTTGACAATCAGAATCAGGAGGATTATAGTTGGACAATTTCAAAATTATTGATATTTTATGCTTGATTAATTGAGTGATCATGTCTTAATTGAGTGATCACATTCTTGCCTGTCCATCTACACTATAAACTTCTTAATGGTAGAGAAATAATCTTCCATTCACTATATATGAAAAAAAGTAAAAGTCCTCTTGAGTCAAAATAGTCTAAGATGTGCACTCAAGTAGCAGAACATAAGGACATACTAAATACAAATGCAAGAAAGGATGCAAACAAGGGAAGCCAGGAAAGAAATAGATTATTTTTGGCTGAGACGGTAAAAGTTCTCTGTGGAAGATGGGTTTTCTTCCCGGTTGTAAAGGATTGCTGGGATTCTAAGGTGAGGACTGATGAGAGGGGGCATTATGTGGTGAGCATCTCTTTCATCTTGAATTGTGTTCCCCCTGGGTTCTCCAGGACTCCAGGTGGTGGTCAACTTTTCCTCGGTGTTCTTTATTGACTCTTCCTTTTTGGTCAGTCCCTTAGTTTATTAGTATGATAGCCCATAACAATATTCATGGAATTAAAAACAACTTCTCAGGCCCACATAATGTACTGAATCAGACTCCCAGGAGATGAGGCTCAGAAGTTTACATTTGTGAAACCCTACAAGTAACTACGCTACACAGCCAGAGCTGAACACCTCCACCTATAGTATTAGATCCAGATAATCTTACTAACTCTTAGGCTCTACCTGCTACTGAACCCCCAAATTTACCTGATCTTCCCTCTCAGTTCCAGATCTACATTTCTAACTGCTTTTTGGCATCTCCTGCTTGTGGTGCTAGAGACACTTGAAGAAACCAGTTATATGAAGTTATATGAAGAAACCAGTTATAACGATCCATGGTAATACTGTTTCTACAGAAAAAAGATCTACGGAGTAGGGCAGACACCCAGATCACCATGATCTGCACTAACATAGTTTCAAGGTTTATAGCTTAGGGATTACATTTTGATTTTGTAACGATTTTAAAAATATGCTGTGGTTAGATCCCTTTAAAATTCATGGAAACCCACAGATTTCCTAATTGGTTCTCGGTAAAGTGAAATATTATTTTGTGGTTTGAAAGGAAATAGCTTCCAGTTGGAGAATTTATTTATTGAAAGAGGAGGAGAGAAATCCTTCAAGATGTCCAATGAATAGCTCCTTTAAGACTAATGTCCTGAAGCACACCAAGCAGCTCTACAATCCCAGAATTCATAAAAATATTATTCTGCAGAAAACCAAAAGGGTTTCTTGGTAAGTCATGCTTTCTTTGGCACCAACTTACAGAATTATTTTCATGGGCTAGTTAACAGAGTTAAGTGGAATAGTGTATGTGCATGTGTATACACATATGATCTTACTTGTACATGCAATTATATGAAAGATTATATAAATGATAAATGCCACTTAAAAGCCAAAGCTGTATTGTCATTTGCTATATGTAAAAGATGATATATGTGCATAGGTAAACCTATGTATATACAATGTGTATATGTGCCACACAGACTCCTTATATCTTCACCTTATAAAAAATTATAAGAGGCATTAAACTGAGCGAGTTTATTGACAGTGTGTAGACTGAGGGTGGGCAGGGACTCTGGACATGGGATACACATATTTTCTTTCATATTTATTTCACCTGGCACCATTCCACTTGCTCCATAGTAACTTATTGAGAGGCAGATTCCATTTTCTAAGGTGGCAGAAAAAGATCCAAACTTGCTGACAGCTTTACTCTCTGTGTGAGATACTTCTACAAGACAAAATCAAATCAAGGACATTTTCACTTTTATTTTTAAAAATGTAAGCAAAATGTGCTGGGAAGGCTGGGGCTCAGGGTCTCAGCTGGGCCATCACAATCAATTTAAAAATAGTTGGTTTGGACCCTACCTGCATGTACTCCTCGATGTCAGAAGTAGGAAAGAATTAGGAAGATGAGAGCAGGAGACATTTTTAAAAATAAACTAAATGTTGTTTTATTGGAGGAAGCTATGTATATGTAAGGGCAGGCAATATATGGGAAATCTCAGCTCTTATGTCAGTTTGGATGGAAAGCAAAGCTGCATTAAAAATAAAATATATTGTAAAAGATAATGCTTAGCATCCAGCAGGATGCAGAGAAACAGGCATCTTCATGCATTATTGATAGGTTCTGCTGGTAGGATTTTGAAGAAAATTACTTTGAAACAAGCCATTTAAGGGAGCTGTGAGGACAGAGAAAGGAATATTACTCAGAAAACAAGAAAACAGAACACGTGCTCAAAAATAGAAACACTACAGAAGAGAAAATACTTGAGTTTTCAGGCACATAAATATATTTTTAAAAGCACTTTCTAGAATGAAAAAACATGCTTCCTTAATCAAACCATTAAATATTTGACAGATTAACTGAAGGGGAGAATGGTCATTATTGAGATTCAACAAAGATTTCTTGAAAAGTCAAGTGAAAAGAGTAGCTCAAAGCCCAGAGCAGCAGCTGTCATCCATCCATCTATCTATCATCTATCTAATTTTATTCCAGAGAAAGCATTGATATAGAAATAAATTGAGAGGAAGACATAAGATTTGGAAGTTAAATCTTTGCATATTGTGATAGGAAGAAAAAAGGAATAAGGAAGTTGAGTGAAAAATTAAATAAAAATATCAAAGAAAAAGTCTCTGAGCTGAAGCTGGAGTTTGATTCTCAGATCACCACAGCTCACTAAATTCTAATCCAGAAGTTAAAAGCTCGTACAATAGAATGAAGAAAAGGGTGGCAATCCGCAGTGCTATAACCAGACTCTAGAGTAAATTAAGTTGAAATTTAAAATGATAATCTCAGACTAAAGTGTTTAATATTAGAGCTACAGTTGGATATTACTGAACTATGCAAAGAGAAACTTTTTAAATTGTTATATGTATTAATATATTTTAATAGAAACCACTCAAATATGTAAAAACCTGAAAATCATTAGGTACATTATGATATATATGTGTATCAATGAAATACTATTAAATTATTAAAACATCCTGTTTTCAAAGAACATTTAGTGAACAAACAGGAAAGTACACTGCAAATAGTTGTTACCTCCAGGGTGGAAGAATTATAAGCAATGGTTATTTTTTTTTGGTCTCGCTATGTATTTTGGGTTGATCTTGAAGTTACTAAGTTGCCTGGGGTCACTTCTAACTCTTGGTCCTCCTGCCTCAGCCTTCTGAGTCCTGGTATTACTAATATGCATCACTAAATCTAGCTTAACTGTTATCTCCTTTAAAGTTTGCATATTTTTAAATTTCTATGTAATTTATATTTTGACATCAGCTATAACACAAAGAAAACATGATTTGAATGTTTATGCACTAAGCTCTAGGTACATTCACACTTGTCAGACATTGTGTTCCTATCTTGTGTTTGGATAATATCACTGTAACAAACTCATGAGCAAGATTTAGCTGCTGATCCTGTCACTAATTTGACTTGACTTGAATGTATTTTAATGATGAATCATCTTCTCTTGCATGCACAAATCATACAACTTTAGACAGGAAGCAGGGGTGCTGCCTGGAGAAACTCCTTGGTGTTAACAGGAAGTTTCATGCTGTTTATTTTTTTATCTTGTATGTATATATGTATGTATGTATGTATGTATTTATTTATTTATCGGATTTTATGTAGTTGAGACTGACCTGGAACTCACTATGTAGCTCAGGCTGGTCTCAAACTCACAGCGATCCTCCTGCCTCAGCCTCCCAAGTGCTGGGATGACAGGCATGCACCACCATGCCCGGCCATGCTGTTTAATTAATGGAGATCCACTCCTACTTCCCCTCTCTTAAGTATGTAATGGCTTTCATGGCCAAATTTATGTTTTTCTCTTGTTCCTGAAACCTAGGAAATTTGGTGCTTCAAGAAAGAACAAAGAGAGGAAGAAAGATATCATTGAAATGAATATTGGCAAGCAAGTAAATTTCAGTAGGAATCAGCTCAGGAGGACCCTGGGTCTTGGAGGCTCTACCAAATGCAAGTGTACAAGCTCAAATCATGGAGAGGACGGACATTACAAAGCAAGTGTTGCTGCAAGAAGGTGACTGGCCAGGGAGGACCCCATGTGGCACCTGGATCAAGAGTGGCCTCCCAGAGACAACACAGCTGGGTTACCAGCCCAGAGGGATGAGCTGTGTGTGTAGCTCACCTACACTACTCTAGGGAAATGCATGTAAACAGAATGGCAATGTATCTCAGATTTGGAGGTAGGATAGGAGAAATAATGAAAGGACAGAGACAAAGAAATTCAGTATTTTAAAATTATACTTTTAAGTGCTTGCTTCAGCAGCACATATACTAAAATTATACTTTTACGAAAACTGTAACTTCAGGGTACAAAGTTACTCAAGGTTACAACACCCGTCCCCCCGCTTTGATAAAGTCACTCCACAATTCCCAAGAGTCAAACATACAAATTGGCCCTGGGCCTTTTACCTGTAAAGTGAGCATATGCTTTTCACTATAAATTGGGCCTGCTTTTCTTGTGACACTGCAGATTCGCATATTACACAGACTTCCACTCTCAAAGAAACAGCATTGTATTGATATCTCTAAACTTCAAACAGAAAGCCCACTGACAGGTCACGTGACAGGCACTAGGAATATACAGTTTAGATTATCCTTCTTGAGGATACCCCTAAAAAATATAAATACCCCAACTCCAGACCACTCAGGTCTTTACCTGCTTAGAGGTGAGGCATGAGCAGATGTTCATTAATTAAACACCATGAAACTTCAAAGTGCCCAACCTATTTTCTCTGGGTGGGTAGTTTTTCAACTGTACCCAATAAACCTGTCTCTGCCTCTCATAGATGAATCCTGAAGTTCTTTCCTGTGAAGCCAGTGAACCTATTCATGGGTAGGGTGCATTGTGGTCCTCAGATCTTCTTTGGAGAGACCTCCCCCGACCCTGCCTGGGGACAATGTTATCTGAACAAAATACGGGCGCAAGGCAGGCTCGTGTGTTTTTGCTGGGGGAACGGGCTTGACACATCGCTTACGTATTAACCACAAAGACACAGCTGCTTACTTGCTTCAAGAGTTTGTTCCTCATCTTTTTCTTTTTCTTCTGAAGGATAAATTTCTTCTTTGCTTTGCTTTTTCGCCAAACTCTTTGGGTCTCTCAGGTGAATTAGAAAGCTATGCTTGTCCTTTCTCACTTTCACTTTGACAAACGTTGAGCCTGGGGAGGAGCCATGAAGTAGGATGGTCTGATTAGGATGACACAGGGAGCCCCTTGACCAGACAGTCAGATAATGCAGCCCAGGGTTCAGTTCCTGGGTGAATGCCTGGGAATGTCTCCATAAACGAAGGATGTCTTACATATCTCAAACCAAAATAAATTGGCTGAAGCAATGCGTGCCTGGAATCAACTTTATGATTCATCCAATGAGGTCATGTGAGGGGTTTTTGCAACTCATAAAAATAATTAGTGCTACCTATAATAATTATTATAGAAGTTATTTTTCTAATAACTCATTCTCTTTTAACCCTCTCATTCACTTTTATTCAACTATCTGTTTTTTTCTCTCTCTCAAAGTCCAGCCTTTTTTTTTCAACTTTTGCTGAGGTGTACACCCAAGTTAGGATGAAAATACTGTACTTTGAGCCATTCGGGATTCAGTACATTGTATGCGTTTGTACATCTTAATGAGAGCTAAAATATCAGGAGCAGGCCCACAAGCTCTGCTCCAGAACCCAAACCAGAACGATGTTGTAAACTCATATTATGTACTTGGTTTCTGAGATAACGGTATGTGTTGAAATTAATATTATTCACTACGTATTTGCTTACTGCAGTTACTAACATGCTACTTGGTGATCATGTAGAAGTATTTTAATAACTGCAGCGATCATAACAATATGTCCAAGCATAACTCTGGGCTGCCCTATGCCTTGTAGACTCAATTAAGATAGAGTACGAAACCTGAAGATGCCGAGTGCGGTGTGTACATGAATTGCAGTGGGTACCTTGGGCAGCTTGATCTGCTGCACGCGAGAGTACAAGGTCTAATGATTATCCTAGATGCATGAACATCTTTCAAACCATTAACCAGTTACTTTTAAAATATACCTTTTTTAAATGTTGTCTTTTCTACTTCAATCTGCCCTCCATCAGAAGGATACAGATAATAATTTGTCCCTGAGATTTGTATAGGCACATCTCCCATGTTGTATCCTTGAAACTAGAAGAAAAAAAAATCAGGCTTTGAGCATGGAACTGCAATGGACAAAAATCAACTTACTGGTGTTAGCCAACTGACGTCGCCATAAACAGAATTTCTGCTAAATAATAGGTCTATCACTTTGTAGGCTTAGAGGCCAGAGTCCATATGATCTTTAAGAAACTTCTATGGTGTTATAATGACAAAGAGAACTGAAAGAGGTTTACGGTTTTGTGCTCTTTAGAACATACTTACAGTCTTGTCTAAGTCAAATTATTGTACTACTGTCATGGCAATATGAGAAGAAATCGACTTATCATTCATTAGTTAATTTTCTGTGTAAAGTGAACTGATATTTTGCAGAACATTGCCATTTGGAGGTCATATGTAGAAGACATGCTTTGTTAAATGTTGTTACCAAAGCTCCAACTGATTCTGATACCTGCCTGTGCTAAAATTTGAGAACAAATGTAGTAGGATAAGAGCTACAAAGGAAAGATACTGTTGCGTGTCTTTCCATTTTTTCTCACTAGATTTTCCTCATAAATAGCTATTCAGAGGATTACTTAGCAAAGAGAAGGTCTTACAAACTCATACAAACCAGAAACGTGGGTGCTCATAGCGTAGCAACCCGATGTGCTTAGCAAGCCCTGTCATTTCAGACAAAGCCAACCTTCATGTTGATTTATTACCACAGCCTATTTACATGAACCTAAGTGATTGAACCTGTGTCAGATGTCTGCCCTTGGGTAAGCTGGTTTCATGACAATCAAGAAAAATTGACCGGAGAGTGTTTCCATTTGGTGATTGGCTACAAAGAAAGTTTTGATGTAGAATGGTGGAGTATGGGTTTGAACTCATGAAAACTGGCAGAAGTCTTGTTTTCCCCAAGCAGAAATAACCCAGAGACTTTTTAGAGGATTGATCTTACTGGGTACTGTATCTCAGGTTCTTGTTGGGGCAGGGCCTCCTCTGATGCTGCCGGGATTGTTATCAGTTCTTTAGCTTTCTCCTTAGAAGAAGACTTTTTCCTCAAAGACCGACTGTCTTCTTTCTCGGCTTTATCGTGGCCTTTCTTTTTACCAGCATCTTTGCTCTTCTTCTCTGCTTTCTTTTCTTCTTGTAAACGTTCCTCTTCCGCTAACCGTTCTTGCTCTTCTTTCCATGCCTATAAATACATTTTAAAAGTGTAATTGGCTTTTTGAAAGAAATCAAGTAAACATTCCATTCAGGTCCATTTTGGCAAAAGTTTTGACATGATTTTTGCAAATGGTAGCTCTGACAAATCAAAACACTGAGCTAGAAGCTTTGGAGACATCCCGGATTCGCTCTCCCACCCAAGTGCTTTATACTAAATCCTGTCAATATTCCTCAGAGATATTTCTTCCATTCAGCGTCATCTCTCATTCTCTGTTGTAATTTCCTCAGTTTAAGCTTTTATTATCTTTAGATTGCAGGCTTTTTGTTGGACTCCCTATCTCTTATGTTTCTTTACATATAATTTATCCTTAATTTAAGCCCTAAAGTCAGTTTATCAGCAATATGGTAGATTAGGTGTTCTGAGAACATCCCTGACACAAGATTTTTAAAAAAACAAAGGATAAAATATTTTTTAAAAAAATCATTGTAATGCACAATTGAGCTAGCAGAAGAGAATATACAAAGGCACTTATCCCATAAGATACGTGTAATATATGAGCACTAAAGACAAGAATTTACCATTCCTAACAACCTAAACCTTCGTTTTAATGGATCATGAAGATTAGAGAAGAAACCTGGGAGAACAGATCAGAGGCCTCTGAAGAAAGCTGGTATTTTTTTTAAAGCCACCTTTGTTGGGTGAACAAGAAACAACATTTCTCTATAGAATTATGAGAATGCTAGCCCACTTCTTTGGTTTTGGGACTCAGCAGTAGGGTAGGACGTGGGTGTCTCTCCCAAGAACTCCTGGTCTCAAGCCTGTCCTCACACAGATTTGTGGCTAAAATGCACATTGCTTTAAAATTAAAAAAAGTTATGAGTTGATATGCTTGCACAAATTAAAATCAGAAAACATGAGTAGATAAGCCTCTTTGAGAAAGAATAAGAGGAAACAAAGTGTGAAAGTATATCTGCAGGGGCCAGGGATTTAGCTCAGTGGTTCCACCACCTGCCTCGCAAGTGCAAAGCCCTGAGTTTGATCCCTGGTACAAGAAAGAAAGAAAGAAAGAAAGAAAGAAAGAAAGAAAGAAAGAAAGAAAGAAAGAAAGAAAGAAAGAAAGAAAGGACATCTGCAAGACCGTAGATATTAGAGCAATGAAAGAAGAGGATATAAAACAATGATGAGATGTTTTAATGTATTTAAATAAAGAAGTATTAAAAGTATAAGAAAGAAGGGAGTATCTAAAATGATGAGGCAAATTTGATAATCTTCAAAGTGAGCTCGAACTTTTGAAAAGGTAGTATTTCAGCATATAATGCCTGAGGCACCTTCAGAGCATGAATCAAAAGCAGGAAATAGCAGTGGTTGCCAGACTAGACCCATATTGACCTGAAAGAGTTTATTGTTAAATGTTTAGGAATTTTATGGGTAAGTTGATCACTACAACCATCATCAACGAATGCACAATTAAACATTTAAAGAAAAGGCAATACATACTCAAAACTCACCAGTTCACAATGTCTTTGTTATGTTTCATTATTATATATAGAATTACTTTGCTATATTTCACTATTATCTATGCTCTTGAGGTTATTTGTATCAATGTTACCAATATTGTAGAAACATGGTACTACCAGATGTGTTACTAGAACAGTAATAAGCATGGTCTAAAGCATGCCTTCCTATCAATCACTGGCTAGGACCACTTCTCCATCAATCATTAAAGATCCTGGTCCTGCCCGGGACCTGCCTCTCTAACTCCCAAAATTACAGCCACTGTTAAAGTAGCAACCCATAAATCAGTTCTTGGGGAAACCCCCAACTCAGGGGTGGGTGCAGCAACACTTCAAAGTATCTGAAAGCAATGTTTGGCCACGGAGAAGCTCATTATCTACTCGTCCATACGGGATGCACCTCGGGGACAGAACTGTCACAGGGGAAAAGGACACACACAGTCAACACAGAGGGCCCGACTCAGCATGAGCCCAGGGACAGCCCTCCGGGAGGGACTTGGAATCTTGGCCAAAAATAAAAGACCCCTGTTCCTTATAATCAGGGCCACCGTGAGCCTTTTCACTGCTCAGCTCTCACGCTGCAGCACACACTTATTTTCTGCCTTCAATAAATGTCCACTTCCGCGGCCTCTTCTATGTGTTGTGCGCAATTCTTGGCTCTGGACACCGAGAGCCTGGAAGGAAGCCCTGTGCGATGCTCCATCCGGGTACACTACTGAACACTGTGCCCAGCTCAGCGCTCTGGGGTTGCCACAGCGGTTGTCCGAAATCAGCCACTGTGGAACTGCTTACGCTACAGATCTCAGCAAATGCACCAACCAGGGACTTACTGCTTATTTGCTGGATATCTACGGCAAAGAAACTGATGGAGAGACTGTTGATAACGCAGATGAAATTTAAAAGTGTGCTACGTCTGTCGCTATTACATTGCACCTAGCATGCCAAAATGGTGAAAGTATTCATCCAGTACTCAAAAGCTAATTACTTGATGCAGCCCAGGAGCTGTTCATGTCATCGATGAGCGAGTGGGGTGTGGCCCTTTGTCCTTTCACTCTTGATTACATGATTGAAAATATGAATCAACATTTACATTAAAATTTTACGTGTTTGCCCCTTGTAAACTGCAGATTGGCTAAAAGTACAGGAATTCAGCGTGAAATCCAAAATATTTCAAAACAATAGATATTTTTAAAAATCATTAAGCGTACAATAAGTATTAAGCACTTTAATATTATTATACATTTTGTACTACATATGCTGTCTTTCAGTAACTAGAATTTAAAGTACATAATGCTATAAATATTGTTTTATTACTTATAAATTGTGTGCCATACAAATATATCTCAGTGACATTGATAATAAAATTGTGTATTTACATAAATGCACACTTTATTTTTCTAGAGATGGAGCAGAAAGATAAAAGATTGAAATTCATTTTTTAAAAGCAGAAAGTCAACAAAGAGAATGTCCAATAATATCTCAAGAATGCTAACAGGAAAAAAAGAAGTCAACCAAGAATTTTATAAGTGAAAACAATGTTAAACGAACAGGAGCAAAATAAAGCCATTTTTCAGATCAGTAAAAACAGGGTTTAATGAAAGCCATGACATTATGATATAATAACAATTGCATCCTTGGTTTTCATTCCTAGATCCTGGCATAAAGCCCTTAAATCCCTTGGAGTTTCACAAGTGATAGAAGGATCTTTTCTACTGATGAAGCAACTCTCAGCAAACTCTTAGGTTTCTCCAGGATGGGGTGGGGTTGGTCACCACAAAGATAAAATCCTGCCAGTGAGAAACCTGGCACTTTCGGACACCAGGAAAGCTGGGGATTGAGTTATTAATTGATCAAACTTACATGATGAAGCCTCCTTAAAAGCCTTTAAATCACTGGGTTTGCAGAGCTTCTGCATTGGAGTATGCCAGACTCCACAGGGTAACAGAAAGGTGACATAGAACTCCACAGGGACAAAACCAAACTAAACCTAAATCATAAATGAACAAAAAAATCCCCCCAACCCCCCCATATAGTTGTGCTGTGCTTGTATGAGCACAGACCATACCAGAACTTTAATGTTTCTTATCTCAGAAATTTAGGCTATAGCCCAGCACAATTCTGAATTACTACAAAAGCACGTCACTTTTGTAATTAAAAATATACAAACAAAAACAAACCCCAATGAAAAGAAAGTAACAAGTATATCAACTATGCACAAGGGCATTGCCCTGATTTGTGGTTGTGTTAAAAATAAATAAGGCACAGGTTCTCTTAAAAGCTTATCATCTGGTGAAAGACATGGTTTGGTAGATACAATCCTTTCTTTTTAATTATTCCCAAAGGTTTAGCATACAAGATCATTCCCTATTACTCCATACAACTTTCCATCACCAAGTACTTATGGATTTGTGATTAATCCGCATCATTTGTTTTTTCTTTGAATTACCTTCAGAGAGCCTTCTAAAATAAAAGGAATCTTTTCTTTCTCCTTTTCTTTTTCTTGATCTGTTATTTCTGTTTTGTTGATTACTTTGTTACCTATAATCAGAGAACATTAAGCTTCTTAGCACTTCCCTTAAATTACAGGAGAACTAAATCTCTGAGTTAGAGCTCTCGAAGGCTACAAAATTCAGCACCACTTTTGATCAATTCTTTCTTGCCATCTCTAAGATGGACCTCTGAAGTGAAGCCACTTGGGGTGAGGTTATTACAGTCCCTGGAGACGGTGCATTCCATTCTTGATACATTGTAGCTTTTACTGAATTGAATCTCTTGGACCTAAAACTTCCACCTAATTAATTTTAGTTTAATATTTTGAGACCACGCAGTACACATCTAACTTTATATTAAAGCCCTTCTCTTTCCATTGTAGGCATTAGGCTTGGAAGGGCTGTATCTTTTCTGACTTGAGTGGACTTGAAATGCACACAGCAACCAAGAAGTGCATTTCAATTCCAAATTGATCATTTTCCTGATTTCTGGAGCAATCTGTACATTACAATTTTTGTTTGTTCAGTGGCACTCTAAAGAAAAGAAAGCCAACTTATCAATTTACCCACATATGGGGTAAGTATGGCCGCAGACTTAAGTGAGAGAGGGCAGCCTTAGCTTTAGTTCTTAAACAGTCCCATCCATTTCTCTCGGCACTTAGTGGTACAAGTGACTCCCACTAGGAAGAAGCTGAGCTATAGATAATACAACCATTTGGTGGAGTTGGTAAATAATTCACCATCAATTTTGTTTAAGTTAAATTATAGAAATCACATAGCTTTTTAAAATGAAAAATCACCTTCAACTTTGGCTATTGTTTGCAATGACTATTAACAGGGAGTACATTTCTTTTGCGCAAACTCAAGGAAATAGCTTTATTTTCCAGATAAACTGGCTTACTCTTCCACTTCTTTTATTAACCAAGTATCCTTCAGAAAATTCACTTTATTCACTTTGTCACTCTCTTCTCTTTTCCTCAGTATTGGCCCAAAGTCATGGAAATTAACAACAACAATGACAACAAAACAACAATAAAAGGTATATATTGATCCAAGATCCGGTCTAGTCTCTGCCATAGGCTTCCAAGAGTTTTCTTTATTTCTGTATTCTTATTATGAGGTAGCCTCAGGATTCCTATGTGTGAAGTTCTAAGGAGGGTCTTGCTTGAATCTCATTGACAGAATCATAGTTCTTCTGATGGAGACCCAATAACTATGAATTAATTTCATATATTGTGCACAAATATTAACTCACTAATCCTACCAATAAAGATATTTATAATTTCTTTAATACATAACATTTGATCTGTAGATCAAATCTTCCAGATTTGACAGGAAGTAAGGTCAACAAGACATTATCCCACACAGGTACAATTTCATCATATTTGGGATGCAACTATCTATTTATTAGAGAAAGAAGACTCAGGAATAGAATATCTTTGGACTTTATTCTAGGTATTAACTAAACTGGTTACTTACTTTTAGATTTTTTGGGAGAAATATCTTTGCTGGGCCAATAATTTTTGGCACTAACAGAAGGTTTCCGTTCCGTCTCAGCCTTGGTCCTGGTGAGTTCCTCAGCCATTTTAGCTTCCTGATACACAGCTTCCTCTTTTGTGATCCAGTCTTGAATGGAGTCAGCAACAAGTTCCAAATAATTCCTGAATGAGACAAAGAAGAACAGATGGCAAGTGAGTCAATGTTAAAGTCAACAAAGAGTTAGATACTGTGCAAATGAAATGTTCAGAAAATGAACTCCTTTTAAACCACACGAGTAATAAATTTAATAGACTTGGATACAACCTAGGTGTCAAGTGGCCATGTTCATTCACATCAGAGATGTGCAAATTTGAAAATGAGGTCTTTTCACTCAAGAGAAGGATTAAGTCATTTGACCGCAAGAGTAAATGAATGTTGTAGAAACAGTCACACTCAGCACTGTTACCTGGAGAGTAGCAGGCAAAAGCTCTTTTTAGGGCAATTTCTAGTGCATTATAAACCCTTTTAAGTGACCATGAGCTGATTAGCCCACTGAGTAAACTAAAATACTCTGTAGCCTCTGCTATAAAACTTGCCAGCCTTGGGGTTACCCACATTTCATGTATTATTTTGTAAACTGCTCATACCTTCACAATCCCCCCGTCAAGATGTTGCTTATCAAGAATCAGCTACCTTTACTCCCAAATCCCTTCATCCTATCAGTGTGGATTACTTTAATTATTTTCAAATTAAATACCACATATCATATGAATTTCCAAGGAAGAGTTGTTTCTGAGGAGATAAGTTACATGATTCAGGTTTGACAATAAGATTAGCTGATTGTCAAATTATGTTGAGTAAAGTCTAAAGAACTGAAAAAAATAAAACTAGATGGATTATAGACTGAGTTTACTTCATAATTTTCTTTAATTCTTGGTCTCTTTTAAAGAATGAAACTGAAACTGCAGAGTATGAATTATGGGTATTTAGCATCTTCATTTAGAAGGTAATAGATATCTTAGACTCAGCATGTCCTGAAGCAAAATTTTGATCTTCTCGTTCACACTGGTGCATTAAAGCTCTTTGGCATTTTAAAGCTCTTTGGCATTTTAGCTGATGGCAAGTCTATACTTCTCTCTGCACAGGACAAATGCCCTGACATTATCCTTGATTACTCCTATTGACTTATAAGCGTTTTCCTATCTGTTAGGAAATTTAAAGGATCCAGACATCATTTGAAAATCCTTTAAAATACATGTTTATATTATATTCAAAATCCAACCAAGTCCCACTTTACTGCCATTGTCCTGGTCTAGTCCACTATCATTTCTGGCTGGCGTTGTTGCATTAGTCCTCAAATAATGTTCCTGCTCCTACTTTGGCCCCCTGAGGTTTATTCTCAAATTAGTGAATAAATCGTCCCTTTCAATTATCAAGTCATATCATGTCTTTCTTCTGTTCAAACCTCTCAATAAATATGTAAAATAAAAACTAAAATCCTTATAAGTGACCTACAATGAAGAACACAGACTCAGAGATACAGCCAAATTAATATCCAAACAAGAGGACAAAATAGAAAATAAGAATGCAGTGCTTCAGGAAATGTATCACACCTAGAGATGTTCTGAATGAATTACTCTCAGATGTATTCCAGTTGCATTAGGAAAAGTAAGAGGAAGAAGTCAATATTGGATGTAATTAAATGGGTCAAGAAAGAAAGCAGAAAAATATACAATTAACTGTAAATAACTGTGCTACTTATTTATGATTAAAGTCATGATTGGAAACAAAATTTCAAGGTAATTGCAAAATGAGGTTAGGACTCTGTGTGTGTGTGTGTGTGTGTGTGTGTGTGTGTGTGTGTGTGTGTGTTGGGGGACAAAAGTGCTGTATGTTAAAACTTTTAGCATTTTTGTGAAATGATATTAATGTTCATTAATTCCACATAGGATATAAAATATTTAAATATATGATTTTAAAAGGTACATGTAATTACCAGAAGAATATAGAGTGAATGCCTGCCTTTTTATAAAGCACACATAACAAATGAACTAAGACTGGGTATGGTGGCTCATGCCTGTAATCCTAGAACTCAGGAAGCTGAGACAAGACTATCTCTTCAAATTAGAAGCCAGCCTTACTTAACCACATAGGGAGACCCTGTCTTAAACCACCAAAGAGGGGAAAATGAATTAACTAAGAAGATTCAACCTAAAAAGAAGAAAGGATTAATATTCATTATTGGAGATTAATACTAAAACAAATATACTTATAAAATGAAGTGGTGATAATGAAACCAAACATATGACCAATAAAAACAAGTGAATATATTCATTTTGTGAGGTATTTACAATTTTTATACTTTAAAAAAATTAATGAATGTTTGTAATACAGTATACAATATAGTGATGTAATACAGCATGCAGTATAGTGATGTTTGTGTTGGGAAAATGGTAAAAGCATATAACAGAACTGGATCATTTCCAATCTCTTTATCCCCCTCTTCCTATCCCATGAATCCCTTCCCCACCTATAAGTCTACCTTCTAGTTTCCCAACATCTCTCTTTTATTCCTTTTATTCACTCATGTATTTCTATTTAAGAAAACATGAGATATTTGATTTTTTTGTTTGTTTGTTTGTTTTTGGTACCAGGGATCGAACTCGGGATATTTAACTTTCTAAGTGGTTTATTTTCCTGGTCTTCTGTTCCATCTATGTCCCTGAAAATGACATGACTTCATTCTTCTTTATGGGTGAATACTAGTCCCATGTTAGCTAATGTGCATTGTGCTTCTGTAAACATGGGCGTGTGTGTTTCACTGTAGTATAATGCAGGAAGATACCCAGGAGAGGCATAGATGGTCATGTGGAATTTCTAGTTTTAGAATTTCTAGTTTTAGTGTTGTGAGGAGTCTCCATATTGATCCCCACAACCGTTGTACTAGTTTACATTCCCACCCACAATGTAGGAGGGCTCCTTTTCTCTCAAAGCCATTCCAGTACTGTTGTCAAGCCCTTGATGATAGCTATTCTGACTGGCATATAATAGAATCTCAATATTGCTTTGATTTGCATTTTTTCTAATGGCCAATAACACTGGGCATTTTTTAAATGAACTTGTTGGCCATTTCTACATCTTTTAAGAAGTGTCCATGTCAATTGTTCATTTTTAAAATTGGGCCACTTGCTTTTTTGGGATATATTCTCATGAATTCTTTATGTATTCTAGATACCAGTCCCAGGAGTAGCTAATAAAACATTTGGCCCATTCTGTAGATTACCTTATCACTATGTTGATGATTTCCTTTACTGTGGAGAAGCTTTTTAATTTGTTGTAATTCATTTGTTCATTCTTGATATTATTTCCTGTGGTGTTAGAGTACTATTCAAGAAGTCTTTGCTTGTGTTAATGGCTTTCAGTGTTTTCCCTAAGTATTAATTTCTGGCAGTCTTAAAGTTTCTGTTTTTATCTTTAGGTCTGTGATCCATTTTGATTTGATTTTAGTACAAAGTGAGAGGTAAGGATCTAGTTTCAGTCTTCTGCAGGCAGATAGCCAGTTCCCTCAGCACCATTTGTTAAAGAGATTGCCTTTTTTCTCCAGGGTATTTTCGGTCTCTGTCAAAAGCAGATGGCTCTAGGTATACGGTGTGATTTCTGTGTCCTTCATTGTGTCTCATTTGTCTGCATGTAAGTTTTTGCACAAGTACCATGTCATCTTTGTCACTACAGTTTTGTAGTATGACTTAAAATCTGGCGTTGTGATGCCTTTATCTTTTCTCTTCTTGCCCAGGATTGCTTTGACTACTCTGGGTCCTTTCTGATTTCATATGAATGTTAGGAAGGTGAAAAATGTTTTAATTATTTTTAATAGGGATTCTTTTAAATCAGTAGGTCATTTTTAAGCTTGCAATTCTCATAATATTAGTTCTTCTAACATAAGCATTTTTTTCCATTTTCTATTTTTCTTTCCATTTTCTAATGTCCTCTTTAATTTCTTTTGAGTTGGGTAATTTTCATTACAGTGGTTTTTCACCTTCTTGGCTAGGTTGATTCCTAAGTTTTTAGTTTTTTCGAAGCTACTGTGAATGGACAATTTCCCTGATTTTTTTCTTAATATGTTCATTATTGATGTACAGGAATGCGTTTGTTCTTTGTATATCAATTTTCTATCCTGTCATTTTTCTGAATTATGTATTCTACATAACGAATCATATAATATACAAACATAAATAATTTGACTTATTTCTCATTCATATTCCTTTTTTTTCTTTTGCTGAAGTTTCAATTATTTATTGAACAGGAATCATGAGAATGGGCACCCTTGTCTCATTCCTGATTTTAGAGAAAATACTTTCCCTCATTCAACATGATATTAGCTGTGGATTTGTTAGATGTGGCTTTTATCAATTTAAGCTAAGATCTTTGTATATCTATTTTCATTAGGGGTTTTCATCATGAAGAGATACTGGATTTTGTTGATGGCTTTTTCAGTGTCTTTCGAGAGAATCATGTGACTTTTTAGTTTTGTTTCTATTCATGTTGTGAATAGTATTTATTAATTTATATATATTGAGTAATCCTTGCATCATGGGATGAAACTCACTTGGAGATGATGTACAATCTTTTCAATGAGTTGTTGAATTCTGTTTACAAGACTCCTACTGAGAAATTTTGCATCTATCTTCATCAAGGATATTGGACTGATCTGCAGTTTTCTCTCCTTCCTTCATTACCTCTCCCTTTTCCTTTGTTTCTCTCCCTTTCTTTCCTTCCTTCTTTTCTTTCTTTCTTTCTTTTTCCTTTCTTTCTCTCCTCTTCTCCCCTCTCCTCTCTTCTCTTCTCTCTTCTCCTCTCCTACATCTCCTGACCAACAAGGTTTTGGCTAAGAAATTCACTAACAGTGTTATGAAGTTGCCTTGTGTGTGACAAGTCATTTTTCTCTTGCTGCTTTCAAAATTCTGTTTTTCATTTTCTTAATTTAATTATAATTGTGTTGGTAGAAATAATTTGATGTTTAGCCTGTTTGGGGAATTTGGACATTATGGCTCTGAATGTTCATTTTTCTGTGGATTTGGAAAGTTTGCTGTTATTACTTCAACAAGTTTTATTTTCCTTTCCTTTTCTCTGTTCCTTCTGTATCTCCCATAGTACATTTATTCTTTTGCTTGATGATGTCTTATAAGTCATACAAATTTTCTTTATGGTTCTCCTTTTTATTCCTTTGACTAGATAATTTTATTTCTTTCTTCTGTATAACTTAGTCTGTTTTGAGCTCTGGACTGAATTTTTAGGTGGCTCACAAAAAACTTGGAGCATCTATACAAACTAACCATATATTAAACAGTAAAATAACTACCAACAAATTTCATAGCATGAGTATTCTATAGACCATTACCTATTAATATATTTTAAAGTTATGAACTGTAACAAAAATGAGACTTACAGTCAAATATTTAAAATTAAAGGTGACATTTCTATGTATTCTGTGAGTCGAAGAAGAAAGCATAATGGAAATTAGAAATTGTTGTATATTCAAAACACTTTTAAAACCTAGCATACAGATGCTCTCTCAAAGTTATATTGGCAGTTCTAGTCTCAAATAAGACTGGAAAAGAAATTAACTGTTTAATTATTGAAATGAAAAACAAAACAAAGCAAAACTAAAGATTTATAGTTTAAGACATTGCATTAATATACCTTAATTTTAAAAAATCAGTTGTATCTATTTTGAATCATACACAGATCAAACAACATTACCTAAACCAGAAAACCTATTGTCATGTTTTATTGTTACCACTTGAAAGCTTTCAGAGGCAGTCTTATTAGAGATGAAATGAATAACAATGTAATTTAGTAACATCTCCACTTGACCCCTGGAAGGCAAGAAAGATGTTTGTCTTTTTTAGGGTATAGCTTCAGTACTTATCCCTGGGCAAGATTCATGGTAGATATTCAATTCAGTGAGCTGAATGAGATCTAGGGACTACACAGATATTTTCATTGCATTAAACCACTTAGTTTAGGTTAAGGAATGAAAACCCAAATAACTATCTAACTTAACTGTCTAACTAACTAAACTATCTAAATTGATTACCTGAATCCAACATTAGAGTGAAGAGCAACATTCCAATATTCACAGTGCAGACGTTGTAAATTCATTGGATTATGAAAAACTAAAAGTAAAGAATTGTCCTGGGTATAGTAGTAAGAATCTGCACACTTATATTGCTGATAAGCTTCTTGAAGAACCTGAAAATCAAAATAATTACACTGTTGATTCTTTTCTTTCCCAGAAAACAACAGTCTCCTGCTGGCATATCTCTGCCTCCCATCATTTCTTTCATAATTTTTGCATTGTGAACTAAGTTGGAATTCTCAGAAGATGTTTTCCTAACTGCTCAAAAGTGAGAGCATAAAAGATGTATTTTGTAGAGCATTTTGGCAGCTCTGACATGAAAACACACAGGTATCTGCTAAAACTTCTTCATTAAGGTTGGTAGATAATAAATCAGTTATTTATGTGGTGTTTTTAAATCACTTTCATACAGATTATCTCATTTGATCATCATTAAACACCCCAGATAAATGGATAAATAGGTACCATGGACTACGTTGTGTGTCCTGGGGTTCAAATGTATGTTAGAGCTCTAATGCCTAGTGGGTTGATATTTGGAGACGGTGCTTTGGGGAGTTATTAGGTTTAGATAATGACATAATGGGATTGAAGCCATTATAAAAAGAAGTTCTAGAGTTTGTTCTCCCGGTCTGCTGAGTGCTAACTCAGCAAGAAGATGTCAACTGCCAGCCAGGAAGCAGGACCTCACCAGAACCCAGCTGTGCTGCCCCCTGGATCTCAGTCTCCAACCCTGTAGAACTCCGAGAAGATACATTTCTGTTGTGTAAGTCACTCAGTCTGTGTTTTGTTATGACAGCCTGAGAAGTGGAAGACCGTAGCTAAGATTATTTTTTCCCATTTCAAAATACTACAGTTCTCATTTTTCAGCATAAATTGGTACTAAGAGAGGATGAGGGACTTGTCCAAGAACACAGAGTTCTAGTGCTTGGGTTCATACCAGATGTCGAGCTCCAACTTTTACCTTTTCAAGTGCCACAGCTTATGACTCTTCACTGTGCCATGTTGTATTACCATGAAATGAGGGGAATGGTCTTTCTGACACATGTTGTTGCTAACTACCTTGCGACACTGGCTTTAAAAAAGTACAGCGGCCCTGGCGTACATACAGCGGCTGCTGCTGGGAGAGAGGCACCATGAGCAGGCCCTTACTCCGTTCCTTCTCACTGCCAATCAATGACAAGGAAATTGTCCCCAGGAAAATGAATTGGAGAACTGTAGGATTTTATTTTTGTTTTTGCTTTCAATGTCAATCTAATGTAGGCAACTTTTGGTTTTCTACTCTTTGAATGATCTGAAAATAAGGAATTGCATATTTTGTTAGGAAGAGGGTGTTCCACTTTTGCTTTCCTTTGGACATTGGTAGCATCATCAAAATAATATATTTACCTTCCCAATTATATAAAAATTGTTAGAACTTCAACGTGTGATTGATACGAACATTATTAATGGGATATGTCAATTTTTCAAACTAAGTCCTTAAAATCCAGTGTATATAGTACTCACATAGCTACCCGTAGTGTGTATAGCCAATTCACAGCACATATCATTTTTGACTATTACATTTCAAGACTGATGAATCTACACGTGACTCATGGCTACTGCACTGCATAGTGCATATCTAGATACCGAACATCAGAAGTACTTCCCATGCCTTCCCTCTTGCTGAATCCTACAGGCAGGTTTACGTCTGTCAAAAAGGTTAGATTTTTTTTTCCCTCTGAAGAACCTAAGTGGCCCAAGAAAATGGACCTAATATAATAGCACCGATGGGTTACCCATGGAAACGCCTCAGCCAGATGACGCAGCCACAAAGCCCAGCTCTTGACATCCTCCCATGAAGCATTTCTGAGCATATTTTCAGTGTTTTATTATCAATAAAAAGCAAAGAAGAAATGTTGGATATGAAAAATGGGGACCAAAAAACTAAATCTGCCCCCCCCAGTAGATGAGGGAGAGAAGACACAAAAAAGAGGCAGTTGAGGACAGGAAGAGAACACCTTTAAAGGACTAAAATAAACCCATTAAAATAAAAGATACTGTATCAAGAATGTGAAAATTACTTCTTTGAGAGGTTACTTGGAATTATAAATAGAGGACTTAGTGTAAGGTTTAGATGGGAGTTGAGCGTTTTTTGGGAGGAACAATAACAACAAAAAAGTGTTGTAAATTAGGGGAAAAATAATTAGAAATTTAGTTCAGGTGTTTCAACTCCAGAATAAAAAAGATTTCAAAAAGAACGAGAGGAAATGTAAATGATGGGGTGGGTTGGGTTATCAAAGAAATGCTTCCAGGACATCTCCCAGAAAATAAGATAGGAATTTCAGGGTTGCACAGGGCTCCCCAGAACAAGGCATAGAAAGAGAACTGCAGCCCAGAGCACTGGAACGAAGAGAAGATCTTAAAGTCTTCTGGAGAGAAGAAAAAATATACTCCAAAACTAATGAAATCAGAATTTCATTTCTTCCCCTCAAGAGCAGCCTGGGAAAGTCATAGAACTACTGATGAATGCCTTTAATATTTCAAAGGAAAAATTTTTAAAACTTAGCATTTTATTTAAAGCCAAGCTGTTAGTCACTGTAAGAGTAGAATTAAGATGCATTGAAATAGTCAGTGCCTCAAAATTTGCCTGCCATAAATCTTAATTACAGAAGCTAATGAAAAGCCATGGTCCTCTCCAGAAAGAGTGCCCTAAGAGAGAAGACAGGCGATGACGGCGACAGTGTCGAGCTGGAAAGAGGCAGTGAGTGTGCCAGGAGGATGGTAAAGGGAGCCCCGGAGCAGAGCCGTACCCCACGCTTAGAGTATATGGGCAGAGTCATTACGACAATAATGCTCTTAGAATATGTACTGGGCTTGAAGGTCCTGAGAAGAGATTTACTGTGTGTAGAGAGTTCAGGGAAAAATTAACTATAAATACACAGTAAACTAAATAAACAGGGAAAAGGGCAGGTAGTGATTCCAGTAAAAACAAAAACATGTATACTCACACAATGGAGTTAATAGTATTTATATGACAAAAAATTCAATATTGATTTAACCAAAAATTGTGATATAATTAGTAGTGTTAGAGAATGGAGAAGTACTAGTGTAAAAGTAGGTGTGTGTGTGTGTGTGTGTGTGTGTGTGTGTGTGTGTGCTGGGTGGGTGTAAATAATGCTTATTCACAAATGAGAGTCAATTAACAATGATGACTAAAAATTACCATTAAAACTAATAGATTCATTCATAGGAAAATGGATACATATTGAAGATATACTCCTAAGTGAAATAAATAAGTCACACATGTGTAAATACCGAATAGTTTCTCTGGTGTGAATAATCTGCAATAATACATAAGATCCTAATAAGATTGCTGACATTTAGAAATGGGAAGAAAGGAGGTAAAGGTGTAGGAAAGGTGACATGATTAGGGGAAGGGTAATAAGGGAAAAGAAAAAAATGTGAGATAATGAAAAGATGGAAATAAAGTGTTTGTAGATGGGGAGGGGAGAGGGGGTGAAGGGAGGGCAGGGACAAGGGGAAAAAATGAGAACCAAGACCTGTCATGTAGAGGTACAAGATCCCAACAATGAATGTAACTGTACTGTATCCCTAAAATGTACCAATAAACTCAATAAAAAAAACTAGCTAAATTTTGCCTATTATTTAAAGATAACAAAATAATAAAAGAAATAGGCAAGTGCATTAAAAATTCTTGCCTCTGGGAATTGAAGCACCTTAGGGTAGGGGTAGGAGGCTGCTGTTTTCCTTATGACTCTGTAGATCTTTCTGGCTTCAAAAATAGGTGATGTAAAATTGATAAAAAATAAATTTTAAATTAAGACCAAAACAAAAGACTACATATTTTTGCATGAAATCTAAAAACAGCAAAAGGAGTTGGTTTTAGGATTATCTGTTATTTTATATAGTGTTTAAAATGACAAGTTCTGAAGCTGGATTTCTTGGGTTTCTATCCTGGTTCTCACTTAGCAACCTTGTTACTAGGCAAAAAGTACTCCTGTTTCAGCTATTGAGTTTCTACATCACAGGGTGTTGCGAGTAGGAATATGTATCAGACACTGCGTACCACATGGTAAGTGCTCAGTAAATGTTAGCTATTATATTGTCTTATTAATCAAAACAGAAAATATGAAGCGCAATGAAAATAGAATGGATAGGGAACATGAAAAGACGGGGCTGTGAGGCTGTTAGGACTTTGGCAAGTCTTAGAGATGGACTCAATGCCTTTTGCGTAAAGGCATGTGCACGAGTCTTTGCCGGGCCCGGGGCGGAATGTTATGGTTCGGGTCTAGATGTTCCCCCAAAGCCTCGTGTGGGCACAGGCTGGATCCAGAGTGTGGGAAGCTGGAGTTGACTCACGGTGCAGTGCTAGGCCCAAGGGCGCTGGGATGAAGGGTGTGAGTCTGGATGAGACAAAGGGGGCAGAGAGACGCGGATGAGGTCCCTTGCTGCCTTTGCTGCCTCGTGTGCGCCATGCTGTTTCTCCTCTGGGATGCTCGTTCGTCATCTCGTCCTCCCAGCCAGCCGATTATGGACCCAAACCTCTACAAACTGTGAGCCAAATAAACCTCTTCCCCTCCCACTTTGGGTGTTGGGCATTTTTGTCTCAGCAATGAGAGAGAAGTAACTCACACAGGCTGCTTCCCTTACTTGGTTCTAAAAACAGCCTCACTTTTAAAAGGGAATATGGGGCAGTCTCGTGTGGGTGTTTTTTTTGTTTTTTTTTCTCCTTAAGATTTGTATAAAAGTATCCTTTCAGAGAGCCTGTTTTAAACTATTTTGGAGGGTTCCTGGGAATGCATAGCTCAATCTGGGAATAAACTCATTTTATAGCTGAAGTAAATGGGAATATTGATTTGAACTACATTTGAGAGAGTGACCTAGAAATGAACTGCTGTAAATCACAGTCCAACTCCCCAGACCTGTCTGACTGTGTCCTGAAGAACTGCAGCCCATAAATACCTGAAGCAGTACTTTTGGTTTAAAATGCTCAGTGTAACTCCAGTCCACTAGACTGCGCTGCTGTGTGTTCTTTATGTCCTCCAAATTTACTTCCACCATTGTCTTCTTGGGTTTCTAAAAAAAAAAAAAAAAATCATAGGAACACAATTTTGGCTATAATTTGTTTCAGTCCAAATGAAGCCATTTTGGACTTTGACAACTAACCAGCATGCACTCCATCTAATTGGGGAAATCTGCATATGGATAAATCCATATGGCAACATTTTGGGAGAGCTGCTGCCAGAAAGAGTGTGCCTTTGACTTTTTTTTTTTTTATGGGCAACATAATCTAAATATTTTTATTGTTAGGTTATACTCTTCAGAGTCCTGTTAGCAATTATAGGCAGGTTTTTCTGAACTCACTTCAAGACAACATTCATTCTACATGGCTGTATGGTCAGCAGGTGTTTGTGAAGTTGCCAAGCCACACTGTCTAGAGAGGAGCAAGGAGCTGGGAAGTTTTGTTTAAGATGGCTAGTAAGATTAACCCCTTTCTCTCCAGCTGAAGCTGGTCTAAGAACGTCTAAGTAAACCCTCTTCATTAGCACGAGCATTTGCCTTTTAAGCATCTCTCTCTCTCTCTCTCTCTCTCTCTCTCTCTCTCTTACTTCTGATTTCTCTCCCCCTCCTCCCTCCCTTCCTCTCTCTCTCTCTCTCTCTCTGTCTCTCTCTCTCTCTCATCTCTTTTGAATGTTTCTCAACCTAGGTCACGGTTTTCTGAGATCATCTGACTTGTCATCTACACTTTTATGAAAATAATTTCTTACCTTTTCAAGAGAATCAGCCTTTGTGACTGCTTCATCTTTGATCTCGTTGTTGGTGGTTGGATCTGTAAATCAAAGACACCAGCATCCAGTTGTGTTTGGGCTTTGTTCTTGCTTTTGGTCAGTGCTGGGCCTTTTTGTTGCCCATATGATCTATGCTTCTGTGCTGAAAGGGTAATTCCTAAGAGGCATGTTTCGTGCCTCCAAAAAAAGGTGTTTGTGTCAATAATTCTAAATCCATACCGACCCAGGAAAGTTACACTAAATTCTTTGAAAAGAACCCAACTTCTTATCTGATGTACACTAAATCTTATCCGAGATTTTGCTTTCAGCCTCTATGTCACTCATTTCTAACAATGTACATTTACTTTTACATGTTGAAAATATTTACTGAATAAACGAAATCAACTGTTCTGTACACATCGTTCATTTTGTGCCTGGTCTGTGGGTCTTCCTGGCGAGTGACAGACTAGTGAGGTGGTGGGGATGCATGGGGAGAGAAACTGGATAAGTGCACCCCCTAGGAGGAAATGATGCTATTTCACCATTCTACAGAGCTCTTTTTCTATTCATCAATCATTCGTCAATGAGGAACTATTTAGTGATCACCTGCACATGTACAGATGGAGTTTAACAGGAGTTAGCTGAACAAAAGAAGTGGACTGCCGCACGGCCCCATGCCGTGGGCCGGTAGGAATCATACAGATCATCCCGCCTTGTGACCAAAGGGTGTATTTATGGGATGGTTAGGATTGTAGTTGTGTTGGCCACAGAGCAAACAGCCATGTGAGTGGACTGTAAGGCTACAGATTCAGGCTGCTGCTTTTCGTATCCAGAAAAATATGGGCTGTTAGGGGAACACCACTCCAATGATGTTGAAGAGTGGTGCCAGGCTGACTTCTTGTAAACCCGCAGAGTAGCTGGAAATGACCTCCTACAAAGCTGTTTATAATGAGGCTGCAGTCTTATTGTCCAAACGCAACCTAGTCACACACCTTGCTCTTTCCACCTCACACAGACTGCCTGACTTCGCTGTGTCTTCAGGGTTTCACACCTGCCTTCTCCTGTCTGTTATGATTATGACTTGCTCTCTGATATTTACCTGTTACAAACACTCATGGGCACCTCTTCTGTCTCGTACTCTGCTTTACTTTTTAACCATAGCATTTTCCAATGCCTGATACTATTTTTTAAAAACATAATAATATCGTCATTTATCGAAGAAGGAAGAAAAAGTAAGCTTATTTCTTCATGGTCTGCTTGCTTTGAATGTAAATTCCTGAGGATAGGAACTCTTATCTTGTTTTCCTCACTGCCTTCTGAGTACCTGCACTTTGCAGATACTCAGTAAGTTCTTTCTTTTGTTTGAATGAGGGATATCTACAATACACACTGAAATTAGAAATACATGTAGAGGGCTGGGGATTTGGCTCAGTGGTTCCGCTACCTGCCTTGCAAGTGCAAGGGCCCAAGTTCAATTCCTGGTACCAAAAAAAAGACAAGAAAAGAAATACAAGTAGAGTAATTAAAGCGGGGGGTAAGGAAGAAAACCTGTAATAAAGGCTGTTTTGGGGGTAAAGACACGATTTAATTTGTCATTCTGCAGCAAAAGAAACATATATGAACTTCCATATATGGTTCAACCACATATGAGTAGTTAATTATGCCTGCCGAGAACAGACCAAGACTCTTCCTTCTTAAACACAATTACTTACATTTTCCCTGCTTGTTCCATCTTGACTTGGGCTGGTGACAGTGACAGCACAATGTTCCATTTTGACTGAGAGGAAAACTATAACACCAGTTCAGTTCAACATTTATATAAATATATCCATTCAAGAGACAACTCGGGCCAACTACAACTCTAAATAGACCACGGTGTCCCCTGTGTCCTTGAAGCAATTGATATGAAATCTGTGGAATAAAAATCATTCTATTCTGTTGTCTGCCAGATTTCCTGGAGACTTGATATCCCCTCCTGTGTCTAAGAATCCGGCAGAAAAATTCTCCAGTTTAGAAAATATGTTCTAAAAAATTACGCATCTGTTATTTTGTCAAATGAAAGAACATCCTAATACTAATCTGAACTCTTACCAGAAGACTAAAAATCACTTTTTTTTCTGTCTGATTTCTGCCTTCAACCACATAATCCTTTGACAGTGTGATTCAGTAGTTTTTGACACATCTGGAAGTGAAAGCTTTCTCATCTCTTTGAAAAACAGCTTTCCTAATCTGTTTTACTTTAGAGATAACAAGATCCCTCTGCAAAGCAGTTACTTTATTAAAAAAACACCCAACAAGCATAAAGGGCACATCTAAACCTACAGCCTCATGGTTATCAACTCTCAGGTTTTTCATAAATATCCAATAGGCCCTGTCAAGTTCAAAAACAGTCTCAGATGGAAATCCAGTGTTTGGTTAAGAAAAGCACAAATATTCAGCCCTTCATGTCCAGGAACGGTCATATAAGTGTATCTGATGATAAAATGGTTGTGCGGGAAATACATGAATGATTTGTGCTGTGTTTAAAGAGAATTAAAGTGGCTGCTTTTGAAGTTAGAGTTAGGGAAAAAAATGTAGGACCAACAGCAACATTGAACAGCCACAGTGAAACGCCAGGGCCCAGCTCTGGGCCTATCAATGGGCACAATGGCAATTTTTCAGCTCTGAGGATTTAGAATCCAAGATTTAGATTATGAGGATTTAGGACCCTGGATCCAGAACACCAATTTATGTAGTTTGACCACCAGGTGGCAAAAGCTGCCTGAAGAAAACTAGACTAGAGCTTTAAAGAAAAAGAAAACAGCGAAATGAAACAAAGGAAAGGACCGGTGGTAGGGCTTACATTTCTCTCAGTTTATCCTGGCTCCATATTTACTCAGTGTGACTTCTTTGCCACATGTCTGTATTGGCACAGGATGTACTAATGCAATAACAATGTAAAAACTCAGGTTACTTTATTTTGGTTTAATTTGGGGTGGGCAAGGGAGGCTAAAAGATAGGTGTACTTAGGGCAGAGAAATAGGGAATCTACCCTGTTGGAAAGGAAGAAACAAAAGGCAACACAATTAGGATAGGAATCAGCATGACAAAGGGACCGTGAAGATGGTCGAATCACTGGGTGCATCAGAAGAAATTTCCGGAACTGAGGAAACCCTGAGACAGGATGGAGGAAGATTTGCTCTATCCTGACTTCCTACTGATTCTTGGCTGAACTTGTTACTTAGCCTCTCTTAGTCTTGGTTTCCTCATCTGCAGAACTGAAATAATAATATTTTACTTATAGGCTTGATCTTTATATAAAGTACTGATTAATATACATAAAATACCTTGGCATAATGCTTTGAGTACAGTAGGGCAATTATTACATAAATGTTATCGTCCTTTCATTTCTGTCTCCTGCACTTGCTGACTCCACTCAGAGGCAGGCAGCTTTTTCCTAGTTGTATTCTACCGCTTATTTCTTTTACTACTCTTATTTAAATAAATTAAAGTGGCTGGATGATTATTAGTGAATATTAACAGCTCTTGTGGTTCTTACCACCTAATTTTTGAAATGGTTTTTAAATTTATAAAATAAACACAAACATATAAAGCATCAATATTTGACATAATCAATAAGTATAAAGAAAACTCTCAGTACCTTACACATATTTTGTGTATCTTTTAATAATCATCTCCTCAATAACAAGCCTCTTTGTAAGCTTTCCTACAATTTTAATATTTATTTTGGATTGTTTGGCATTTTCTACCTGCACTATATTTAAAATAGTGACAGTTTTTTCAAAGCTTCTATTTTATCTTTTTTTCTTGCTTTACATTGAACCCCCAATATAATATGAAATCTAAAGTGTTTCTTCATGGTGGACATCCTCTTGCTCACCAAAGGATATTGTACAGACTTTTGTCTTCATACATAATGTTTATGTCATAATTTTAAAAAATATCATTATTAGATTGAGAAATTTTCCTTCTGTTCGTAGTTTGTTAAGATTTCTTTCCATAAATTTCTATGGAAATTTAAGTGCTTTTTCTGTATCTATCAAACTGATTATGTTTTTCTAGCTAATGTGTTAATTCACAAATTATATTGATTTTTTTTACGATGTATGCATTTTCCTTCTATTGTTGCTATAAATATTACTTGTTTGGGAGGCATTATCAGTGAACATGTTACAAGATCAATTTTTCTTTTTATTTAGGATTTTTTCATCTCCATGAATGAGTTTGTGTTACAATTTGTTGTACTCTCCTTGAAATTTTTATTATAAAGTTTATGCTAACTACATAAAACAACTAGGGGAGAATATCTTATTATTTTCTGGAATACTTTTTGTTAATATTAGAAGTATTTCTCTTTTGAGTGTTTGGTATCCTTGCCAAACAGATCATTTGGGCATAGTATGTCCTATTTGGGGTGATTTTTGACTAATTAAGTCATCTATTTGATTAATTATGTGACTATTAAGGTTTTCTATTTCTCCTGGGGCCATTGTCATCCTTTGCCAGTAATTTGCCCTTTTGAACCTCAAATTTAGTGGAATAAAGCTATTTATATCTTTTTAATTTCTGTATTTTGTGAATAAGTCCCCTTTTCTTTCTACCTAAAATGATTTTTATTTCTAATATGACTATTCCAGATATGGTTGTGTATGCTTTTTCTTTGTTGTGATTAGTTTTGTATAAAATATTATCAATTTTATTAATCTTTTCACAACAAGCTTCTATTTTTTTGTTCTTCCTTATTGTATCTATGTTTTTCTATTTCATTGACTTACGATTATTTGTATTGTTTTCATTCTGGTATTTTATTTGGACCTGCTTTGTTCATCTTTCTCTAACTGAGGTTGATGTTTAGGCAGTTATTTTTAGACTTCCTCGAAAAGTAAATATATTTATTTAACCTTCCAAACTTCTCTTGGACTCATCTTGCTTTAGCTGTACTCTACAAGCGTTGAAACTTAGTATTTTCATCTTTTAGTTTGACATATTCTCTAATTTCTATTGTGACTTTTTCTTGATGTAGGTGTCATATATAAACGCATTTCTTAGTTTTGAGACGTTTGGTGATGTTCTTATTATCATTTTGTAGTTGATGTTCACCACAATTTCACTGTAAGGTGAGAGCACATTCTCTATGGTTTTCTTCTCTGAAAATTTGTTGAGATTTACCTTACGGACCAGTATGTGGTTAGTGTTTCCCAAATAAACACGCTTATCATTTCTGAGCAGCTATGGAGTCGTGGAGGTTTTAGTAAAGACATGTTAATAACTATGCGCAGTGGTCTGACGTGATAGCTAATGACAAAGAAAATGTAGATTAATTATGGCCATGGAATACTAACCAAAGCATTTCTTTCTTTTTTTATTCTTTGTTTATTGGTACATTTTAGGTGTACAATATATGACATTCATCACTGGGAATTTATACCTTTACATGATATATCTTGGTTCTTATTTTTTTCCCCATTCTATCCTCCTTTCAACCCCTCCAGCCCTCCCTATTTACAAAGACTTTGTTTCATTTTTTTTCTTTGCTCATATTTATTCCTTTCCCTTCTTCCCTTTTTCCTACCCTCCCACTTCCCCTACCCCTTCAGACTTTGTCTTCCTGTTTCACATTATCTATTAAAATTTCTTTCTAATTTTAATTTTTATTAGTATGTGTTTGCAGTACCTAATCACATTCATCACGGTGAGTTGGTACATGTATGTAACACATCTTAATTCTTTTTATACTTCCTTCATGTTTTCTCATTTATCCCTACCTCCATGTCTTGGTCCTCTTCCCCTTAGGGAGGCATTTCCATATGGACGCGTCTAACCAGGGTTCAGGAGGTGCTCTCGAACCTTATTCAAAACTGAAAGGGAGCTCTAGGTGGAATTTACTTTGAATGAAAAGCCACAGAAATGGCAGGTTGTACAGAGGAAGTAGGACCTAATTACAAATTTTGAGCAAAATATACACTGATTGTTGAGTTAAAAAATTTACCACAACAAAAAGCATATTGTAATTAATTCCTCTCAAACTACTCCCTCTGACTTTAAACATACTCATCCCATTATTCTTGCCAACGTCTGAAATAGTTCCAGAAGTCTTCTTTCATCAGTGTCTTTACAAGACTTAAAAACAAAGTACAGCGAATTTGCTGTAGCCAAGTGTCATCCAATGAAAAAGCAAACTAGTAAAAACATACAGTGTGTCCTCACTCACCTCATGTATTGGATCTGGAACCACCATGCAACTTCTGGCTCTTCCCCATGACAAAATGTTCATGAAAACTAAGGCAGCTGCAAGAGCTCAACTAAAGACACTCATGAAAAAGGACTTTAAGAACTGCTTCAGAATGAGGCAAGAATAATGGGATAAGTGTTCCTGAAGAAAAAGAATATTTTGAGGATGATTAATGGCAAGGCATCCTCCACTGTAATAATTTATTTAATTTAAATATTTACTGTAGTTTTAAATTACATATATGGTTGGACAGAGCACAGAATGAGTGGACAAAAGGGAAAAGGTTAGTAGTACTGGGTAAACCCGTACAGCAGACCAGGGAGTTGAATTGTGTTTTGCAGCTAATAGGAAACCATTGAAGAAATGAAAGAGTAAGAAATGAAAGAGCTATATTTTAGGTAGATTAATTTTCAGCTTGGTGCAAATTAGCTTAATAGAAATTTAGCCCAATATGCTTCTTTATTTCCGTACTCCTAATACCACATTATTTAAAGTGTTGTACTCTGGAACAAAAGTAATGCCTTGAACTAAAGATGGAGAGGAAGGGAAAGGATGTTCACTTAGTACTGATTATGTGCCAAGCTCTACACTACGCATTTCGTTATGTTATCACAGATGATTTAGAAAATAACCATAGCAAGCCAAGTATAGCGGCACATTGCTGTAATCTCTGGGCTCAGGAAGCCTGAGGCAGGAGGATTTTAAATTCCAGCTAAGCCTGGGCAACTTGGGGCGATGTTGTCGCAAAATAAAAAATAATGAAGGGGTGGGGATGTAGCTTAGTGTTAAAGTCTTGAGTTCAATCCCCAGTGGCACACACATAGACAGACACACACATACACATGCACACACACACACAAATAAACACACATACAAGTTTTAGCATACAATCATGATAACCCCATGAAATACTAATGATGAAAGTTTTAATGATATTCATTGCATGTAATTTACTGAAGAGTGGAATAAAAGGAAATAGGATGTTTTGAAAAGACAAAGGCTGAATAAGGAAGACTTACTGAGTAACAACCCTCAGGAAAAAGTATAAATAACCAAATCAATTAAATGTTACCTAGTCTTCCAATTAAAATAGGCAGGGAAATAACACATCTTGAAAAGTCTTTCTTTTGTTTATGTATGACACTGTTACATACATACCTTTACTTCTCAAAGGCTCCTGTTGGAGCTGAGTCTTCACTCTGCCCTCCTGTTCTAAGAGCTCTCTTTTATCAGTGTTTAAGGGTTTCATAGTACTTGAGTCATAATAGTTCATACTGTCAGAGTCAGGCAGATTAAGATTTGAAACAACTCCATTGATTTCATCATCTCCCACAGATGATGACCAATTCGGATCCACATATATAGTCCTGTCTTTGGGTTCAGTATCTAGCCAAAGTAAAGGATAGTCATTAGATATAATGCCAGAAAACGCACAATCATAAAATATAAGAATGTTTTTCACTCCTTCCATGCAGTGTACCTGTTTTCTGTTCGGCCTCTGGGGTGTTCATTTTCAGGATGTACTGCTGCCTTAAGTGTTTAGCAAATCTGGCAGGGTTGTCCCATGGTATGAGAACCTCCTTAGCATCTATTCCATGCATCATCTCAGAAGGCTTTAGTTTCCCTGCTTTGTCCACCTCAGAGAGCTTCAGGCTCTCAAAAGTAAAGAGTTTGAAGGCTCGTTCTACTTCATTCCAGCTCAAGAATTCTGTAAGAAGGCAGGACCCATGACTACCAATACTTGTACTGGTTCATGGTACAGGTCAGAAAGAGGGGCTACCAAAGGGTCTGTGCACTAGGATGACAAGGGAGTCACACCACGATGGGTACTAACTTGACTTTACACATGGCCGCCACAAGTCTGCCACAGGTATCAATGATACCTAATAAGAAGAAAGCTACACAGTCAAGAGAGATAGAGTTGATCAAGTTAACGCTCCCAAACTGCTTCATGGCACAGTCAATATTACGGACCCATATTTATGTACACAGACTTTTCAGGGTACCAAATTAGTTGAACATGTTTAAAATGGATTTTAAGAAAAAGTACATTCTGATGCTATTATAAATTAAGCATGAGAGATTATTCACATGTGCCTAATATAGGCTGTTATACTCAGTGGGTTTTCCTATTTATTCAGGTTTAGGAAAACTCTCCCCTCCCCCTGCCACGTGAACTGTTATTCTGCATCACTATACTTCAAAATCACCAGCTTTCACTTGGCTCTATCCAGTTATGTATTTTTTTTTTTACAGCACATGTTTATTATTCACTTGCTGTTTGGTCATTCTACAAAGCAGCATTAGATTTTGTCACAGCTTCCAAGGATTCAAAGAATAACAAATTTGGTTCTTACCCTTTGAAAATTTAAGATGGAAGGGTAAGAGGAGGGGATTAACAAATAAATTTAGAATGGGACAGCAAGACAGGGGAGAAGAATCAGGTGGGGACAAGGGGTTTCCCATGTACAGCTGTGGATGTGTATTAAGGGATAATCTCTGGTACCTACTGTGTGTGTGTGTGTGTGTGTGTGTGTGCACGTGTGTGTGTGTCTACCTTCCCTTCCCCATGCCCCACATGGCCTGTGACTCTGCAGGCACAGCCATCGTGTATGCAAGGGAAGGGAATTATTCTGGTTAAGAAACCACAGAGAAAGAAAACCAGTACCAGCTTGCATAGCTATCATGCGATTGCTGAGGATGTCACATGAGGAAGAAAGCTGTAGTCCATCATTGTACCATCCCTGCCTCTGAAGTGTTTCAGAGATCACACAATACATTTTGTAAATAAAGATGTAATTCAAAGAAGCATATATAACCGTTAATTACAGTGAACTTAAGCTAAGATAAAGCAGTGTACTCACCACTTGCGCAGAAGTGCATAAGCTCATGAATGGCAGCTAAACGTTTGGTGCTGCTCCAAGGTGGGGGCAGAGGGAATCGAAGGAGTTCCCACAGTGGCAACTTGGACTGCATCTCCTGCTCAATTTGAACGGGGTCAAAATTCTTTTGGTCCTGACACGAAAGAGCCACATGACAGAAGACATTAAAGTAAGCTGTCCAGTGCCTTATGTATATGAAGGAGGCTAAACTTGATAGTTTCACTTTCATTATTTGGGAAGGGGTGGTGGTAGGGAATCAGTGATAACTGAGGAAGACCAATTTGGTATTTTCCTGAAGGCCAAAAAAGCCAGTTCTCACTTTGCCAGAAGTTCCTGGTGCACAGAACAGACTGACCCTTCATTTGTCGTGACAAACTGCTAGGGCCTCATGCCGACTCATCTTTCCCTTTGGAGACCCCTTTCCTGCCTCCACCATTTTCTCGTATCAGCAGCCAGTTAAAGCCAAAGCAATAAAGTTTTCATGCAAGTTTACCGTCAGTGGTTAATTAGATCTCTATCAGTAGTCAGGGCTTCTTTGGTGACGTGATTTCATCCTTATCCATCTCCACTTTCTGAGGTCTCACATTGTAAACAGGTACCCATTTTGTACGTCACAGCTCGTAATGGTTGGTAGAGCTGCCTAACTGACATGCCTCCCACTGCGGAAGTACAGGTACCCTTTCTTACGTCAGTGTCCCTTAGGGCCACCTGATTACCTTTAGCGTGGACTTCTTGTAGGCATGTGCGTCGTGGTAGTTCAGTAGGAGAGGGCCCTTGGGTGCCGCTTTGCTTTCTCTCTCCTCTTCAGGTAGGAATACTTCACGGAGGTTCTATTTAAATCGAAATGATAGTGGCTTAAAGGGAGAATATATGTTTTTTCAAGGCACAAAATCTCCTGCCCTTGCTTGCCACCTGACCTTTTTCTCCTTCTCTGAGAGGCAGAGCGAGGGCAGGATGGACACAATGTGAGCTGCGATCCTGTGGTCTAACCCGTCTTCTCTGGGCGGTGGCTCCACCAAACTGGGGGGGACGAGATCTTCTTCGGTTGCCACAACCTATGGAGAAAAGCAGTGGGGAGGAGTTGGTGCGATGGTCAGCTCTTTACTGATAGTCATGAGGTACACTGTGCTTAGTGCGAAGGCTGTTCCTGTGGTTAAGATACCAGTGGCGACGAAGTACCGGTGATGACAAAAATGAAAGGAAAAATGTTTGCAATGCATGTATTAAAGTACATATAACTCTAATACTTACATTAAAAATAGATAACACAGAATAAAAATAGTAAATAATAAACCTTGCTCTGGGAGAAGTAAAAATGACAATTAAAAAAAATTTTATTCTTTTTTTTTTTTTTTTAAAAGCACCAAACACAGTGCTCGTGCAACTTTGGATTTAATAAAAGTTTACTGAGTGCCTAGCACATGTCAGGTGCCATGTAGGGCATCTTTATGCAGTAAGTCATTTGAGCCTCTGGGCAATCTTTTTGGGGAGATATTAGTTTCCATTTTGTAGAGGAAAAAAAAATCTAGAGTGAAATTACATGACTGGTGCAACTGAGTGGAGAAGGTGGGGTTCAGGCCACGTCATCAGTCTTTTTTCAAGAATAGAAAAGTTGATGGCATAAGGAGCCCAGTAGTGGTTAACAGTCTTCTTCAAGTAAGGAAAGTGAAGTCGAGAAAGATCAAGTGCTCTGTTCAATTTTACATGGTACATAAGTAAATGAGGTTGAAACATAATCAAGAGAGGTGCCTATGTTACAGATCTTCCCTTTAAGTCATGACTTTGTATCCTTCAACTGGGTTTCTCAGCCTTAGAAGTACTGACATTTTGGACCAGATGCTCTTCTCTGACGGAGGCCTGTCCTGTCCGCTGTGGGGTGTTTAGCAGTGTCCTTGGTCTCTGCACACTGGGTGCCACCAGTACCCTTCTGCTATGACAACCAACCTCTAGACATTGCCAAATGCTCCATGGGAGGCGAAGAAGCTCCTCTGGAGAACCACTACTGTAGAAAGACAAAACAGCCCTATGCTCTTTGTTTTTTATAAAGCCCTACTTTCAAAAATGTCACCCACTGTTTCCAATTTCCTCTCTTCCACCATCTGATGGATCCACTTCTGTCATCAAAGACCAGTCAAAGCTGCTCCGGCTCTGAAATGTTAACTCTAATGTTCCACCCTGTAAATGCCATCTCATCACCCCTGTACTTTACTATTTCATCCCCTTCCTCTCAAGCCTTTACTCATTCTACATGTTTCTGCTGGGAGCTTTCTGTGCATCACACACTGAGCTCATCAGTGGTCCAATTTGGTATCTGGAGCACAGAGGATGGTTAGTAATGTTTGAGCTGTGAGTTGACTTGAATAAAACAACACTATGGTAAGCATAATGACACTGCAAATTGCAGGGCTTTTGAGCCCTTACAAATCTATTGACATAATGAAACTTCGGTCTTTCAAAAACCTTGTGGGTTAATTAAAAGCAAATACGAATGTGCCTGGTTAGAAAACTATGGCAATCAGTAAACAGCACACTATACTGGGGATAAGAGAGATGATGGAGCCTGAAAAGAACTTCAAAATGAACATTTTGTATTCTGAGAAAGTGAAATAAATGTGCTATACCCATGAACTAAAAACAAGAATAGGCAATGCCAAAAATAAATTAGGGAACTTACAAATCAGAAATGTTGCTAAAACAAAACTTCAATAGCATGTTAGACTGTACTGGAGAAAGACACTATAGGAAGTTAAGCTGGAGTCCCAAAGAGATGAAACTGAAAGAAAGTTTAAAGGAAAGGAGGAAAACTGAAGTGGAGATATCCGTCCAATAATTAGAGTAAATAGATAGGAAAAATAATATTTGAAGACATTGAAGAAGATTTTCTTAAAATCGCTCATTAATTTAACAAACGTGTTCATTACCTACTATAGCTTAGTTATGCTTATCGTGTGCAGAGTGTATAGCAACGAGTACGACCATGTCAAGTTCTAACTTGCATGAAACTCACATTTTGATAGGGGGAAGCCAGTGTGGACACATTAAAAAAAAAAACAAACAGCTGTTGAAAATAAAGCAAAGTGATTTGACAGACAGCTCTGCTTATGGGCTGTGCAACTTCTTTGAGTCAGGTGGTCAGAGAAGGCTTATGTGAGGGAAGCCATGCCCCTGGGAGACTGGATCACAAGGACCCTCCACAGACATGAAGATGAAAAGTAAACTACCAAGGGAGAGAAGTTGGAGCAAAAAGTTCAAAAGAAAAAAGAAGAATTAAGTGATACAGTTGAGAAAAACAAAACAAAACAAAACAAAACAGAAGGCTGTATGGGGTACTCTACGAATTCTGAGAGTGACTGGGGAATAGTTTAAAATTCCTTCAGATCATAATGACATTTAGGACAAAACAAACAAAGCTATCCCTAGTGGTATGGTTTGGATGTGTTTTGCCTCCCAAAGGACAAAACTGGAGTTTGCTGGGGGCTTGGTTCTCAGTGTTGTGGTGTTGAGAAGGTGAGACTGTTTTTTGTTTTTTTTTGTTTTTTTTTTTTTTGGTGCCAGGGATTGAACTCCAGTTCTTGTGCTTGCAAGGCAGGCCACCAAACTGCTGAGCTAAATCCCCAGCCCTAGAAGGTGAGACTTTTACGAGGTGGACCCTAGATCGCTTCCCTTGAAGAAATGAAGGTAGTCTTATGGGAACTTGAGTTAGCTCTTATGAAAGAGTTGTTATAAAAAGAGCCAGTCTTTCCTGTCCCTCACTCTGGTTTCCTGACTTACTGTGTGGTTGTTCTCTCTCACATGGGCTACAGCTACGATGCCATCCACTGTGATGTGACCCATTTAAGAAAGCCCTCACCAGAGACTACACGAATGGGCTGCCTAATTTTGGACTTTTTTTTTGCCTCCAAAGTGGTGAGCTAAATAAACCTCTTGTCTTCATCAGTGTAACTGGCTTTAGGCATTTTGTTCCAGAAACAGGAAATTGACTAATATACTTAGATATAGTCTTGTTGTTTGGAATATATTTTCAGTGGGATAAAGTACATTCTGTACACAACTTAACGGAAAAAAGGCTTCTGATTTTGGCTCACAGTCTGAGAAGTTTCAGTCCATGGTCAGCTGTCTCCATGATAGAAGCATGGGAAAAAGACACGGTAGACCAAAGTTGCTCTCTTCACGGTGGCCAGGAGAAAGGGTGAAAATGGGGGAAAGTCAAGAGAGAGAGAGACAGACCCCTCAAAAGAACATCCCTCCCTCCCCTTACTGGTGCACTCCCTCCAATTAGGCCCCATTTCCTAAAAGTACATTCTCCTCAGTGGATTAGTTCACTCATGATTATAGCAGCTCCATGATCCAGTCACCTCCTTAATGAACAAGATTAACTGGCATACATATTATCAATTATAAAGAGAAACCCTTAAGGGCTACAAAGGAAACCTTGATATCAGACCTACATTAGAATTCTCCTTACTAGTGATACTGGAAGGAAGAGAAAAGCCAAGGAATGCTGTCATGATACTTGTCCATGCATAATGACTAGGTTTAAAAATCATTCCGGCTACTTCCTATTTGAAAAAGCTACTAAACATTTTTTATGCTCCCATTTTCTTATCTGGAAAGTGGGGGATAAAAATAGCTCTTGCTATTAGGATTGTTTTGAAGATTAAGTGAGTGTATATATTGAAAGTACATAGAGTCAGTCCCTGGTGTCTGTAAGGGCCATTTATATGCTGGTAGTATGAATAATAAGTTCTTTAAAATATACATAGAACATTCACAAAATTGACTATCTAAATGAGGTCTCACAGGAAGACCAAGGAAATTTTAACTTACAGACTAGGTTTACTGGCATTATAAAGCAATAAAATTAGCATCACCAATAGATAGTAGAAATTCAGTTAGTGAGTAAAATAAGTGAAAAGGGATTCAGAACTGAATACACTGAGAGAATTACAAAGAAACACTCCACAGGAAATGTAAGCTTTAAGTAAACCAAAAACAATGCAGATAAATGAAGTACACTTTTTTTTTTTTTTTTTTTTTTTTGGTACCAGGGATTGAACTCGGGTCCTTGCGCTTGCAAGGCAGGCCACTGAACCACTGAGCTAAATCCCCATCCCAAAGTACACTTTGAATTAAACTGAAATGTAACATAAACCCAAAGAAAGTAGACAGAAATAATAAAGAAAAATAAATAAAAAATGAAAAGGCTGGCCAGTGAAACTGTTATTTTTTTGAAAAGACCAATTTAGTACATACCCTGTTGGCAACCACGACCAAGGCAAGAGAGGCCATAGATAAATAGCATCAGTCACAAGAAAGGGAACGTAACCAGGTGTTGTATTACTGATTCGATTAGTCTCCAATTTGTGCAGGGAGACTGGAACAACGAATTTCCCTGCGGTCCTGGCTTGTGTCGTGACACTTCTTTTCTTTGACTTCCGTATCTTTTTTGCCCCTTTCTTTGGGACATCGCTGTCCCTTTCCCCACCAGGTATTTGATCAGGCAATTCATAGGTCACCTTTTGTTACATCACCATCACATCACTACCATTTAGGTGAATAATATAAAAAGCCTTGTATTATCTTGAAAATCCAAATGAAATGAGTGTATTTATACCCATGAAAAAAGTTGGCCTTACAAGTAGCAAAACCTAATTTAATCTTTAAGCACAAAAAAAATGTTAAAGAGAGCTAAAGACTCTTGTTTTTGTTGCTGTTGTTGTTGTTGTTTTGGTAACAGGGATCAAACTGGGGTCCTTGTGCCTGTGAGGGAGGTTGCAGAACCACTGAGCTAAATCCCCAGCAATAGTTAAAGATTCTTAATCACCCTATCTACCTGTCCATGTCCTCTTCCTCTTTGCTTCAAACAACACTAGACAGCGATCATTTTAACGATATGTTCTACCAAAACTTGGAGGAATATAAATGAACTTTTCTACATTTATCTAAAATGTGATAATCTCTATGCATGAGAATGTATTCAGGTATTATGAGTATAATTTTAAAATAGTTTTAAAAAATGAAAGCAAAGAGATTAAGCGACTTTCTTAGAGCCTCAGGTCTACTCACTTGTTCTAAGATACAGTGCAGTATCAGGGGCACAGAAATGAATTCCTCTGGAATTGGATTCAGCAGATCATTGTAATATCTCATGTCTACTTCAGTTGTGATGATGAAAGTCTCTATAAAATACAGAAGACAACATTGCCAAATGAAGACGTGTTCTCCATTTCTTCCACCAGAATTTCATGCAGAGTTACGAACTGTGACTGTGCACTGAATAGTGTCGCAGCTGTAGATGGGGGAGAGTGGAAGGCAGCATGGAAGGCCATCCTTATCCCAGCTCCGGACACCAATGCTCCAGCAGCCAACTCAATACGTGCCTGGTGGTGCAATCTGTGGCTCTTCAGACTGTGCTTTCTTCTTTCCAGGCCCCGGAACAACTTGTGGAGCCTAAAAGAATAGTAATGAAAGAGACACACACAACTGAGATGTACCCATTGGAGAGGTGCTGATGCTGGTGTGATTAGATCCAACAGAATTCTGACTATACTTCTGTTCACACTTACAGAATCATTTTCTAGTATCAGGATTGAAGAAAAAGGGTTTTATGTGTAGGAGGCAGAAAGCTAGGGGTGTAGGTGTTTTTTTTTGTTTTGTTTTGTTTTTTCTAACACTGCCCAGTAAGCAATTGCTGGGAAGACGATGGGGTGATGGTACACAGAGAGTAAAGATTTTCTTTCCTGGATGATGCCGGACAATGCCATTCTCCCACAGCAGCCTTTCAGTGGTTCTCTATTGCATTCAGGATAAAACCCACCAAACTTGTTCACTCAACACCAGAGAACATTCCTGATCTGCCTCCTGCCTGCACATCCTTAAAATTGTTACTCTCCCTTTTGCACTGGGAGCCTGAGAACACTAGCTTCCTTCCCCATCGTCCTGGCTGGTGCCATGACAGTTACTTTGATCACCATGCTTATGCTTATCTCTGACCCTTTTGTGAGAATATCAGCAGTCCCTTTTGTCCATCATGTTTTCTACTAGTCAGTTCAAACAGAGCCTTTACCATGTCACTGACTGTAGTAATATTTTTCTGACTTCTCTCTCTGAACCCTCCATCTCCTCCAAGCAGGTGAGGTACCATTTTTTACTGCTTCTCTTGCAGTCAGAGCTGTGTGCCTCAGAGCATTCATCATGCTATACTGAAACTGTTGACTAACCTCCTCTTAAAGAGGTTCCTTTGGTGAGGAGAAGAAGGAAGGTGTCGTCACTACGTGTTGTCGGTATCTTGCACCAGTCTAATCACATAGTATATGCTAAATAAAAATGATGATTGCTTTTTCACAACCCTCTGCTTTGTTAGACAGTTGAGAAGAATCAGAAAGACCCTACCATAAAGCCCACTGCTGGGGGCCTTTCCCTAGTTTATACCCTCATGGATTTAATTTCAGCAGGCAGTTTTACCTCAATACAAGTACTCATATAATATTTTTATTTTGTGCTTTATAAGTGTAAAAATTAAGTCATTCAGTTCATCATTTTGCCCATTAAGAACATTCAAGCCCATACCTACCTCAGAAATTGCTATGGTTTCTAAGAGAGCTTTCTCATTAACCACTTGTGGGACATTAAAAAGCTGCGTGCTTTCCAGATAATGTTGGTGCTGCCTTTTCCAATCCAGGGTGTCATACATCAGGCAAGCAACGTTTTCAAAAATAATGGTGCCCAATTTCAGCTACAGGTGAGAGAATTAATGACAACCGGATATTAGTTCCAGAGTAGTGGAAATAGATCCACGATTTGTGTCTCCCTTATCAGCTAAGCTTGTCAAATGTTTATTGGACAGAGAATCCTTGAATCCCCGAACAACTGGATTCCAGCTGTGGTGCCCAAGTCTTCCCCCATGAACCTTGCTTACCATTCTTGTTCATCCCAGAGCACACGGTTCTCTTTGCAGACATGATGGCTGCCTAATATCGAAAACGGCTAATCAATGTTTTAACCAAGTGGAAAACATCCTACCGTTAGTTTCCGCAGCATGGCCTATATTTTTTACATCTCAATTCCTAAAACATATTGGGTAATTTTGACATCCTCAGCCAAAGACAAACAACAGATGATTTCTTGCCTGGCTATGCAGGAGCAGAACAGAGTCCTTCGCTGGGCATCAAGTGTCATCTGCTCGGGAACACTACAGAATATGTGCAATCAACATTTCTTTCTTCTTTCCCTGCTTCCCTTTTCCTTTTGCCTCTGCTACAGTTAGGGAAAGATGCTAGGGGAATCCATTAGACTCCTGCTTCTACAATACTCATGAGTTTTATGAGCTGACAGGCAAGCACAGATCAGACGCTTTTATAACTTGAGCTTTCATTTCCAGAAGTAGGAAAACGCTGTGATTGCTGGGTCTGTCTGCTCAAAAGGAAAGAAGGATTAAATCGGCCCATCTGACGTCTGAGTGGTAGAGGGAAGGTGGAATGAGGGGGCTTCTTGCCTAGTCCAGGGAAGTGCACAGCTTCTCCTGCTCTGGTCCAGGGAAGCGCACAGCTCTGCCCATCATGATGCACCTGTCCATCCGCTTCAGATGCTCATGTTAATGCTGGCTGTTTCTCAGTTAAGCTTCAACCTGGCATTTTCTTTTTGCCTAAATTCTGGAATAGAAATGCATTTCTAGGTGATGTAGCAAAGCTTTTGTTCGATGTTTAGCTTAACTTAGTTAATTCATTTTTAAACCAAACAGCAAGGGATACACTAAAGGCCAGCAAATTATTTCAGCAACCCGGGTTTAACTTGAGTTGTTGCAGATGGCTTAGGTGAGCAGTTAGCACGTCTTGATGGGCATTTGTTTGATGTAAAGCTTTCATTACCTTGGTAAATCAGGTATACAGCTTGCTTGTGTGCAGCCAAAAGCTGAAAGTGCTTTTCATCTGTGAAGGAGGAAGGACTCCTTGGCTGGATTTTACTTTGGACACAAGGCCATTATCAATTTACAGATAAAGCTGAGTGTATGAACATCATGTATTTGGTCTGTTTCCACTGAACATAGATTTGTCATTATTTGTTCGCTAGGTAATCTTAAATTTAAAATGAAAGTTGATCCTCAGTATTCAATTCAATGGCTATGAAGGCTCTCTTTCCCCATCGTCCTCAAGTGTGGCTCCTTTACTCACAAATTCGCTTGGGCTCTAAAAGTTTACTTCAGCTGGGCTCAGACCAAAGCCCTGGCGTAAAAATGATGCTCATTACTCACTTGCAAATGAGCTGGTAGGAGATCAGTAGGATCAGCTGGTCAGTGCAGCGCTGACTCTCTAGAGAGCTGAATACTTTCAGATGACAGTTGCCTTCATGGCCAAATAGACATGCTGAACATTAATCATCTAGGCCTGAAGTCAGTGTTCTAGCATACCTCATATTTCAACTGAGCTAGTAATACATTTTCAACATAAAATACTTTTTCTCAACTTGAATCACCATTTAAATTCTTCTGTATTTTGAAAAAACAATTACCACCACGTCTTTCATTACAATGGAATGATTAATCTAATGAGTAGGAAACTGCGGACACTGGAGTACTAAACAGGATGCCAGAGATGATGCCAAGTCTTCTGAAGTCACAACTGTCTGCTATGGTGTTTGCCTTTATGCCCCAGTGATGCCCCAGAATGTACTTTATTTTGGGTTGAGCACATTTGATCTTTTTTCAGCATGTGCTAGAGAGTAAAGAAAGTGCACAAAAGAAAGCTTTTGCCGGCTCTCTGAATTCCCTACATTTCCCAGCATCTCATTTCTTCCTTTTTGAATGAACAGGAGACTTAGGAGTATGCTTCACAGAACCTAGCACCGGGATGTACAGCCTCTTAGTTACTGTTTCTTTGTTTCATGGCTTTAACATTTCTTCTCTGCAAGCCCCTCAATAGCAGGGGCCAGTGAATGTTCTCAGGAAGTGTCTGTCAGCTGTTGGGCCAGGGTCAAGGAATCTAATAAAGGTAGAGCGTGTTGGTCAAGTATATTTAAAAATAAGATTTTTGGCAATAAAAGCAAGAGATTAGAAAGGCAATGTTTGAACTGACAAAGGGGAAGGGAGAGAGGGAGAGACAGAGAGACAGAGAGACAGAGACAGAAGGAGAGAGAATATGAAATTTCACCATTTCCTCAGTCAATATCTATTGAGATGCTATTACTGATTCAGCATTGTTGGGGCATGAAACAAAGCCCCGTGTTACTAAATAAAATAATCACTATTATTTATCTTCATCTGCCGCATCTTATCTTTACCGTTCATGCATACACTATGAGCTACAGAATCAGAACCATTACTGCACTTTTATATAGGCAGTGCTCGCGGAGTATCTGTGGTAGGAATGGACTAGGTAAACGGACCGCACTTGTGAAGGTACTGACCAACATCTCGCCGTCTGACCAGTCATGTGGGAGATCAGCCGCTCTGACCACATATTCCAGTCGAGCAACGTCGAAGAGATTTGTTTCCGGTTTCTCATTATTCAGGATCGGGTCCAAATATTTCCAGAAAAATTCAAGTTCTTTTATGGCATTCTCTATCTTCAAGTTTTCAGCTTCTTTGTCTAAGAATAGCGATATGTTTTACTGCAAAATGAGAGTATTGCATATGTTCCGACTTTAACTAGACACAGAGAGTCGCATGCATTGAGAAATACTTGTCCCATAACATAAAAAGGGCAAATAAAAACAATGATATAATCACTATATGCTGCAAACATGTGCTAATAAAATAAAGATATAATTTTAAAAAGTTCTTGAAGGTGAACAATAGAACTAGGAAATCAAACACATTATTTCTAAAGCTGATATTAAATGTGACTTTATCGTACCACTTCCTTTTATTGTTGAGGCCCAGAATGATCATGAAAAGGCCATACAGTTTGGAAGCTAAAGATAATGAAGATTTCTAGCACTCTTAGGCTGCATTTATATAGGGCCAGTCTTTCTGCCAAATGACTTTTTGATCATATTTGTGTCTGCTACATAACTGATTTTAAAAAGTTCTTGATTTACTTCTTCTCACAATGCTAAAACCACACTGGATCAATGATTTATGCTTCTGTTAACTTTTGGTCATATTAAAATAGCACTGCCTTCGTTGGGCATTTGCAATCTGACTGTAAAGTAATGACAAATACTTAAGAATTTATTCTTACTATATCTAGAATTAAATAGTATGCTATGATACCAAGATATTATTCTATTCTAAAGGCTATTTTGTATTAATTTATTTTTAAATTAAATGTTATTATAGAGAGTGTTTTTCATACTTATCCCACATTTTCTCATTAGCTTCACCAGTAAATTATTGAATAAAACTACCATTTGAGATACTCAAGAATAGTTTGGGTGTGAATCTCAATTCTTTTACCTAATAGCTGCTTCTAGTCTGAGAGTCATTTTTAGAAAAATGGAAATAATAAAGCATATTTGCTAGGCTCATCATGAAAACTAAGTGAGTCTATGTATTTAAAGCTTAAAGCTACAAATCTAGTCCTAAGACGTATGCCCAATAAACGATAGCTATTATTGTCATCAAGGGTAGTGATTTCTAATTTTGAAGAGCACTTGGAAAAACAATGTAGTGTTACAGAAATTGGGACATGGTTACAAGAGACTATGCAAATATTATTAATAAATAGCAATAAAAGCAATGCATAAGGGAAGAAGAGCTGAGACTTTTGGAAACACAGGTTTGCATGAAATCTCAGTTCTGTTACCTTTCCCATAGAGGGAGTCTAGCACACTTCCCTGAGATGCAGATCCCCAGGGCTTCAAATGACTGAATGGTAGTGTGACTGGAATTTCATTCCACAACTTTCGAGTCCACGACCAACAAGATAAAGTGTCCCCTTCAGTTTACCACAACAAGCTAGTAACAAGCAGGGCAAGACTCCCAGGCTACGATGTCACTTGGGCCATTGGTGACTTTTGCAAGAACTGATTCATTCATTCACCAGTAATCTACGCAGCCCACACTTTGTGTATAAGAAGTTACAAAAGTTCACGGGAAATGTAGTTGGACAACCAACTCTTCTGACGTGCGTCCTAGATTTTCTGTGGCTACACAGGGGTATAAACACAGAGGATGACTTTAATTTACAAGATGTATGACTCTTGGCTGATACGAGCAGAATAAATAGCAAAGCAGAGTCTTGAAAGGATTTAATGATGTATGCTTTATATGGCTATGTCTTGGACAGCAGATTGCATTTGTACTTTAAGGATTGTGGGTAACATTGAAGGAATCAGTTAGTTGTATAGCAGCCTGCATACCTTCTGGCTGAAGAGAAACTTCCTGCTGCTGGCTAACTGCTGCCAGGTGTGTCTGCAGAGGATCATAATTCTCTGAAGATATTTTAATCACACTGGTTATGGGAATTCCAAGCTCAGTCATAATGGCTAGTAGCTGAGGATTTTTGAAGCCCACAACAATAATGTAATGTTGGGCACCATCATCCGGCTCATCATCTGTTCAGAATACCATAAAGAAGAGTTGCCGTAATTGTAAAAGAGAACAGGTTATGCCCAGCCAGTCCAATGGCTATATACATTACACATGCATTTATAATCCCTCTGGCCTGCCAAAAATGGTCCAGTCGGCTGGAATGCAGTCCCGTTCACTGTTTTTCATTATTACCCTTCCAGTAAGAAGACCTCAGCCATTTTTACAAAATATTAGATCGCTTTTGCAAATAAGACTTAGGAGTAATAGGAGGACATATATACATGGGCCTGAAGGGCATGGAAAATGTGTACTCTAGTTTTTGTCAGAGTTTAGCCTATAACTTTTTTGGTTCTAATCTCCTTTGAGCAACATCTGGCTTTACTCCTCCTGAGTTACAAGTAGCTGCAGCTTTGTGGTATTTTACAAGCAGAGGTGTTTACAGGAGAGGGAAATATTGAATATGGATGTGTTCCCTACCTAAGTATTATATGCGCTTGTGTGAGTTGGTGTGGATTCTGAGTACTGGTTATGTAACAACTATGCAGTCATTGCATTAAAATTGTAAAATACATATTGCTCATTTTCCTAAACATTTCTCGTATTTTGCCCTGGTTATACCATTTTATTAAAACACGAGTTTATATTAGAATATGATATGCAGTGGGATGAGAATCATTGTTATATTTTATTGATATTGTATGGCACATGAAAACACTATATTTTGTAATAGCCCATTGAGATCAACTCACAAATAATGCAGCAGATGCACACCTTTTAACTTTCAAAATTATTTTTCTCTCATCACCACCGATCAGTGCTGATATTAGCCAAGGGAATTTGTCATATTAGAACTTTTAAATCATGAATTTAGAACAGAGACATTTGAGAGGAATTGAATGCAAGAACAGGAAAGTTCATTGCTATTCTTTTAAAATAGACCTAAAATTGCTAAAAAGTTAAAATCTATAATTTTCAAAATGATAAATTAATCCAACCCAGATAATAACTGATAGCTCCATTTGAGTTCAAGAGAAGGCAGTAGTGAATAACTCATAGCTGCCTAGGACAAATCATATGTCAGTAATCCAACATGAAAAAATATTCTAGCTGGTCTATTTCAGGCAAAATGATAGTGAGAGAAGTTGGGACTAGGAAGCTGTGTGCTCTGTGTGAGTCTCAAATTAAGTGACCTGATTTTATTACAATTCTATTTTGCTTATGACAGTTACTTTTTACTTCGCTTCATAATTATGTCTGACTTTACATTCCCAACAAGATAGTGTGCTCTTTGGTGGTACAATCTTCTTGCTATCTCTTCCTACATTGGTAAATGTGCATTGACAAACACATACTATATAAATATTTGGTAAAAACATAAATGAATTTCAAAGAGAGTTTTGTGTTAAAGTGTTATGGAAAGTAAGTGACATAATTTTACAGAGTATGAAAATAGTGGGAAAGACTAAGCATAGTTATTGGAATAATCTCTCAAGTTATGGTACAGGTCATAAAGGAAAACATGAAAGGCAACAAGCAGCAGCAGCACCTCACTGACCAATGTAATACTTGGTGTCTTCCTCTTCTCCCCTTTGTTTTAACTCAGTGGTCTTCTTAACAGCTGTGTTGACCTCAAGCTGATCTTTTCCCTTCCCTTTAGCACCCTTGGCACCTGGCGACTTCTTCTCTTTGGAAGGCTTTGCTTTTCCTTTATCCATCTCTAATTTTGACCTCTCTTCTATCACCTGAAAAAAAGAATATTTTTTCCTCCAAATAGTAAGGAGAGCAAGCAAGAGCTTTAATTCTTTCTTTCACTCCATCTTGTACTTCTTGTTTGATTTTCACTTATTCATTTGTTAAGCCAGGATAGTGGGGATACCAGTCTGAAACTAAGCTGTGAGAAGTTACATCTTGGCTCCAGGACTGGAGGAGCAAGGGCCAGAAAGGAAGGTGCTTACACAAAAACCTTCTGGGAGAGAATCAATCCACCTCAGTTGTTTGAAGGTGGGGCAGGAAGATAAATTTGACTACATTGTCTTGTTAGGAATTTAGGTGTATATTTTACCCTCAAACTGGAGAGCATATCTCAGTCTCCAAGTAGTTTGGGTTGATCAGTGAAAACAACAAAACAAAAATCAAAAGTGAAGCAGGAAAGCAGAAAGAACAGTTTGTTCCCCCAAAGTCTCCTTGATAGTAGTTCTCGTCACTTAATAATGCATTGACTATTTTTAAAGGTTAAAACACTCTTTTGAGAACTTAACACTAACAAATTATTTTTATTATTGCCCTACTTTAAAAGGTACACCGATAACTGATGGTTATTTGACGTTATTTGATACATCCAAAGATGGGAGCAGCATAAAACAATTTGGTCGCACAGGTTCTCAACACACTGCTCTGGGCCATGCTTAGACCATCACATACTCTGTAAAGACCTAATTTTTCCACCATTCCCCCTTTTTCAAACAATTGTGACTTTGTGCTATATTTCACCATGCAATTGTGCTTTCAATTCATGTGTTTATAAATACAAAGTGGTTATGCTCATGAATATAATAAGGCAGCCCTAGATCCTAGCATAGTTACAGAGAAGATCTAGAATATGCTTACATTATTATTTTTCCATACATGAAGGTTAAAACAACAGTAATGGAAATTATTGCACTGAGATGTTGGATTTTTGATGTTTATTTTCTTAAGGTCACAAAGACTAAATTTCATAGTCTGATGCGTTAGATTTGGGAGAGTAGAAGACATGGTGCTGTGGCACCCAGACAGCAAAATATAACACAGAAGAGAGGTGTATTTTCCCTCTCTGTGTGGCACCTGTGGTTCCAACAGTGGCAAGACTGCTGCTCCCAACACCTGCTCTTTGGCAGCAGAGAAAAACATCTGTACAGGCAAGGGTATGCCACACACAGCTTTGGGGTAAGGTAGGCCCTGGCTATGAGAGGGCCCCATTGTTTCTAGAAAACAAAGAGATTCAGTGTGAATAAAGCATATGCAAGTGGTAAAATAACACCTTAGAATACCTAAGGGCCAAGATTGAAAGAGCACATCCCTGGGGTGGACGTGAAAGTTCAAGGAACCAGCTCCACACCAGACAGGAAAGGGGTGGGTAGAAAAGGAGGGCAATGCCAAAGTCAGCTTGCCAGACTTCACACATCTAAGTCTATTCTTCATGACATAAATGAGGTAATCTTAATCATAAAATATTAGTGAGAAGAGAAGTTCTGAAAATGTGTGGGATGCCGGTATTCATTTACTCACTCGCTTGTGAAACAGTGATTTTTTTTTTTTTTTATGAGCTTCAATTTCTGCCTGAGTTTTCTTCAGGAGCAAAGGGAGGCATCAGTAAAGATGGTGCGTGTCACTCACAGCCTTGGCTGGAGGCAGCACTAAAAACACAGGTAAGGTATAGAGGTGCGAAGGGGCCCAGTGTTTCCCTGTGCACTGGATGCCCATGGGTCCTTCAAACAGAGTTGGTTTCTGCCGCCATGAGCTCACAGCCCATGGAGGAAGAAGGACAAGGAGATACATAAACAGATACATACAAATATAATTATAAATCTTTAGTGAATGCTATGAAGGATAAAACGGGACAAGGTACTAGAAACACAGCAGGAGAGACTTCTCTCATAAGTTGAGGATGGAAGGATTTTCCCTAAGGTGGTGACATTAGAGCTAAGACCTGAAAAATGAATCAGTCAGGCAGGAAAGTTCTCGGGCATGGAGAAGCTGTGTGTGTTCAAAGAACCGAAAGGAGACAGGTAAAGCAGGAAAATAATGGGCAAGCGCGGAGTGACTCAAGATGGGGGGCAGGAGGCAGGGCATAGGCCTGGCCATCCAAGGCTTCAGAGGCAGGAATAACAACTTTATATTTTATTAAAAATTCAGTAGAAGTCTTAAAAAGGTGTCAGGTAGGAAAATACTATGAATCTGCGAGATTGGAAATCTGAAGACCAATAAGGAAACTCCAACAATAATTCAAATGAGGCCGTATAGAGACTCACATTCAAGTGTTGCATTGAGACTCATTTTGGGCATTGAAACTGTAGGAGTTAAAAGTTTATAAATAAGTATACCAAAGTTAATGTTCTGGATTTTAGTTTGAGCAACTGGGTGGTCGATGTTAGCATTATGGCAATAGAGAAGACTGGATACAAACTTGTTTTTACTGTAGGCATGCAGACTACTGAATGTGGTTATGCTTTATTTGAGATGACGATGTGACGTCAAGGAGAAAGATGAATACCCACACTGTCCTCTTAGAAGAGATATTTATTGGATGGGAGGAGATGAATCACCTTGAGTGCTCCTAAGCAATATGGGAATTAAGTCTGGGATCTTGGAACCTCGAATGTTAACCATGTGTTAACAGAAGACTCCAGTAGAAGAGACAAAGTAGCTAAATGGAGGGGAAAAAAATATAGTGTGAAGCCAGACAACTGATCGATGGAAAATGAAAAAAAAAAAAATACAAGTAGAGGGAGTTGTAGATCACTTCAGAAAAAGCACTTAGGACTGAGTGTGGAAATGGTAGACAGGGAAGCTGTAACAACAGGCTGACCATTTGTGTGGATAACAGTTTTGAGCGGTTTGGTCATGAAGGGAAGCCAGAGCTCTGACTCATTAGGGGAGAAGATGGAAGGGGCATGGAGTCAAATGTATGCACGGTGAGCTTACAGCTGATAGAAAGACCCAGGAGACAGGGTGATAGTGATGGTCCGGGAAAAGCTGAAATTCTTGAGGTGGACAAATGGGACTTGATCAAGAGCACATGTCAGTGAATCTAGATTGGTAGGAAGAGAGAAAATTTCTTGGTTTAATAAGAGCAGCAAGGGGAAGATGGGAGGCTGGGTACAAGAAGGGAAAGGTCTCGATGGTACTGAGAGAATGTTTCAAATTTTCAAGCAAAGAATGATGCAAAGTCAGCAATGGTGATTAGGTAGGTAAGACATAGGAGGTTGGAACAGGGATAAGGTAAGAGTAATCTCAGAGAGTGAGGGAGCAAGAATGGTATATTAAAGAAATATAAAAGAGCCCTGTCAGTGTTGACGCATTATCAGAAACTTTGAGATTGTTTGTTTTAAAACAAAACTAGTTTGCTGCACTGTATGCATGCCTCAGTTATCTTTAGCTGCTCAGGGGCAGATGTGAAAATGGTGGGTCACTGAGCTCATCCCAGGAGTTTTGCAGAATGATTATTATAGAAGGAGAGAAAAGCAAGGGAATGAAAAATGTATAAATAAGTGATTGACAATAATTGGGATCTTGTAGTCTAAGGTAAACAAACAGCAGTCATACAATGGGTAGAAACTGGTGGGATCCATAGATTGTAAGTTAGGATATAGCTGAAGAAATTCTGTGGGGAGGAGATAGATATTGGGTTATAATTAAAGGAAGAAATAAAAAATTTCCAAGGTAATAGAGTGGGAGATCTCGAGGCTGGTGACAGTAAGACTGATAAATAGCCATGAGAGTAAAGGACTCAGGTGGAGTAGGAAAGGACCATTAGAGAAGTGAGAAACCAAATAAAGAGCACTGGTCACCATAAAACACACTGAAAAAGAGGAGCCAGAAAGGCAGGGAATAGCAGAGTTCATTTGAAATTGTCCGAAGCAGAGAACCTCGTCATAGAATGGCACAAGGGCCTGGGCAACTGTGGAAGTGTTTGTGGCAGCACTGGGTTGTCAGACATGTAAATCATTAAACTAACTCCTTGGGTTAGACTTGAAGTTCTCTGCATAATATCCTGACAGACAGTGGGACTTTCTATCTACCAGTTGTCTACAAGGAGAAAACTGTGAGTTAAGGCTCATAGTTCTTTCCTATAAGACTAATATTTACAACAGTAAATTAGTTAATAGCTAGCCGAATCATGGCTGTCTCTCATCATCGTTAACATCATGATCATCAATACCACTCTGTTGCTATTTACTGAGTGCTCACTACATAACAGATATTGTATCTTGGTAAGTCTTCACGGCTAGTGTTATTTTCAGGAGGAAACGGAAGCTTTGTCAGAACAAGTAACAGTTTCATCTCAGAGCTAGAAAGGGGTAAAGCCAGTATGTAGGCCTCAATGCCTCAACTCTTTTGAGTGCTCCTTCAGAGCCCAAGCTAGTGCCCAAACCCGATAGCCTCTAGGCACTAGCAAGGTTCCCTCAGGGCACATTAACAGGATGTGCACAACTCCTTGGCAGATAGCTGGCTTTGCCATCCATAGGGAAGTCTGTATTTTTGCCATCAAAATCTACCAGGAACTTTCACAACAGTAGTGTAGTTGTCTCCCAACAGTTTTAAACAAAAATCTTTAGATCTGAAGAAAGGTACTCATCTAACGTTTACCTAGAAGAGCAAATATTTATGCATTCATTCATATATTTTGTCATTTCATAGATATTTGCTGAATAAAGTGAACATCTTTAAAAATGAGATTCTCAGGGAGATAGACTTTGCGAAGATGGCAGGGGTGCTGGGGATGAGGCAGATGAGAAGGAGCAGGGTAAAAGGCAGTAAAAAGGTTGAAGGTACAATATGTATATGCACTGATTCTCCATGGTGAAGGTATTTAGAAACATACACTATCTTATAAACACTACTAAAAATCTTTAAAAACTGGTGTTAAATTAAAACTCACACTCTGTCCTAAGACACACAGCTGTGGTGCAGACATAAGCTGGTTTGACCCCAAGCCCTAAATAATATCGTTCCCGTGGTTCTCTTGCAGGTCTTCGCCTCT